TACAAGTACATTTGAAATGTGCAATGTTAAGAGCAGTTTCAAACCAAAGCTTAGAATCCGACTTTTGAGGCATCTACCCTTGGTCGAGTTTTGCAGGACTCAAGTCCAGGACTCAGACTTGAGTAGCAATTTCGGTGACTCAAACTCCACTCAATTCGGCAAAAGACTCGCACTCCGACTCGCCCATCATGACTGCCAATGACTTTTTCTATCAAAAGATAGACTTTTAAAAGCTTCCTAAATAGTTACACTTTACAGCATGTATTTAACACGATTTCATGCTGTAATTGGGAAGACACTTGATTTTTTGAACTTTCATACATTGTATATTTCAAATATACCTAAATGGAAAGAAAATCTACGTCATTTAAAAAAAAAAGTTGTTACAGTACATGTACTGTATGTAATTACATACATGTACCAGTATGTTACTCCCAAATGAAAATCTGTGAAACAATCACCAGACCACTTGGCACACAATCAACAATGACAAAGAATGAGTCAGTAATGTACACATGTATACATACACAAGTATACTGTACATGTACAGTACAAATCGTACACTTACATGAACATGATGAACATGTGTACATAAAACGACCCTGAGTGTACAATGTACATGCAGAACGTACCTGTAACAAACCAAAATGACTCCTTAAAATTATACATGGTGACAGTGCTACCAGTACATGTATGCTGTACATCTACATGTACATTTAATTCATGTTCCAGTACCTGTCCTGAGCCATTTTGTTAATTATAAATCCAATTTCAACTATGCCCCCTCTTTGTTGTGTGACCGTACATGTACATTGTATACATTTGTATATCTGCAAACATGTGTGTATGTATCCGTATATATGTATAAATTTGCATAATTCTCCACACCTTACTAAACCAAAGTGCAATAAAATGTCCTGTATGTAAGACATACATGTAGTTACTTGACTTAAAGATTTTACAAAAACGTACATTTCTTTCAAATTACAAATTACATGTACTGTACTGGAATACATGTACATTTACTGTACACGTAAAAAAAAATTTGTTCATTCTGTGTTTCTGCAGCAAGATTTTGGGCTGTTTTCTAGAGTCAATACAGACGCCCGAGAATCACCTTTGATATTTTGTAGTCAAGGTCTTTCGGTTTCTCCCCCAGACTCATTCACATGTCTCTACATAATGTCTTGCAATAGTGAATTATGTACTTGGAAATTATACATGTAGACGACATGGCACTCGAACGATACTTCTTGGATTTGTCGGGGAGATCGAGCCAAGTGCAATTCCAGGGATATGTACTTGGCAAATTAAACATGTAGAAATGACACACTGAGCACATGGTTATGATCAACAACGAATTTTCGGCAATATACTTGGCAACTCCTCGACGCTTTCCTGGGAAATGCTTCGCTCCTCAACAATTTGTAAATTCCTTGCTTTACTGTCTGTTCGTGTATTCATTCCACCATCATGACCAGTAAGCAATTCTCAGAAATGAAACCTTAATACTGTCCATTTCAATTCATACTGTAATTTGAATTGGTTCAAAATAAAATGATGGTCCTGAGAGAGATCTTTTATTTTCAAATTGATAATTGAGAATGTTTTCATCTCATAACATTTTACAATTTGCATAATTCTTTTCATTCATAATAATCCTTGCGGAGGCAGATCCATTACTGGCTCGGGGGGGGGGGGGGGGGGGGGGAGTTAAACATGCATGTATGCTACATTTTTTTGAATGATTTTCCAAATGTTGTTGCACTCCCCCCCCCCCCCCCAAAAAGTAATTCCACCACTGCCATGATCTTGTATGTCAAACCATTTAACCCTCATGTGTGATGTATGCAAACATACCGGTATGTGCCAAGTTGTCCTTTCAGTCAAAATCAATCAAGTGACTGTTTTCAACAGTTAAGAATTCCCAGCCTACATGTATATAAAGCAGGATTGACTGGCTGTGGCTGTTTACTTTGATACAGCTTTGCTTTGTTTTGACTGTGGGTGATTGATAAGCCAGCTGTACCCACAACTTGCCTGCCTTGTCTGTTCATGGTCTGTTGACTGAATTTGACTAGTCACAGCGCTTGCTTGACATAGCCTATAATCTGACTACTGGTGACTAGCCTGTGTTAAACGTAAAGCAGGGGAAGTGGATGGGGATTTTGACTGTCTGTGACTGTTTAAATAGTAGGAGGGATATTATAAAGATCCGTTGTGGGGGAGGGGATATGAGATACGTACATGTATATTTGTAGTGTACCGGGGGGTACATTGTACAATGTAAAGTCTCTAAGTTGGAACTTTTCCCACTTGATATACAGTACACCAAAGCATGTACCGGTACCGGTACATGTACTTTCGCAAGTTGGCAAAGTTTTAACTTTCACAACTGTAGGCCTATAAGCCTATTTGGGATGTCGAACATGATGCGAGCTATTCTTACAAGTATTTTGGTAAATCTTGGTAAATACAGAGGAGTTTTATACCAACTTTACCCCCAACCAAATACCATCTTCCTACATGTCCTACTGTGTCCACCGTATCTCAAAAACGGCTGAAGATTTACAAAGCATTTCCACTATCTGGAAGCATTTCAACTGTTTCACATACATGTACAGTGACTGTATGGTCATAACACCACAAAAAAGCATCTTGGGAAGTTGTACACGACACAACAGTGTACAATGTACTTCCCATTTGCCACACCATTGTCAATTCATTATTGATGGTACATTTGATATCAGTTTTATGCAAACTGCATATTTTAATACAATGAGAATGGCCTTGACCAGCGGGCATATTTAATCTGTTCATAGCCACATGATACAGCTGCTGGCCTGCATTGTTTGTCTCCAGCTGAAATTTGTAATCAGAATAATTTTTTTTTGATCCATCACTTCCTTCAATGTGTTCTCTTTTTCTGTAAAGGTAATAATACAACATTTACATTTGCTGTAATTTTCAGAAATTAATGGATTTGCAGATAGTGTTTTATAGCAAGTTACACTGACCTGTTCAGAGTATTGTGTTCATTCTGGAAAAACGAAAAATAAAAACACATTTCTTGTAATCTGGATCCCAGACCCTACAGGCCTCAGACGAAATGGAGCAATTAATAGACATCGGGGAATTGTCAGGTCAGGGAACCTGAGGATTTTTTTGAGGATTTTTAAAAAAATTTTAAGGGAGTTTATCAGTCCAAAATTGTATAAGGTCTGATTCCCATCTCGTGAACATGAAGTCAGAACGACAATGAAAGCATGGAACCAGACGAAGATTCGTCCAGTAAATATTTCTACATGTATTTAAAGTTCCCCAATAACAATCACTGGGCATATTCAGTGCTGTGCCAGTAAAAGAGCTAAAAAAAAAATCTGGGACTGGTTCACAGCCAAATAAACACTGCCTACAATTTACAAATATTGCAAATACTGAGCAATATATTTTTCTAATGGGCAATTCCATGGTTACTCACGTTACATTTTTGATGTACTTTTGAGATTCCTTGGGCTGTAATTACCTTACTGAAAGGGTTTAATAACTGTTATCCCCACGGTAGATAGAGTAGACCCAGACAGGGCTCTGGAGTGCTCTGAAACGTGCAAAACTAAATCAGGCCCACTTTACTCACAGTTAAGCCAGCAAATTTCTCCAAAAATTGCACTGAGGCAAAGAACATGTCCTCAGTATTTCACCTACCAAGTTTGCAGACTGAATTCAATTTTTAAAGGAGGCTTTTCTTCAATATTTCGCACATGAGAGGGAAGTCAAGTGATTCCAAAATGGGACTAGACTGGTACATGTCCAACCATGGTCCAACTATTTGGAAAGACTGACCTCTTCATTCAGTGTCAATAGTCTGGTGGCTTTACTATGGAGAAATATGTAGTAAATTGAGACTAGTTCCCGCTTCATGCCACATGTTTCTTAAATTCTTTTGGCATGGTCGATTGATGCAGTACTGAAAGACTGGTTGTTTTAGGTGCCAGTCTATTTTCTTGTTTTGCATGTTTTCAATACCTTAAGTTTTGGGACTCTCATACACAGTATTGAGAGTCCCAAATTTTCGGACTAGAGTAGACCTAGACCTACCTAAGCACCAAAGATGACATTCAGAAAAATGTGTTATGTATGATAAACAAGATGCACAAAATCGGTTACTCACATTACATTTTTGTAACGTGAGTAACCGATTTGGAATAACAAATGAGAATCATGTGCTGGAACAGAAACATGTATATTTGTACACCGGACCAGAGGGTTCCCTACTACTTTGCACGTAAAGGATGCAGGCTATCGCACGGCAGAAGGAACGTTGTAACCTGACCCTGCTTTTTTCTTCATACATCATTGTCAATGAAGGTCAGTCATTGCAAAAAATGAGATTAAACATGAATCTGGGACTGATGAAAAAAATGTCAATTTTGTTAGGAAATACATGTACTTTTTCTTGACTAGTCTCCATAGACTTTGTACACAACCGCTGAAGTGAAGTAGCATCAGGTTGAAACATTCTTTCCCGCACGGCTTCAGAGATGTAATCAAACCAGACTTTAATTATAATACTACACGTTCAAATGGCCTCCATTTTCCCCTCAACTTTCTTTGAAATGACAGATCCTATGCAAAATGGAAGTTCTTAGACACTCTTCTGTTAGTCATGTAAGTATTGAACACAAAATGGTCGTAAAATTTTGGGGCTGTAAAGTGTATACATGTAAAGTGGAACAGTTCAAACCGACATGAACGAGACTCTGCAGCTCTGAACACGTCGAAAGATTATAAACAAACCGTGGCTAGTCACTACCTTTATTTTTGTGTAGGCCTACATTTATCATTTGAACATGTGAAACAAAAAGACGACATGGCATTTCATACTCCTAGAACTAGGAGTAGGCATTTCATTCTTTTTTGTTTCACGGGGGGGGGGGGGGGAGGGGTGTCATGCTAGCTAGTTAGTTTCGTTGTTTTTTAGTTTCCAAACAAATACTTACAATGGAGCATCGGTAAATGTGGGCACTCTCGGCGGTTCGCCATTCAACATGTGAAAGTGGCGATACAAAACATCGAAACAGAAAAAACACATCTCGGCACACACTATTCGGTGGTTGGAATTGTTTTGGTGGCCACTGTGACTGTTGTGGCCGTGCCCACCGCCGGAGTAAGCGTGATGATAACCGTTCATTTTCGGTTGAAGGGCCCGCTGTGGGTCACCACAACCGGAGCTCGTGCTTGGCCGGTGATCGTGGTTAGGATGGGAGCAACGGTCGCCCTTTTCGCAGCGGTCCGACCGGTCATTTCGGTCGGAAGGCGCGGAGACTTTCTGCCGTTTCACTCCACAACAGCCGGTCGCCATCTTGACACAAAGGATAAATTTTGCTGGTGGACGAATCTTCACTGGTCCGCGGCCAATCCGTGTTCCTGCTACATTAACAGAAAGTGTCGAGTACCAGCGTAATCAGCTGAGTTCGTCTGGGGTCGATTCATAACTTTTTTTATGAATCATTCCTGTTTTTTTGACGTCATTTTATAGGAAATATCCATAATTCATAAGCTTTTTATTTAGTTGCAAATCAGTGGGCGTGGAATCAATCGTCTTGGGCATTAATTCATTATTAATGAAACGTGAAACATCTGCATGCCGTTGTTGGACTTCTGTAGCGCCCTCTGTTGCTATGATTGTGAAAGTGCACGGCAAACAGAATCATTAAAAAACGATCTTAATTTTCTACTGACACAACTCTTCAACTGGCAGCTGACGTGACATACGAACACAATGTTTTCCAATGCTATTGAAAGAAATGGCAGGTCAGCAGACAGGTGACAAGTCTTTGATAGATTAACGCCAAGTTAATTACTGACGGTTCACAGATTACAATGGTGAAGATTAATAGTGTGCCTATTTTAACGCAACAACGGTGAATGACCGAAGACCCTATATAGAAAGCGCCTGCTGATTGGTCAAAATCTAGAGGTCAAGATGCGGTTGTCTTGCATAATTAATCAGCGAATCTGCTCAAAATGTTATAGAACATGGCTTTCACATAGACTAGGGTGAAGGGGGATATTTTTTAAAAATCTGGTCGGTAAACCGTGTGTGATGGGCGACTTCAAAAGAAAAGATTCCGATAATGACGATGTAAACTCTCTGCCCTTGTATTGTACCAATTAATTGAGTAGCAAAATGTGTGTGTGACAAGTCAAGAAGTTTGGTTCAAGGGCGGATGGGGAGGGGGCGAAGGGTGCTACGCCCCCCCCCCAAAAAAAAAACCACCAATATTTAAAAAACAAATTTAAGTGGCGTTGCATTAACTTGGCAGGCAATGAGTACACCACCATCATTTCCTCCCCAAAAAATGGTTAAAGTGGTCAGAAATTGCCTCAGATCGCACCACAGAGCATCTTGAATACCAAAACTTTCGGGGCCCTCAAGCGGGCCCCAAGCCCCACGCCGTAATCAGAGATGTGGCAGCTCGGACCCAAGGTCCAATTTCAATTTTTTTTTTGCCAAGGCCAGTTTCATCTCTATGTAATTCACCTCCCCCCCCCCCCCCCAAAAAAATCATAAATTGTGTTCTGGATCCGCCCTTGGTTCGGTTGAATCTGCAATTAACATAAAAACAAAAAATACAATAAGTGTCTCATAATGTCAAAATGTACTTACAAAATATTATATGAACTGATAATTAAATTGACTGATTTGATCTCCAAAAACATAAAATTGTGTCTATTACAAATTATAGCCGACTACATAGACTCGAGTTATGAAGAAGTTGTCACATAGTACAATACACACTTCCTTTAAAGGGAAAATACAACATTTGCAAACATCAAAAAATAAAACTACCAAATCATTTTGAAATACCTTGCTGGACTGTTAGTGAATGACAGTGTAAAGCATCCTGTAAAATCATGGCACCTGGTATACTGTCATTTTCAAGAAAAGTGGTATTTTTGTATCAATTTCCAACGCTGGTCGGCCGACCAGCGTTGGAAAAAAACTGGCTTTTTTTTTCAAATACTGGCCCCAATTGACCATCGCACTTGTTTGCAATCGATTACACACCTATGAACGGGTACAAGCCAGCTAGACTGGTTCCCTGACCTTGCAATTCCCCAATGTATGTAAACTGCTCTGTTTCTTCTTTTATGGAGTCAGGGAACCAGACTACAGGAAAATGATTGTTTTTCTTGGTTTTTATAGCATTTTCGAACCCAAAACCTAAAAAAAGTCAGTGTAACTATATTTGCTATATATTTCCAACCCCCCAATTCCATCCATTTCTGAAAATTACAGCAAAAGCAAATGATGTATATTCCCTTTAAGGCTTTATTAACAGTTCAATATCAAATGAGGTTTATGTACAGATGTAGGATGGAAGTACGGAAGTAATGAAGTACGGAGGTACTGAAGTACGGAAGGAAGGTTTTGCTGAAAAAAACAACAAAATATAAGGGGAAATGTTTTGGTCTGGAGTTGCGGGAGGTTGCTATCGGGACCGCCACCCAGGCCTGACAGAGATGGGCAAAAGAAGGTCGCACAGGGATCAGGGACTGTGGTCAAGGCATCTTACACTAAATTGTACATCTACATGTACAACAGTACATGATCCAAGCTAGATAATGAGGATAACATATTTTCTAAACCTAGAGATGATAAAATGGTATTATAAATTACAGATAAAAATAACAAGAAAACTAGAAAAGGTAAATAATACACAACGTCCGCTACACAAATTATTTCCTCATATCCAGTCACATAGCAATAATTTGTGTCTATCAACTTATTTCCACTTAACTTACTTACTAAACAATTAACACAGTCTTCTACAATCATATCAAATGATCTAAAATTAACATGGGAATTGGTATACAATCATGTAACGTTCATTATACGTGTATTCACCATGCATCGCCAGTCATTTCAATTTTATGCCTCAAAAGGGAACCAAAATTACTGTATCAGAGGACTGTTATTCCTTACCCCCCTTTATAGACAATAAACTTTGACCAATCAAAGTTTATTGATTTGCAAATGTATAAAAGTACAACATTGGGCATATCAAGAATATGGTTCAAAATCAAAGAACCCCAAGATGATCCCCGAGTGGCTCAAAGAGGGCGCTATAATTACCCGAGCCAAAGGCGAGGGCAATTATCAGCACCCAAACTCCAAGCGGTCTTAAACAGAGTGACTAATACCGACCGAGCCCATATTTATTCCCACTCATAAATACTTTTTCAGTCAAAACAAATCAAAACTTTTGGGTCAAAAAAACCTGATTTTGTTCAACAAGTTCACTTCATGTTTTGTTAACATGCCTCTAGCTAAAAAAATGGAGTGCCCAGCTCGCAAGTAAGTCGTAAACAACGCCTTTTATGGAGATTGACACGCGCATCGTGCAGAATGCACCTGGGGCGTTGCATTATGAATTTAGGACTATAAAATACTGACTCACTGGTAGTATTGCGTGTGCCTACATGAGGATTGTGAACGTTCAACCAATAAAAAAGTAAGAGGCACTGGATTTTTTGGAGTCCAAACTTCATGTGACACTGAAAAGTGTTTAAGACCAGCTAGCCATGTCTTTATTATCCGTTTAAGACCGGCCACGCAACGGGCTCTCGACCAAAAGGAATGGGTAAATTGTCTTAGGTATTTATTAATGCGGCTTAAAACATTAGGGCATCATCAGAGCAGACAAAGACAAAAATATTGACACCAATCAAATAATACCTAATAAAACCAAATATTTTAGCATTCATAAGATTAAACTTTCCTTTGAATCTTTAGGTTAAAATTTTACTCATTATCTTAATTTACACGATTTCCACGCTCCTGCAGCGGAACTTGCTCCATCCCTTTCCATTTACGTTTGTATTTCTTCAGTTTCTTCAGTTTCTTCAGTAGATATCCCTGCAGTAAAACAAAAATTATACAGCAAGATATCAAGCTTACTACAAGCTGATTGTGAAGTTTATCATATTAATCTGTAATATTGCAAAAAAAAAACATGATTAACAGTGGCTTAGCCTTTGGGTTAAAATATAATTCAAAAGGAATAGTTACTGTGAATACTGAAGAAAAAGTTTCCTTTTTTACATGTTTATGGGACCGCCCGATTTCAACCAGAATTTAACCCCACACTTTAATCCTTAACAGTACAAAACAAGTCAGGTGTGTTTACAAACACAAATGCCCCGCAACAGTGACTGTTTCCATGACATAACACCACTCTAACATCAACTTACATGTACCTTGGTCAAATGGAACGTTCATGGACAGCATAAGTGTCTTCTGTAGGTCTTATATGAATTAATCCCTAATCCCTATGATCTCAGAATAAATACAAGATTTCTATTGTTATAGCCACTGTGACCTTGACCCTTGACCTTTCGGCCCCAAATGCAATAGGCTTCTTAGGATTACCAAGAACATTACACAAACCAAATTTGAAGTTCATATGTAAAGTATTTCTCAAGTTATCGCGCTGACAAAATTTCTTTTGTTTTAGCCACTGTGACCTTGACCCTTGACCTTTTGGCCCCAATGCAAAAGGCTTCTTAGAATTGCCAAGGACAATCCACAAACCAAATTTGAAGTTCATATGTAAAGTATTTCTCAAGTTATCGTCCTGACAAAATTTCTATTGTTTCAGCCACTGTGACCTTGACCCTTGACCTTTTGGCCCCAAATGCAAAAGGCTTCTTAGGATTACCAAGGACAATCCACAAACCAAATTTGAAGTTCATATGTTAAGTATTTCTCAAGTAATCGCGCTGACAAGATTTGTCCGGACACACACACCCACACACACACGTGTGTAAATGCCGGCAATCGTGGACGCCCCATTGTCCCTAATCCTCTTTCCTTTGTTTGTACTCTAACTTTTTAGCGACAGCTCTCATTGGTTTTGTACACGATTTGAGATCATGGACGTTCGGTCAATCGTGGACGTATTGTTTGCGCCCCAATTCTTTTGTCCTACGTCCACGATTGCCGGTGTTTACACACACCGACTTGTTTCACATACGTAGTGTGGACTTTCCTTTCTTTTCGTGTAGTTAAGGAACACCAGTGGAAAAACTCATTTTTCTCAAACTGTGAAAACTCTTACAACCCAATTTTTTTTCTATGATTCCCTATAGTGTTTCTCTTCATTCTGCTACGGATAAATCTAACCCAAAAATGCCTCTAAACCTGTTTTCCAGAAATGGGGAAACACTGTGTGGACGTGGGCAAGTCCACACTTCGTCGGTGCTACCTACATTATGTGGACGTGTTTTGTTCGGAAGTCCACACTGCGTATGTAAGACAAGCTCACGCACCCACACACCCACCCACCCACCCACCCACCCACCCACCCACCCACCCACGGAAGGACAAGGCGGAAACGGTATGCCCCTTCGGCTTCGCCGCGGGGCATAAAAAACTTATTGACTAACGACAACTTTTTTCTTTTAATTTCAAAGTATTGACAAACATATTACACACGACTACCAAATATCCTTTCTCCTTCCCGGAGCGAGTTTGGCAGGACTTAATTAAATGTTTGTCATATCAGACTTTTGTACAGGTTGGGCCAAAAAAAAAATATCCCTTTTGATACTTTTGGATCCTTGTCTCCCACAAAAAAGGGAAAGATACCAGCTTGTCCTCTTCAGCCAACATCTGATCTGGGTATTGACCACATTAAGTACAAGTTTCACTGATATTCATTCATGCATGCAAAGGATACAGGCCTATTTTGTGACTACCCAAAACACTACCAACACGACGTTTCCTAATTACTTTAACCCTAACCGCCCTGAATCCTTCAAAATCCTCTTTGCCAAAGTGGAGGAATTTGGAGGATTGAGGTTACATGGCAAAAGTGCATTCCTGATTTCGTAGGATGCACTTTGTCAAGGTCTTGGGCTGGACCTGGAGTTGTTTCTGCTCAGCCATACATAAATATAGGCCTGGATTATGCCTGTCCTCCGTACTGCTCCAAAATGTCACTGGCCAAGCCCCAATATATTGACAGTCACCGCCGCAGGATTTTGCAAGATTCAGGCAGTGGTCACCCCTCCATGGACCATATTCAAGAAATAATAGAGGAATTTGCAGGATTGGGGCTATATATACATGCATACTACTTTTGCCATGAGGCCAATTGGAGTATTTTGCAGGATTGAGGCTACATCCTAGCAAAAATGCCCAGGGAGTTAGGGTTAAGGGGATATTTAACGTTATTTAATATTTTTAATGACAATCACACTGCAAGACAGAACATACCAAAGTAGCCATGGTAAGGCCATAGTTTACTGCTCTGTAAAGGGCCTTGATGGATAGAACATTTTATAATTCAGGTAGTATACAAGACATGATGCCTCAATTTGGAGAACACCTTCCGGAGGTATGGCAGCCTAATAACGCTTGATGGTGCAGAAATATTGTAAGATTTGATACGGACAAAATGGCACAAGCTAGAACCTGAACAAGGGTTGCTAAGATAGCCAAATCTTACCCCCTTTTAAGTTTTGTCTTTGAGGGTACCTCAAGGACCGGGTGTACGGCATTGTGCCAAACACCCTGTAGGGACTTCGCAAAAGAATTACTGGTGAAATCCAAGCCCTCAGAAGAACACGGATGGTCCGCAGAGCTATTGCAGACATAAGGACATTGGCACAAGTATGCATTGATCTGATTGACAGACAGGTTGAAGATTGAGCAGCAGGACAGTGAAAATGTGAACCTTATCTGTAATTCAGTTTAAGTTCAATAAATGTAATTCCATTAAATTGATGTCCTGTTCTGTTATTCCTTTTATTTCCTTCACTGTCCAGAGGCCCATTGTTGCCATTGTGTTGAGAGCAAATTGCCTATTCTGAACATTGTGTTGGTAGTGTTTTGGGGTAGTCACAAAGAAAAGCCTGTATCATTTCCATGCATGGCTGAAAATCTGTGAACACTTTACTGACGGTGGTCAATACGCACACCGAATGTTGGCTGAAGAGAGAAAAAAACTGGTTACCTTTCCTGTTTTTGTGGGAAACAAGAACTTATCCACAGGGACTTTTTTTTTTTAACTCATCCTGTATATAGGGGCATCATACATGTAGATGCACAGTCGGGACCAAGGCTTTATGTTCACTATAATTTATATTTTAGAGTTTGATATAACGAGAGTCAACTGTACTTACTATGACGACACAAGCAATGAAGACAATAATCGAACATGCGACCCCTAGCATAATCACAGCGTCGCATTTCTCAAAAGGTCTGTTGGCAGTTGGTGATGCTTCGTTGGCCAAAGCAAGTGTTGATCCTGAAAATTGACGAGAGGCACTCAGATCAATATTTGACTTGATTCAATGGATATCTGACTTGATTCAATAAGCCAGTTCGGTATTCCAACTGTACACACACAATGATATGGGTCAAGGGTCATTCCGGATAATCGAACGCGCAGGGAGATGGGCGCACGACGCTTGCGTGTTAATTACAGGCAGAACGGGCGTTCGCATGACAGCACATAGCATCGCATAACATCAAGTCAGTGATTTTATCCCAAATGACCTTTGACCTAGACTAATACCAAACTGGCTTATATTGACATCTGATTTGATTTAATGATATCTCACTTGATTCAGCTGAACGAATCACTGGGTTTCATTGTTCAATTGTACCCAATAGACCCGTTGCATGTGACGTCACATTTGAAGGAAGGTTTTTGTTCCTCTGCTATGGGCGAAACACGGTAGTTACTTTCATTGTCACTGATTTTAAATCCTAAAATTTGCCCACAATGGGGGCGAACCCTCCAATGGGCCTATTTGCATATTTTTAACATTTCACTATTTTAATTGTACAGGTATTCACACTTTACCAATTTGCGAGTTTTTGCTGTGAAGATGAATGTGAAGTGGGTTGGGTACGGCCGGGTAGGCAATGGCCGGCCGCAGCCTTGCACTCAAGGCCATATGGATTTTGTCTTTAAATCATTCTGCATTCGTACTTATCTCAGTTCATGTCGTTTCCAATTCAAATCGTGTAACAATGAAGGAGCAAGCAGGGGCATAGCAAAGGCATTTTCATTGGGGGTGTAGAAGTAATTTTGCTGACTGAGAGCCCAGCGAGCGTGCAGCGCAAAGCTCTTACGGCTTGGGCTACGGGGCCCGCTTAAGGGAACTTGTTGCTGTGGAACTCCTCACTGTGAACTCGTCACCTAAGGGGGTGGGGGGGGAGGGTGGAAGGGATGACTGGCATCATTACATGATGATTAACCCCAAAACATTATCATCACCTCCTTTATGAACAGTTCACTGCATCATAAGTCAAGCGTTTGCTCCACAGTTCCACTGTTTCAGGTTAGGGCAAGGCTAAGATTTCAGGTCTGTGGCAACTTGAAGTTTGAACTGATGTAAGGACAATAAGATTTACTGTTCTGTGGCAACTTTGAACTCAGTGACCCGAGTGAATGGTCACTAATAATTCTCAAGTCTACAAGAACTTAGGGTCAACTGGGGTCAATGTACAACTCAATAAATGCCTACTAAGAAGTATTTTGCTCTTAAATCCTTTTTCTGTGTTTAATGTGAAGACCCTAAATGCCACCGAGGCCCTAAATGCTGACTGAGGAAAATTATTAGGGGGTGTCACCCCCTCCTTCCCCGAACATACCCCACTGTTTGCTACGCCCCTGGGAGCAAGGTCGTGAAAAGGAGCAATCAGTCTCCTTAAAGTGGGGGGGGGGGGGGGGGGGGAGGCCATGTCCTTCCCATGGGGGCACTGTTGAAAGCGGACGATCATTGGAAATTTAGTTGGCAATTTTCTTTGCGGTGCAATTGCATGAGCGTCATTTTTTCACGAGAAGCACTCATGCAAAAAAAAAAAAACCCGAAAAAAAGGGAATTTGTGAACAAAGGGCACTCGTGAAAAACTGTTTTCATGGGGGCACTTGATTTCGCGAGAGCCATTTTTTTCAGTGCCCTGTTTTCACGAGCACCCTTATTTCACAAATGCCTTTCTTTACGGGTGTCTTTTTTTGCTAGTGCTTTTTTGCACGAGTGCCCTTGTGAAAAAGGGGCACTCCTGAAAAAAGGGCACTCGTTAAAAAAAAAGGGCACTGAAATATATTTTGGGTAGGGGGTGTAAATAATACAAGTTTTCATATCCGACATGACACTGCTTCCTACCTGAATTGGTTGAGGACTGAACTTCATTGTTAGTAGCCGTTGTAGGGCGAATGTTGGCAAGGCGTACCCTTGTGCGTGTACTACCGGTACTTCCAACTGCAACACCCTTTGCCTCACACACATATTCCACATCACTGTCTACCGAAGGAACTTGGATTGATACTGAAGTTGAATAGGTGTTGTTCCTCAACGACGATCCTGAATGATGGATTTCGTATCAATAAAGATTGACTATGATGATTGGTAATTGAAAATAATTATATAACTGTACGGGGGCGCTGTTAACCCCTTAACACCAGCTGACAGGCATGCCCACCATGCCCACAGTCCGCTAATCTGTCCGATGTGCTGTTGTTAGCCGTGCTATGCTGTGGAAAGTGGTCTGTGGGCCGTATAGCCGGACAAAGGCCGTTGTGCAGTCATGTGTGTAAGCTGGTAAAGTGAGGCATGCCAATACCGACGTCAAGGGGTTAAAAGCTGACGATATTTGAATCTGACGAATGCATGATAATGAAATGTAGCGGTAATAATGATGTAGTGTCTTCAGAACCAATAATGGTGGATATGTGCGCTTTATTATACCTATTATTATTATCATTATGATGGATAGACACCGGATTTCATTGACCGAAACTAGTATTTGAGGGAGTTAGGCCTACACACTCCCACGCCCCCCCCCCCCCCCCAGCATTGCCAGTGACAACATATTACCGTACACGTAGGTGTAACATTGCTTACCCGAGTAGGCTGTTATAGCTACAGGCCTGACTGTCAGGTAGGCCTTGAGTTCCGTCAGCCCCCCCAAGAACCACTTCAATTCCACGGCAGGCTTGACCTGCTCCATGACACAGGTCAGATTGTGAACTGTGGTATCGTACCATACTGTCGCCTCGCACGTGTCCGCATCATGGTCTTCATTGCAGCCGATGACGGTAGGATATGGCCGATTTGGGGAGACTGTTGGTAAATTGAATGGATATCAATTGCAAAATAAAGTATTTTTTCCGATTCAAAAACAACAATTCAGTAAATCTGAAGCAGATTATTAAAAAAAATCTAGCCAGTCCAAAATTCAGCTCAGTAGATATACATGCAGTCTACTTTGGGAGAAAACACTGAAAATGCATCTTCATTGCTCTACATGCAAAGTGAGGTTTCCGTTGGAAGCCCTCCCTGAAATATTATTTAATACATTTTGACTTGCACCCTCTCATGATAATGATCCCAGTTTGTCATTTGGGAAAATAATTCTAATTCCCGGATAATGTAAAGGATCACAAACTAAACTAAGCCGTTTTTCACGGTTAGTGCCCTCCGCATATCAAAATGCCGGATTGTCGTCATGAAAATTCCATTGCTTTTGAAGCGTCTGCGAGAGATTTGAATTTCCAGTAAAATTTTCAACACCTTCTCCGCTTACACATTTTAATTTGTTGTGTTTGTACGTTTTTGAAAGAATTTGAGAATGGGTAGATAAAAAAGAGAGATGGGTAGATAAAAAACACAAAAATAGACTCACCTTTTTCAAGTACTTCTACTTGTCCCTCATGCATCACGTCTGACTTCGGTTTCACCTCAAAGGTGTAGGTTCCCTCATTGAAGGTGGTGACGTTTTCAATGACAAAATTGAACTCACTGTCGATATTGTAGACACCCTCTTGGATCCCGTTTCGGGTTTGGGGAGTCACACTTCCCAAGATGTATGAAATGAGCATGGAGGCATCGCTTTTTGGTCCATAGTACCAGTACATAGCTTCGACATCACCGGGCGGGATTCGGCGGGAGTTGACCAAGGGACAGGGCACGATCCCTCGGTGGCCTCGTTCCAGGAACACGGCTCCATCAGCATTCGCTACAAGTACGAAAGCACGCAAAACAATATTCAAGGTGGAATGATATTTGCTTCAAAACAGCAATGTTAACCCTAACTATCCCATATCCTCCAAAATCCTCTTTGCAAAATGGAGGATTTTGCGGGACTAAGGCTACATGGCAAAAATATGGTGCTGATTTCAGAGGACGCACTGTGTGTCAAAGTCTTGGGCCGGACCTTGTGCTGTTTATGCTCAGCCTTGCATACCGCTATGGGAATGTACCGGTCATGCCGGTAGGTCTACATGTACATGTATGTACTTGAAATCCTTTGCACTGCTCCAGGATGTCACTGGCTCTATTATTGACAGTGATAGCCGGAGGATTTTGCAGGGCCTAATTGACATCATGATTGAGGCAGTGGTCCCCGAACATCGCCAAGCTCAATTCTCAATTTGAATTTCAAAAAGCCACCACTAGATTTCATTTAATGTTCAGTATAATTCAAATTGTTAGCATTCCGATTCGTCCAAAATCTTTGAAATTGGTCTCGTGAAGCAATCGGCGTTGAATTGACAAAGCAAATTCGTTTTTTGTCATTCGTTTTCATGTTGTTGTCATTACATTTCGTCCCGGTGACTTAAATCGTATACGATTAGAAAATGCGCCCAATCTTTAGACTTATTTGAAGAATTATGCGTATTAAAACAATGATAACTCAACATATATTTCCTTATATGTATAAATAAAAGTAGTTAGCTGTAAGGTATGAATTTTTATTTCTGTGTTTCACAATTAACATTTAGAGTCATGAACTGACCTTTCACAATATGCACTTATGACATGGACACTAAGCATTAAGTTCAAAGAACTTCTTAATGTTGTTCTTTGATAGACATACCTTATTTCTGTTGTTTTATTCATATACATATATCAAAGAGCAACATAACGAAGGTTATGCTTAATCTCCATATGCTAAGCAAAGAGCATATTGTGAAAGTTCAATTTCTGATTTTTATGTTAATTGTCAAAGAAAACTCAAAACTTAAAGCTATACTTTTATTTATAAGGAAAAATTTGTTAAAAATTAAAATTTAATTAACCCTTACCCTACTAGACCCTCCAACGCATGCCAATATGTGCCTCAAGAAAATCTCCTATGTTTTTTGCATGGCCCTCCAATATCTGCCATGTCATTTCAAGGGTAACTGGACAGGCACTCCAATACATGCCACATAGAACAATGAGAGTCCTCTGATAACAAAGTGAGTGCCCCCAGCTGGTCAGTATCAGGCACCCTCCAGGGCCTCCAACTCCTGCCAATTGGAGCCTTCACTGCTACATCAAAGTATCCTCCAATAAACTGCAGCTGGAGGGCATTGGCATAACCAACTGACATGCAGTAAACTACCCTCAGAGAGTAAGGGTTAATGCGCAAACAAGTCCGAAGATTGGGGACATTTTTAATCGTAACGTTTTAAGTCGCCAGAGACGAAATGTAACGACAAGAACATTAAAACGAATGACAAAAAACGAATTTGCTTTTTCAATTCAACGTCGATTGCTTCACGAGACGAATTTCAAAGATTTCGGACGAATCGGAATGCTAACAATTTGAATTATACTGAACATTAAATGAAATCTAGTGGTGGCTTTTTGAAATTCAATTTGAGAATTGAGCTTGGCGATGTTCGGGGACGAAATTTAAGTATCGATATAGGAAATTCGTGTGATACATGTACAAGTGTTAAAATAGCCGGGAAAACCTATACATTGATCATGTATTAAAAAAGGTAGCCACAATGCAAGTGCCCAAACCTACCGGTATATCCCTGCTAAATGCACAGATCTCCAACAGAAAAAAAGGAAAAGTACATGTATGCTACATTGTACACGTTTACATACACATGTACCGTAGGTCACCGCAGTCCTCGGCCGTAGAGCATATCTATATATATAAGAGAGAGTTTAACTCGGCCTCCAAGACGATGTTTGCTCATGAAAGGATCCGAGACCGCGGGCTCCCGCGGCGCCAAAATCGCTCCACGTCCGTGGAAAAATGCGGAAGGTGTCTTCCGGCGGGTCGGACACTTCGGGTCGTCCTGATTTTTCCGTACGGACCGGCGATCCTTTTCGTCTATTTTTCGTGACTGCATTTTGCGCAGGAATTTGCCGTCGTGTGTGCTTTCACGTTGACTGCCTGGCCGCCCCCTGTCCTGGCTTTTCTGCGTGTCTAGACTGTGCGAGGTCAGCGGCTTCGACGTAGGGGTTCCGTTTACGTGTTCTACTCGGACGTTCTGCAAAAGCGTTCACCAAATTGTGGATGGGGTGACCTTGGTAAAATATTTTTTCTCCATGGTGCGTGGCCACCAAGTGCCCTTATTCTTTCATATGCTTCGCTTGCCGCCCCTGCGCCGAGTGCAACGAATACTCAGAAGGACTACACATTAAGTATGCCTTGCGCGGTCTGACCAATCGAAAGTCTACACTGCGTAGTATTTCCGGGCTATGCAAAACTGTCGATGGGAACGCGTACTGCAGCCTGCTCCACACCCTGGAAACGAGGTTGGGTCTACGGTGCTCGCTATTTGAAGCGCAAGCATGTGACGTGATAGAGTGCTGTTGCTTCCATAATGTGTTTACAGCTCCATGCTTCCACCACCAAGGCTGAGCGTTGTGAGTTCGCTGCCCGCCACGTATAATTCAGTGTCGTGTTATAATTTCGGGGGCCTGTTTTGGGTCAACGAAGGATCGATGCATTGCTTCAAACTCGCGATCTTAAACGCAGTCACAAAAAAAATCGACGACAAAGTGTCCGACCCGGCGGAAGACACCCACATTTTTCCACGGACGTGAAGCCGCGGTCTCGGATCCTTTCTGGAGCAAACATTTCTCCGAGGCGGAGTAAAACTTGCTCTTATATAGATGGTTGTACCAACTTCAATAAAAGTTACCGACTTTTTCCTCGCAGACGGTCTCGCAAATTGTTAGAAGTTCAGGTTTACGTTTGTTGAAGAGTCCAATACTGAAACTTAATTATGACCTTCCTCCATGATTCAGACCGTTTGTAATTTTATGGTAACACTCAACATTTTCATTTCAAATGACACCTTCACGTTTTATTGCATTATGATTTAAACCAGCCTTCGCCTGTGTACTACAGTATTCTTTTCACTACGTTTTCCAAATTCGCCTGCCTCACAAAAAGCCAATTTAACAGACCAACGGCAACATTTACAGACAGTTGCCACGGTACATAATTATCATGTGCGTAAATCGACGGGGGACAGGGGGAACCCCCCCCCCACCCCATCCCCCCCCCCCACACACACACACACATTTTGAGGCGGGGGCATTTTTTGGTGTGTTCCCCCCCCCCCCCCCCCCCCCCCACTTTTTCTTCCCCGAATAAAAATGTTGTAGCCTACAATAATAATTCTATTGCTCAGAATACATGTAGCTGATTCAATTACTCCAAACTCAAAACTTTAAAAGATGATCTTTGGTTTCAGTGGTCAGAAATTGTCTCAGATCACACCACAGAAATTGCTTTTCTATAACTGCATGTCTCCCCAACTATATCCCCCATTTACATTTAATTCCCCACATTTTCATCCCCAACACTACGCCCTACCCGATCTATGATCGGGTAAATCAGCTTGTTGATTATATTCATGAACTGAGATGATTTAGCCCCCCCCCCCCCCCCAAAAAAGTCTTCGGTTTCTGGTATGGAGCTTGCCCCAAAAGTGGTGCGGTGACGAAATCAGCTTTAAAGCTGAGATTTCACACCCCTTGTTTATAAAATGTGAATAAATTGGTACAATGTAAGTAAAAATGAGCACCTTCAGCCTCCCCCCCCCCCCCCAAAATATATGGTCGAAATATGCGGGCAACATGGAGTGTCATGGCCTAGCGGTTAAGAACACTGGACTCACATTCTGGTGTTTCAGAGGCAACAGTGACGTGGCTTTGAGCCCGCCGGCGGACACTTGTGCTCTTAAGCAAGGCACTTAACCATTATTGCTTCATCCTTCGGATGGGACGTTAAGCCGTAGGTCCCGTGTGTTGTATAAATGCATGTAAAAGAACCCAGTAAACACTTATCGCGTACAGAGAAGGGATTTGCCCCGGTGTTTCTGGCCTCCTGTATAAACTCCCACGTGGAGTATTTAGGAGAAGAACCAACCAAGAACCAAGAACATAAGTGTGCGCGGGAACAGTACTCCGAATCAACAAGATGAATTGAAGGGTCTGCACTCCAGCTTCAATTTTGTTTTTCAGCTTGAAAACTTGCACTAAACAATCTTGTTCATGTTTGGAATTTAGACTAGACTCGTAATAAGTACATAAATGTAATTCAGCTAGCGAAATGCAAATTGACGGGTCTTGGGGGTAAAGTTTGAGACCTTCCAAGACCGAGACTGAGACCGAGATCAGTGCTGTCAAGGCTAAGACCAGCTGACTAAGACAGAGACCGCAAGAAGGTCCCGAGATGGTCTGTAACATAGTGAGAGTATATACTTTTAAAAAATACAAAATTACAAATGTACATGTAGCTGGTAGTATGCTAGTTGCCACTTTCATCATGTTTAAAGCAGTATTTGGCCATAATCCCCACACATATCGGTACATCCCCACAGCTGACTAACGTTCATTTCAATGCAGAAAGAAAACTCAATTTTTTCCTAATAAGTAAATATGTTCCCCAACTTAATTCAGCCATGGAGCTATAAAAAGGATCAACAAACAATACACTCACTGATGTACTTACAACATAAACACACCACAAGAAGCAGAATTGGTACAAGTAATGACATTATTAATATTAAGTGTTTGATCATTCCTTCGGAGCCTAAGACCTCACTGTTTTTAAGTGTTACCAAACGCAAGTCTTGTTATTGGTAGACCAGATTACATCTATACTACGAGTATGAGCTACATGTACATGTACTGTTCTGTACATGTGTGCATGACCACAGCAGTCTAATACTAGCGCCCTCTATTATGCCGGGTATTATTTGCTCTAGTAGCCAGGGTCAGGGTTTGAAGTACACGTACTTACCTATCCCCTATTTTGCGAATGGCCGAGTCCATGGATGGTTGCCACAAGCAACATGTGTGGGGTGTAATGGTATGGCATCTGCCAAGGTTAGTGTTTGGGGTTGTCTAGCTACACACAGGTCAATTTTTTTTTTGCGGCAATATGGGGCCAAAGTTTTCCATAATTATTATGATCCCCCTGAAATTGATTTCAATATGTACACATGCTTCTTGAGACCTATTCGATGAGTGCAGCTGGTTACAAAAAAAACAACAGTTTTGGTGGTTTCTCATACAGGCCAATCATCACACCAGATATCATTTCAATCTGTGAGGGTCGGGTAAAAAAAAAACGTGTTCAATTGACACGGAATGACCCAATTGATATCCGACTTGATTCAATTGATATCTGGCTTCTCTGAATTGACATCTGAATCAATTCAATTGATATCTGACTTGATTCAGATAATCAATCAAATCACTGAGTTTCTTTGTTCCATTTTAATTTTTACCCTATAGACCCCTTGCATCTGATGTCACATCTGAGGGCAGGGTTTGTTCCTTTGCGATGCACAATATGCATAAAGAACACACTTTTTATTACTTTTATTGTCACTGAGTTAAGTAAAACCGACTTAACCAAATTGACAGTTAATCCCCTAAAAACGGCTACGACACGACACTGCTTCCTACCTGGCATGCCTGGACTGTTGGCAGACTGAACTTCATCGTATTAAGTAGCCATTGTTGGGTGACTTTTGGCAAGGCGTACCTTCGTGCGTGTACTGCTTCCTACAGCAACACTAGTTGCCTCACACATGCTGAAGTTGAATAGGTGTTGTTCCTCAATGACAAACCTGAATGATAGATTTGAAATCAATAGTGTATTGAACATCTTCAATCAAAGAGTGAGCAGTTAACGTAATTGCAGTTAATTTGAAAAGCCTGTTCAGCAAGGATTTACCAAAGGCTCTCGTGCAGTGCAGGTCAACAACTTGGAAAGATCTCATTCTCTGCCAACACTGCATGGCAAGACTGGTGGGACCTAGCAATCAGGACAAAAAGATGTTCCAACGTCTAGAGAAATCATTATTGATATACCTGGAGGTACATTTAAACAAAAGCCTGTAGTGACCATCCATGTCACCGCATTAAAGGATACGAAAACACAGTTTGGCTACTTAATTAAAGGTGCAATCGTTTGCATTTATCTCAAATTGCCCGATGAATTATTATCTAAAAGCTTACTGGGATTAAAGATCGTACTGGTACATTCCATTTGGCTTGCCGCCATTTAGAAAAAAATCGAGAAATGTAGGTGATTTCCAACGATCAGTCAATTGATCAATACATGTATTTGGAAATAAAGAGTATTATTACAAAATCATGTTTTTGTGATGAAGAGGTTTTGCTTGGAATTTCACTTTTTCCAAAAGTGTAATATGCAATGAGTTGAAGCTTCATGAGGTTAGCTTTTGAACGTTCTTCGAAATGAATGTAGTATGAGATTGGAAGGTTTGCAAGGTGGAAAGTTACTAAGACAAGGTAAGTATGCGGTAGAATGTTGTAATGTAGTAAGAATGTAGTATCCAGACGCCACTTCAGGGGTTGTGTACAAAGTCTGTGGCGAGTCAAGACAATTTTCTAAGTACATGTATTTCCTGACAAAATTGAAAACATTTCTAAGTCCTAGATTCATGTCTTTTCAACATTTTGCAATGACCGACCTTTATTGAGATGATATAAAAAGAGGTTTGACCTGATCCATGACGCATGTATTTTTTGTGCGCTGTACTGTCGTACCTCGTGGACATGTATATTTAAATCATGGTAATAAGATTGGTATTTACAGAGTTTACATTTGTCCATGCACTCGGACCCTGTGCCCGATTACATCATAGTCCCCCCCCAAAAAAAAAGGTGCATAAATATGCTTTGTTCAGTTCATGACCTCGTGTTTGTATGGCCAGCCGCCCCACGCGCCTGACAAGCGTCATGAACTGAATGCATGTGGGTTACTTCATGAAAATCGGGCAAAAAGTGTGACATTGGGTCAAAGTTCCCAAATGTTGATCTGAATATTGTTTTTGATAGCTCAACTACTATATTTTTAGGAAATAGTATGCTTCTTCCCCAAAACATAAAACTGAATTTGTGGTTGATCTTTATATTCATGATGGGAAATTCAAAATACCTATGCTACATGGACACCAAATCTAAACAATTGCTCTGAACATGTTTTAATGGGTTAGGTTATTTGTCAGTTTTCTTGTTGTTTAAGATTAACTTTTAGGGTATAAACAAAGGAAAAAACAAATGGTTCAGCAGATGCTCAAAATAAGTTGATACAACCCACTGTAAATTGAGGCTTTTTGTGTAATTTTGACAAAATTGTGCTTGTTTGGAAAAAGTAACCAAATCAGCTAGAAGAGATCTAAAATAGCATTTATGAGTAAAAGTTTGACTTAAATGACACAGTCAGTGTTGGAACTTACGCTCAGCAATGCGAGAGGGCGCTCGTGCCGCCAGCGAGAGGGCGCTGTTCAGCATGCAGCTGCTTTCGCGCCAGCTTTCCCCGCTGCCATGTTGAGGAATTCCCAATTCGTCCTCAAAATCATTCAATATTTGTATGTCCTAAACGGGGCCATCGTTGCCTGACTGGGTAAGATACTTATTGTAATAGTTATAGCAAATCATAGTCACTTTGGGGAACAGAACAGATCCATGAAACTCGTATTTTAGGGACTTTAATTGCATGTTTATTTTACCGATGGGCTACTTTACTCTTCACTATATGGTTCAGGTATTGGGGGCGATATGGTGGATTTGTCACGTGTTTAATCATGTTAAAGTATCAGGGGGGATTATAAGGGGTTAAATGATAATTCAATCAGAGAACCATCGATCTGGGTTATATTCCTCAGTTTAATAGGGGTTCCTAATATTACAGTCAAGAGGGCATTTTATAACTTAACTGGGTCACATGTCTCCATTTTAATCATAAGAAGTTACAGGTTTGAATTATAACTGTTGTTTATTGTTTACTTCATTAACCCTAACCGCCCTGAATCCTCCAAAATCCTTTTTGCTAATTGGAGGATTTTGCAGGATTGAGGTTACATGGCAAAAGTGCGTTGCGGATTTCGGAGGACGCACTGTGTCAAGGTCTTGGGCCGGACCTTGTGTTGTTTATGCTCAGTCATGCATAAATTTAGTCCTTGATTATACTTGAAATCCTCCGCACTGCTCCAGGATGTCACTGCCTCTGCCTCAGCCTATTGACAGTCATAGCCGGAGGATTTTGCAGGATTCAGGCAGCGGTCACACCTCCATGGACCATATTCAAGAAATAATGGAGGAATTTGCAGGATTGAGGCTATATGCTATTTTTCCATGAGGCCAATTGGAGGATTTTGCAGGATTGAGGCTACATCCTAGCAAAAGGGCCTAGGGAGTTAGGGTTAACAGCATAAGCAAGCAAGTAAGTGATACGGTGAACTGTAGGCACCACCATCAACAACTGTCTGTTGTTATCAGCTATTCTCTTGTGTGCATCTGGAAGAGTTTATAATAAATTCAGAAGGTGTACTGTTCAGGGAATACCATCTGGTGTCTCAGTCTTCATTGTCATCCCATCTTAATATCAGCCAGCAGTAACACCCCCCCGAGTACACACCCACTAGATCGCAAGTGCCTAACCGGACTTGTCAGAGACGTCATGCCCAAATAAGTCCCAACCGCTGTTAACTCTACAGTCAGTGAACCACCTTTCTAAAATGATGTTCAAAATGTATGCCTTTGCTCGTCGTGCTGAAAAATATGGCTGACAATGTGTCAATTTTACCTATGCTACATGGACACCGTGTCCTGTACATAGGTAGAAAACAGCACAATGTATCCAGTAATTAACTGAAAATTAAGCCAAAAATGGCTAAATCATGTTTTATGGCAGTGGACATGCAAACCGAATACAAAAGCTGAATTTTGGATACATAATTTGGATGTATGTATGAATTATAGAGTGTGGAACAATACCTATGCTACATGGACACCGTGTCCTATTTATCAATTTTCACTTTAGAGGAGCAAACCCTTATGTAAAATAGAGTTCATCTGTATCTGATTGTTATTAATTTATTGTAATTAACCACTTTCTTGGTTCTAACATTAAAAAATAATTTGTCTACAATCATAGCTTCACAACTAAAGGAATAGGCTACTCTCTTACCTATGCTACATTTTCTACCTATGCTACATTTGGACACCACGCTATATTTTGGAACATAAATCTTAATTGCTGAAGAACAATTTTCCAAAGCATGTTTTATTTTCAATATCCATCCAATTACTATTTACCAAAGATTAAGATGTGTCAGTATGTGTGGAGGTTTTTCTGTTTGAGGGGTTTCTTTAGTTTGAAAATACCGATGCTACATGGACACCATTTTAAAAAATGATACTTTTTCTTCTTGCATCTTATAAACAGCAGCAAGTTTGGAGAATTCAACTTTTTAAAAAGTCAACTTGGAGTGAGTTGAACATATTAAAATCAAAATCTGTCAGATACAGTGTACTGTATGGAAATAGCAAGCCTTAGTAGCTATGCTACAGGACACAAAAAGTGCGGACACCAAATGTAGCATAGGTAACAGAATTTTTAAGTGCGGACACCAAATGTAGCATAGGTAACAGAATTTTCACATGATGCATGTAATATCAACACGAGCAGCTTTTGTACAATTTTATGCATAGATATGGGTGAACAATAGTAAATTACTTAAAAGGATTGATCAGTTGGCATTTTTGCAACAAAACACACAAAATAAAAACACATGTTTCTGTCAATTTAAATGTCACACTTTTTACTGATATTTTTAGTGGTTTTTGCACACATATTGCCCGATAATCTTTTTTTTAGGGCAGATACAGTCCTAGTTTGATTTTATTTTTAAAAGTAACATCATATCCTTTGAGGAAAATGTTACTTTGAAGGATTTGAAAGACTAAATTTTTTACAAATTGATAACAAAGAGAGTAAATTCAGCATTATCAGCTATTATTCCAACTTCATGGAGTAACCCACATTCATAATCTTGCACAAGTGCCCCCGCATGCATATTACAAAGCGGCCACCATATTGAAATCGCATGAAGGAACATTTTGGGGATGATATTCGTGGGAGATGATGACTGAAGGTCGTCTTTTGGCCAGATGGATGAAGATTTTTAGATAAAAGAACATTTTCTCGAAAAGGTATGAGTTCCTCTACGACTAGGAACCTTAACTTTGGAAATTTCTGTCCTGGATGAGAAGATAATCTCGATCAAAATCGGTAGCAAAATCGCTACATCAGGGTTAAGCATTTAGGGCCTAGGGGAGCATTGGCTGCGTCTGGCCATACTACAGAGCTTGCGATAGTAGTGTAAGGCCAGATGCAGTCGGGCTAGTATGGAGGGTACCGCTTCGATACATCAAAAATGGGTAAGAGTCCCACATCTGGCCATCACTAATTTTTTCCTTCACAGTATTATCACTATCAGTTAGTATAATTAGTCCCATAAATGTAGCCAATTTACTCATAGAGCAAGGAATTGTTCCTTGCTCTATGATCGATTTACTGGACTATCTATGCTCCAGTAAATTGGCCACATTTATGGGGTTAGGGGCCTATATCATTATCACTATCAGTATCAGCCATCAGAAAGTGACAATAGGCCTAGGCCTATGTCCTAAAAAGTCAAATTTTGCAGGGAAGATATTGAATTTGAAGTATTTACTGAGAAAACACTTTGAAATTTTCAGACAACATGCAGACATGGACAAGTGATGGCCAGATATAGCCCCATAAATGTGGCCTATTTACTGGACTGCCTCCGTAAACATAGGCCACACATCCACATGTACAAAAATCGTGTCGACGGAGCCAAATTTTGATTTTCACATTTAGGCTTAGTTTGTAGGGTTTTTTTGCTTTAGAAGCATACTCACCCTCTTTACAGGCTAATCAGAAAGTGCTGCCTTTTTCAGATGTCTAATTTTTGTGAAATTTCATGTTGAAATTTTGATACGCAAACGTGTAAAAATGAATCTGGAAATTTCACGAAAAATATACATCTGAAAAAGGCAGCACTTTCTGATTAGCCTATAAAGAGGGTGAGTATGCTTCTAAAGCAAAAAAACCCTACAAACTAAGCCTAAATGTGAAAATCAAAATTTGGCTCCGTCGACACGATTTTTGTACATGTGGATGTGTGGCCTATGTTTACGGAGGCAGTCCAGTAAATAGGCCACATTTATGGGGCTAGGCCAGTGTGTTCTTATTCCTCCATGGCCAGATATAGATATATGGGAATCTTTCCCAAAACAATGAAAAATGAGGATAGGTCCAAGCATGGAGAAATAAAACAAAATAGGCCCTACATGCCCTAAATGTGTTTTATTTCTCCATGGTCCAAGTTAAATACAACTTAATACAAGTTACTTACAAGCATGTTGTAATGTCTCCTGCGAAATTTGAGGTCTTCAGTCCTTCACCTATCAATAATATGTACCTTGCTCGTACTTTGAATCTGCTGCGACTGTGCGACTGCGAGCATGGTGCGAGGAATAATTTATGGATTTATAAAAGAAATAACACGTTTGTACACTATCTGGTCAAGTATTTATTCCTTTTCTCACTCACTGGTAAATATATGCATGAAATGAGTATTTTGGTGGCTAAAAAAGTTACATGCACGTCGTGCATTTTCAGTAACAGGCTACGCGGACAAGCACAAAAGCACTGATGTGCAAGCACGACACTCACTGCACCACCATGTCTCGCCTACCCGGACCGTACCCGTACCCGGCCATATGTCGAGCCCTGATGACGTTGATCAACAACTCACAAACTGACGAATCAGGCGCGGCGCCGGGGAGGATCAGTCTCAGTCCAACCTCGTCCCCAGATTGTCGAGCAGTACGCGCCCACCACTACCTGCTCTCTCAATTGGAAACGCGGTTGGAAATAAAGTAAGCACTGGGGACGAGGTTGGTCTCAGTCCGCAGGGCCGGCCCTGCGGACTGAGACCTCGTCCCCAGTGCTTACTTTATTTCCAACCGCGTTTCCAATTGAGAGAGCAGGTAGTGGTGGGCGCGTACTGCTCGACAATCTGGGGACGAGGTTGGACTGAGACTGATCCCCGGCGCCGCGCCTGATTCGTCAGTTTGTGAGTTGTTGATCAACGTCATCATACGAAAGCCCTGTAGTGCCATCAAGTATATATTTCGCCAAGTTCGTTTTTATGAGTTATATATTTCGCCAAGTTCGTTTTTATGAGTTATATATTTCGCCAAGTTCGTTTTTATGAGTTATATATTTCGCCAAGTTCGTTTTTATGAGTTATATATTTCGCAAGGTTCGTTTTTATGAGTTATATATTTCGCCAAGTTCGTTTTTATGAGTTATATATTTCGCCAAGTTCGTTTTTATGAGTTATATATTTCGCCAGGTTCGTTTTTATGAGTTATATATTTCGCCAAGTTCGTTTTTATGAGTTATATATTTCGCCAGGTTCGTTTTTATGAGTTATATATTTCCCAAGGTTCGTTTTTATGAGTTATATATTTCGCCAGGTTCGTTTTTATGAGTTATATTTTACGGAATTACGGAGTTTAATGAAGTTACGGAGCCCCTAAAGGGACATCCAAAATTATTTTTTTATCTCGTGCGCACGACATAATATCTCGTGCGCACGAGATAATTATCACTGGCGCACGACATATATCACGTGCGCACGACATAATATCTCGTGCGCACGAGATAATTATCACGTGCGCACGACATATATCTCGTGCGCACGACATATATCTCGTGCGCACGACATATATCTCGTGCGCACGACATATATCTCGTGCGCACGAGATAATTATAAGCATTAACGGAGCTTGCGCATGTCGTGCGCACGAGATATATGTCATGCGCACGAGATAGTATGTCGTGCGCACGAGATAATAACATAATTTTGGATGTTCCTTTAGGGGCAGCGTACCAGACACGCTGCTTTCGTTACACACAAACTCGTCCGCTGCAAGTGCAGCAAGCTCCGTTAATACTTATAATTATCTCGTGCGCACGAGATATATGTCGTGCGCACGTGATAATTATCTCGTGCGCACGAGATATTATGTCGTGCGCACGAGATATTATGTCGTGCGCACGTCATATATGTCGTGAGCCTGTGATAATTATCTCGTGCGCACGAGATATTATGTCGTGCACACGAGATAAGAAAATAATTTTGGATGTCCCTTTAGGGGCTCCGTAACTTCATAAAACTCCGTAACTCCGTAAAATATATCTCATAAAAACGAACTTCGACAAAATGTATCTCATAAAAACGAACTTCGAGAAAATGTAACTCATAAAAACGAACTTCAACAAAATGTATCTCATAAAAACGAACTTCGACAAAATGTATCTCATAAAAACGAACTTGGCGAAATATATAACTCATAAAAACGAACTTGGCGAAATATATAACTCATAAAAACGAACTTGGCGAAATATATAACTCATAAAAACGAACTTGGCGAAATATATACTTGATGGCACTACAGGGCTTTCGTATCATCAGGGCTCGACATATGGCCGGGTACGGTCCGGGTAGGCGAGACAGGGTTGGTCCGCAGCTCACGCGATAATGAGGTCAAATCCCGAACTTTATGTGCACGGGCTACGTCACGAATCGGCCACGAGACTTACACGTGTTATTGCGAGAGTTTGGCAGCTTTTTTTTAATGAACTACACGTTGCAAATGAAGTAGCGGGTCTCCAAGATGGCGTGGTAAGTCGAAAGCGAACGTTTTTCTGAATCGAATGATTATTATTATTATTATTATTTATTCGGCCAAATTACAAGGTATAACAAGCAATTCACAAAAGTAAACAAAACTAAACAAAAACAATCCAATCCAAGCTGGCCAGGATTGACAAAAGTATAATAAAACACTGTGACTCGAAAGCCTGTCAATCCTAACTTGAATGGTACATGTAACATACAAAAAATATTATTAAAAATTAGGTATAAAATTCAATGAAAAATAAGACCGCCTTAAAAATAATACATAAAAAGATAAATAGATTTAAAAGATTACAGTTACAACAGTTTTCTCAGAGGCAAGAATAGCTGGCATGAAAACCTAACAACTGCAGATTATACAAGACTGGGGAAAAACAGACAAACAAGCCAAAACAAAACTAACAAACAAACAAACAACCCCCAATAAACAAAGAAACAAAACAAGACAGGATAAGACTTAACAAAATGTAACAAAACAAGTCAAGACAAGAGACAAGACAATATGTCGAGATTCAGTAAGTTTTTGGCGGAACTTTGTTCACTCGAAGTTGGGGTGTGATTTTGAGGACTAGGCACAATTGCATGCAGAATACCCCGCCACTCGATCTATCCACCTCGTAGCCGGTGTGGCAGGTAATTCTACCCCCCTGGTAAATGTGTCCCCGGCCCCTCGGACAGATCTACCGGGTCGTGACCCGGTAAATCTGTTCGGGGGGACACTTTTACCTAGGTAAACCTGTGTAAGTGACAGGTTGAGTGCGCGTGGGCTTACCTTTAAGCATGCGCGCGCGGGCTTGCCTCCAAATATGCGCGCAGGTTGTTTTACGATGCGCACACTGAACATTCTATATGATGCGCGTTCGTGTACGTTATTTTCACTTTCACTTCATAATCCTACATAAGAGAGTTACATAATCGCTAGCTGCATATTTCTTCATCCAATCGACTGCTTTAGCTTGGGCCACAGAGAGTATCCTGCCGAATTACCACAGCCTCATATAGTAAAGCTGGTCTGAAGGCGTAAACGTTTTCACGGTGATTCAATAAATGCCTGTAATCATCAGTAAGAATCCGTTGCATCATTCATGACCAGCCCCCTAGAGCGCTCCAGTGCGCCTACAGTGAAAACGTTGCCTCAACGCAGATGTATCGCTGCTCCTACACCCCGATTTCCACATGCCCGATGCTCCAGCACGTCCCAGGGATTGCTACAATTCTCCCGATGCCAGTCGACTGACTCATCGTGTCTTCGCCAGTGGTAAGCCAAAGTGGACAGCCAAGTTTCGTCGTGTTTCAGAGCCGGTCCTTGCTGACTTCAAGGTGTCTGCTACGTCAGCACGCACACCCTATAATTGACGAGAACTGTTTTGGCTTTGTAATGATCGATTATAGTTAATACGTACCGTAGATTAGTGCTATAATTAAAGTGACTGATTTATACCACTGTTCGAGTTACCTAATTGTAATGTATAAGCTATAAGCTATCGTTTTAGCTATTAAAGAAAACTATGTTCATTGTGTAAACATGGTATTCCCCACCCCCAAGTAGCAATAACTGTAAATGCATAAAGTCATGTTAACAGTAGAAGTAGGAGAGCAAGAAGCTACTGTTACAGAGCAAGGCTTTTACGACGCAGTGAGAGAGAAAGAACACTAACGGAGAAAGCACAAATCAACCTAGAGCAAGCCATACAAGATAAAGAACGAAGGCCAACAATGCTTACTCAAGGTGGAAGGCACAAGCCAAAGCGGCCAGAGGACTCCTCAAGACTTTCTTGCCTGAAGAGGAACTCAAGAATCAGCTGCAAGAAGTCCATAATTGCGTCCAATGTCTTATGCGCAGCTACGAAGATGGAAGGAAACTGCAAGCACCGGACCCAGAAATACTCCGGAAGGTTGATTGTGCTGTCCAGGTTTCTGAAGATATCGATGCGCTGATCAAGAAACGACTGGAAGATGTGAAGAAACCAGACTTTAATCCTGAGGTCACATTGTTCAATATTCGTGCCAGCTTGGATAAGGCAAAATATCCATCAGTCTTCAGTGGCATCACAGAGTCTCAGGTTTCTCCATCCTCTGATCGATCAAGTACCTCCAAGGTCTCACGCATTTCTTCGAGTAAGGTCGACGCAGCAGCTGCGTTAGCGGCAAGGAAGGCTGAGCTCCAATCAGTTCATGAAATTCAAGAACAAAGCAGAAAGATCAAGGAAGAGGAAAACAAGCTGGAAAGGCTGAAAGCTGAAAAGGAGGTCAAAATAGCCGAAGCTCGGTTCAAGGTTTACGAGGAAGAGGAGGAAGAGCAGAACGCCTCCCTCAGCACGGAGAATCTAGAAGGAAATGTTGTGACACATATCTCCCATTATAAGAGAGAGGTTGAATCTTCCCCTGATGCGCCAAAGACATCTAACGACATGGCTACAGTACTGCTGAAAGCCTTCCAGGAAAGCATCTCCTTGGGCAGGTTACCCGTGCCTGAACCAAGCACATTCAGCGGAAATCCGATGCAGTTTACGGAGTGGAAGAATGCCTTCTCAGCGCTTATAGAAAGAAAGAACATCCGTGCAGCGGATAAGCTATTTTATCTCAAGAAGTACACCGCTGGTGCTGCAGCGAAGATGATACAGGGAGCTTTCCTGCGTTCAGACGAATTAGCCTATCAAGATGCCTGGTCACAATTGACCCGAATGTTTGGAGATCCGTTCATCATTCAGCGTGCCTTCAGGGAAAAAATTTCCAGATGGCCAAATGTGGGCGAGAGGGATCCCCAGGCTCTAAGAGATTTCTCTGACTTCCTTATCGCCTGTAATGACGCAATGCCACATGTCAAAGGATTGTCCATCCTGAATGACTGTGAAGAGAATCGGAAGATGGTGAATAAGCTACCTGAATGGGTTGCAAGGCGATGGAACCGTCGCGTGACGAATTCATTGAAGAATGGGGAGTATCCCTCCTTCAAGGAATTCAGCGACTTAATCGCAGAGGAAGCTGAAGTAGTATGCAACCCCATAACCTCTCCTCTTGTACTGGATGCCCAGGAGAACCCCAAAAGGGAAATCAGACGGCCCAATCATCAAGCTATGGCGATACAGGCCTCCAGACAAGCAGCAGCATCTTCAAGCACCCCTCAAATCCAGACGGATAACTATCCGGCTAAGCCATTTGTGTCATGCACTTTTTGTAATGGCCCTCATTCCATTCATAAGTGCTTTAAGTTCGAAGGCAAGTCGGCAGAAGAGAAGAAGCAGTTTGTCCAGGAAACCAAACTCTGCTTCGGCTGTCTGAGAAAGGGGCACCAGTCCAAAGACTGCAAGAGACGAGCTACCTGTGCCAAATGCAAACGATCTCACCCCACTCCTCTCCATGAAGACAGATCACCGCACTATAAGGGCCCAGCCAAGGAAGGGAATGAGCTGGCCTCAGCTGTGTCCTGCTGTGCTACAGAGGGAGGTAATACTCCATTGACATCGATGATTGTACCTGTGTGGGTGGCTGCGGGCTCCAATCCCGCCCGAGAAGTTCTCACTTACGCCATGCTGGATACGCAGAGCGACACATCCTTCATGCTGAACACGACCGCCGAGAGTCTTGGGAGCAAAGGTCAACCGGTTCAGATGAAGCTGGCAACAATGACATCAAGCTCAACAGTCTCAAACTGCATGCTTCTTAAGGACATCACAGTTAGAGGAATGCACTCCGAAAAGGCCATCACCATTCCAAAGTTGTACACCAGCTGGAGACTTCATCCCTGCAGAGAGATCACTTATTCCCACTTCTGAAACTGCCCTGAAGTGGCCTCATTTGGAGTCGATTGCCAGCTCTCTTCCTTAAATGCAGGACTGTGACATCGGAATGTTGATAGGTTTCAACTGCCCTGAAGCACTTGTACCCCGAGAAACTGTGACTGGCAAGAGTAATCAACCGTATGCTGTGAGGACCGATCTCGGTTGGTCAGTGGTAGGAGGTCAATCAGGAGCTACGATGATGTGCCACAGAGTAATGACTAAGGAGAACCCTGTCCCCTTCAAAAGAGTGTTGTCGGTGCTCGAGCGGGACTTTTCAGATGACAAGGGAGGTAAAGTTTCTCAGGAAGACCTCCAATTTCTCCACACCATCGAGTCTAAGATTACACAGCTTGAGGATGGCCATCCGCAAATGCCCCTACCGTTCCGCTCTCGTCCAAGTTTGCCGGTTAATAAAGCTCAAGCATTCATCCGCCTTGGCTGTCTCAAGCGCAAGTTACTTAAGGATAAGAAGTATCGTAATGACTACGTGAATTTCGTCCAAGATGTCATTGCGCATGGTGATGCGGAGGAAGCCCCGCCAACGTGAAGGAGGGAGAAGTGTGGTATATTCCTCATCACGGTGTTTACCACCCGAAGAAGCCTAACAAGATTAGAGTCGTGTTCGACTGTTCCAGTAAGTACCAAGATACTGCCCTGAATGACCATCTTCTAAGTGGCCCCGATCTGACGAATGCCCTGGTGGGAGTATTGAGTCGCTTTAGGAGTCATCCTGTAGCCATAGTCTGCGACATAGAAAGGATGTTCCATCAGTTCATGGTCAGGCCGGAAGACCGAGATTATTTGCGTTTTCTGTGGTGGAAGGATGGGGACCTCGCTCAGGAACCAACAGAGTACAGAATGAAAGTCCACTTATTTGGAGCCACATCGTCCCCAGGCTGTGCCAACTATGGTCTTAAGTTTCTGTCCAAGTTTCTGTCGAGAGAGAGCTTCCGTCTGCAGCCAAGTTCATCAGACACCATTTCTATGTAGACGATGGCTTGATAAGTACAGAGACGAATGAAGAGGCAATGCACATCATTCAAGAAGCCAGAGACTTGTGTAGTAGACAGTGTTGTAGGTCTCGAGACCAGTCTCGGTCTCGGTCTCGCCGGTCTCGAGACCACTTTTTGCCGGTCTCGGTCTCGGTCTCGGTCTCGGGAGCTGTGGTCTCGGTCTGGGTCTCGGTCTCGGTCCCCTTTGGTCTCGATATTTTGGCTGGTCTCGAGTCGAGACCAGCCAAAAAGTGAGGGGGGGGGAGGCGGATTCCGCCCCCGGCCCTTTTAGGGTTAAGTAAAGAATCAGTTTAGGGCAAATGTGACTGCAGTGTGATGCTAATGGACATGTCTCTCTTCACTTTCTAGTGAGTGAGGCATAGTCCAATAACCATTGCTCCCCTTCTTATTTCTCGTTTTTATTGTGGGATGATCTGTTGAAACAAGCACTTTATAGCCATCCTCATTGATTCCAAATACAACTGAGATTTAAATCTTATGAATCAAGACTGAAACATTATTTTTACCGTCAGATTTTGTATTTTGAATATGGGAACAATTCAAATCTTTTTCCCTAGAAATATTGGTGATTTTTTTTCTATTTTCCTTTTCAAGTTTTCCTTTATTCGTGGAGGCGGGAAAACGTTTTTTTTAATTATATTTATTAATGGATATTTATCAATTCGTAGACTGTTAAATTGGTATTAGTGGTGGACAGCTGAATTTTGTGATCTCTTTATTAAAATAGACACGACTTGGGAATAGAGTATGCAAATTACGTGAAGTGTTCACAGTTACTACTCAATAACATGTTCTTTATCCCAATTATATTTTTTACGAAATGCCATTTTTTTTTATCATACGGTCACTTTCTTTTTGACTCGCCATGTATTCACCTTTTCATCTGTGATAAACACAAATTGAGCTACTGCCATAGTCACACAAAAATAGAGTCTAATTGCCTGCCTCGTCTCCTTCCTAAAATGTCAATTGCATTTGCACGAGTCGAAAAGAATTGTGTTCCATTAATCGCTATATGGGTGCAGACCAGTAAATCGGTCCGAAATTGCCTACGCCGGCCAAATCACGATTTGCATGCCCTCAAAATCTTCAGTATTTGAGCATGCTGTGGGCCATGAATTTGAAAGTTTGTAAAAAATATGGGTGGAAGCCGTGCACAGGACTGAGAGCTTGCAGTTCTGTGTAATTTGGATGTAATTTGGACCCTAAAAGCGCTCTATTTTGCAATGGAGTGTAGGCATCGTTTTTTCAAAATGGCGATGGGCTTCAGGACTATTTTCTGGGGTGATCATCTTCAGAAGGAAATTTCTCCTGAAAGTCATCAGTTGACCCCCGGAAATTGAAAAGAATATGAAAGATGTTTGATGTGTGTCTCGAACACCTTGGAGAGTTGTGAGTATTTTTCCCGAATTTCTGAAGTGGGAGCATTTACCATTGGGGTCTATGGAAGTTTATTTACTGGTCTGCTACCATGTATAATTATATAAAGCATCTGCTGCAGCTGTTCCAGACAATGCGCGCAACTTTAGGGTATAATTTGTGGATCGTTACTTTGTCCTCATAATTTTTATTCACCTATATACTCTAGAAAATGTTATTGAAGTAAGGAGTTGTAATTAGAATCACCAAAATATACTTTTCGAAAAAAATGAAAAAACAAAAATATACCTTAATAAATTATGGGAACTAATATTACACGGGAGTTACTTACGATGTATGCAATTATAGGCACCCTTACCTGACTAAATTGATTTGCACGTTTACAGTTTTCACTAAGGCTGCATCCGAATCAGTTGTCTAGGGCTATGTCTAGGTCTGCGCCCATTGAAAATACGCGGGGACGCGCTGACAATAGACGTAGCCGTAGCTCTGGAAGCCCGTTTCGGACACGGCCTAAGTGTATGATCTATAATTTAAAAACCTTTAATGCACTGTGATTTAATTTGAAACTGACCCCCTCCCCCGATAGCGATTTATGTTTCCATACCACCTATTCGCTACTATATAAAAATTATGCAATGTTATCCAATGCAACATTGTTTTTTCTTTTCTTTTTTTTCCTTCTTTTTTACTTTTGTTCTTATATGGGCGGCGCGATTGCGTCACATGCCTGGTCCGGTCTGGGGGAACTAGTACAAACCTATGCACGTGCCATGCGCACAAAATATGGCGAGTCATTATAGTACGTACGTACGGACGGCATTCACATTCAGTTCATCATTGGTCGACAATAATCGCACAAATAAACCGTGCTGTCTTTAGCGTTGCACTTTATCTCTCTATTTGTCAACACTGCAGATCATGTAAACACCCTAAGGCCAACGTCCAACGACAAAAATGGCACAAAAGAAAAGCTTGAAGCAGATAAGAAAAGAGTCCACTCGCGTTCCAGTTAAACACGATGAGGACGACGCGGACTGCGACATCGCTCCACACATGGCGGACGACGAGCGTGAAATCACGGGTGATGACACCGGGGGAAAGCGCGCCCGCTCAGTCAGCGGTGACGGTGAAAAACAGGAGACCATACCGCCGGATCTGAAATACTCCCCACGCACACATCCACTTAGGAAGGCTAATTTCGTCTCGAAAATATTTTTTTGGTAAGAACATAGGCCGGAATATTAGGCTACTACTGACTGTGTTTAGAGTTAATGTTGGGAAAAATTGCACATGACTCTGTTCATACTGGTGTGGTCAAAGTCTAACGAGACTCTTGAAACATGTGAAATTTTATGAAAACATTGGATGTACATTTTTTTAAATTAATAATAAAATGGTGAATCGGTGGACAAAATGTTTCAACCCGACGTCACTTCAGCGGTTGTGTACAAAGTCTATGGAGAGTCAAGAACATTTTTTAAGTATTTCCTAACAAGTAACAAACTTGGAAATGTTTCTCGGTCCCACTTCAACAAGTTTCATGTCTTATCACCATTTTGCAATGACTGACCTTCATTGAGATTATATAAATGAAGAAAAAGTGGCGTTAGGTTGCAGCATTTTTTCCGTAGATCATATGCAACCATCCAAAAAGTGACAAAAGAAATGATTGTTGAAACGCCTACTTGGTGTAATCTGAAACTTCATAGTAAAACTAATGGCACTAAACTCCCTGTGAAATTATTCTTTCTTACAATACATGCTGTCATTTTGAAGAAAACAATAATTAAGAAGGCCATTTCCAAAGATGCGTCAAGTGACACATTTTTGGAAATTTCCATTAGTTGTTCGTTAGGAATTCGGCGAATCTGTGAACGGGTGCATGGAAAGGTTGACACAACGCACATGCTCAAGCGGTTGCTATTAAGTATTATTTGTCGGTTCAGTGCGTGACATCGCGTAGCTGCAATCGGCTGAATGAGAATGTGTCCCGGACACTGATTTCGGGCGCAATTCAAAACATGACTAGAGGCAACTTTTGAATTGAAATCAAGATCCTAGAATATTGTTTCTTGGAATATGGGCAGTTTCACGGGAAAGGTTGCAAAAAAGTCTCATGGGGGGTCAAAAATGAAACTTGTTGTATCCATAAAACATGTTTATTTGTTGAAAGTACATACATAAAGGTACTAGAAAATGTTAAAGTCAAGGCTTAAACATTTTTTCATTTCAATTTTAAGGCACTTTACACTTTGCAGACCATAAAATTTGTCGAATAAAGGTAGGTATCATAAACTGCTAATTCCACATCTCAAACATGCTTAGAGTTGCTTTAAAATGATTGATAGTCATCACAGTAGTCATGTCTTGAATATTAATGCACTCTAGGCTAGAAAAATACCACGTTATCTCATATACTGACAAAAAAATTCAATTTTATAGCTCTCTTTTCCTTGAAACACAAACTTTCATTTCTGTTTTACAGAAAACCATGTAGCCTGCTGATTATTTGCACTTTTGTTCAAGGGCTGTATACATGGTAGAACAATTGGCAAAGAAATTGTGTTTATAGTGTGCTGCGTTATAGAGTTACCATGGTCTTTATAATTGCTATGAAAAGAGTTTACTTTGTTCAGGAAAGGACAACAATTTTAACAATTACTACATTCAGTCAAGTTTGATCTTATGAAGCAACATTACAAGAAATATAACCATAAAACTAGAGTTGGGAGGCTATACATTTGTGAGGCAGATCAGTTTGTACCTTATAAATGCTCCACCTAACTAAATTTACGTTCAGGAAAGGACAAACTATTTAACAATGTTTAGCATACTGGTACTAGCACCATGCATTTCCTGCATGACAATAAAGTTAGTCTGAAGTAATGTCCATTCAAATGATTAGGCTGTAATTAGGCCTACTGCTGGCGAAAACATAACTTTGTATAGACCGCTTGCAGACGCGTTCGATAATTGACGCGCTAAGGTGAGCGACGCCATGTTATGGGACAAAATGTGCGTGAATTGATATACGCCTGTCCCACAACATGGCGTCGCGCGCCTTCGCGCGTCGATTATCGAACGCGTCTGCAAGCGGTCTATTGAGACACTGATATATACATGTACCGGTACATGCCCCACAAAGAAATGCCTAGATAATTACACTGTACTATCCAATGGAAAAAAAAATCAGTCAGCATGGCGCTTTTTATAAAATGGGATGTAAGGAATAGGCACATCAAGCCCAAAACAGTTTAAAGAACTTGTACACACGTACGTAGTTCATGTATGCACTGAGGAAGGTTCTTGTGTATCTGTACTTGTTCCTTGTTAAATGTTTCAAACATGTTCAGGAAAGGACACACATTTTAACAAGTTGTGCATGATCAGTGCATGATAAGCTTGACTGTTCCAATTTTCATAGCAATTAAACTAATGAAATGGCTGCACACAGAAAGAATTGTTAAAACAGTGCGGTACAATGTATAACAGATGTTGTTAAACTTGTTAAAAAAAAGTGTCCTTTCCTGAACACATGCATACACAGAAACTAGACTAAAACAGTAAATTTTGATTACATTTACTCAAACTAAGGTGTGTATTTTGTGGAAGGGATGGTTTGAAACTGTAAATTAGCCAATTCCTGACAAATATTGGATTTAAGTGTGCCTTGTAAAGATAAATGTATATGCATATGCTTACTCATATTGTGTGTAAACATGAGTGAGTAAATGACCTGTAAGAACAAAACATTAACACTTTCTTGCCATTTAGTTGGTTTTAATTTTAGAACATAAACTTTACAGACAATATAAGCATAAACTTCATCAAATTTCTGCAACCATGGTTTTGCCAAGTACTCTGTTAAACTATATGTTCAGGAAAGGACAATGCAGTTTAACGACAATGACATGACAGCAAGCAAGGTTCGAGTCTGATTCTTTTTGTAGTCTGTTAAATCTAGTAAGTACACCCCTAGGTACATGTTTATGTCAAAAAATTTTTATCTCTGACTTCCTGTAAAAAAAGGGGGGCCATGTTCAGGAAAGGACATTTTTAACAAACAGTTGCATGGCATATGCGACTGCTGCTGTATCAAATTTACTTGTGATTATCCAATTCCCATCTTTTTATACTTGATTACTGGAGTGTGTAGCGTCATTTTGACAGGCAATAAGTTGTGTATTCTTTCTTTTAATTCTGGGAAAAAATACCATGTTCAGGAAAGGACATTTTGAAAAAACGTTTAACAAACACATCAATGTCTCACTCAAAACGGCATTACAAAAGAACGAGTTGGTCAATCTTAATGAAATTTGGTGTACATATTTTTGGGACATACTTCAATGTCCTTGCAAGTCTGGGTGGTTCCCATGGCATTTATTTTTAATTCTCATCAATTGCAGTTTCTAGAAAATGTGAATGAGACTCCAAATCTTGTGCTTTAGCACCCATGTGAGCTTATAATTTGAAAACCATAATGCGCAGAGCTGCAAATTTTTTTCTGGAGATTGCTACAACATTACAGTCCTTGTGAGACAAAAACCAGCAAATTCCAACAAAGTCTTCATATGAAATAAAGCATCGATTTCCTATTTTTCATTTTGCAACCTTTCCCGTGAAACTGCCCATATACAACATTCACAGAGCTAAAATGAGCACTGTTGTTTGATCTACCCTACCTTGTACACACTGTATGTGCCTATTGTTGCATTCGAAGAAAAAAACTGTGTTGTACAGTACTCGTACATGATACACAAATCCTATTATGCACAGTAAACGTTGGATTGAAAAAAAGATGATGATAATAAAATACATTGATGCAGGAAGTTCGTGGAACTGGATACAATGATTCTAACCCCATGACACATTCACCGAGGAAGGAATTGTACAAGATCTAACTTCCTGTTTTTTGTACATTTTAATTTTTTTTTCAAGCTACATGTATGTTGAACCTGTGATAGCAGTTAAAGGGTTTTGTGAAAGAGATTGCACCAGTACAACTTACAGCATACACGTACATGTACTTTACATGTATAATGCAAATGGACGATAAAGAAATAGTATGGATGAATAAATGTAAATTTACAAACAAAAATGGACCTCGGCTATTGTGCATGGATAACTGGTAGAAGTGTGCACAAATAGTTGGACTTGGTAAGCACCGTGGATATATCAATATTACTTGATTATTTGATATTATTTTGATATTGATGTTGCCATTAGCAATTCTTAAATCCTATCGAAATATCGAAATTTTCGATATTGAGGAATGATATCAAAATATCAAAAATTGACAGAATATCGTCAAAACAAAGCTCCCGTTTGCTTTTACTTTGTGTTTTAACACAATACTTTGTTTTTAACTTGCCTGTTGTATTTTTTTCTTCAATACGTACTCAAGCTGGATGTATGGGTTCTTTCGCGTCGGCTACAAAAGACCGCTGGTTGAAGATGACTTGTATGACATACTGCCAGAGGATTCTACCAATGTTCTGGTTGAGAAACTGCAAAGGTATTTTTGCGAGTAAAACCATGAATATTCATGGCTTATCTGAAGCCTTGTGAAAAATAAGCCTTGTGAGAAAATAAGCAATAAACATGGAGTTTTGGCTGAAAACCTGCTTTTATAAGCCAGACTTTTTTGGTGCGAAGCAAATTTGTGTGCTTAGCAGCGCCGTGAAATTGGCCCTTGCCCAAACAAAGATGGGTCAGCAAGGCGTACCATTCACACTGCACCTGTGTGTACATGAATCAGTTGCAGACTTTGATTTTTTCTACCCAGGTTGAGCCTCTCATTTTGGGTCTTTCCTCCGAGCTGAAAAATTGAATACATTTATTTATAATGCAGAAATAAGTGAACCGAAACGTAGATGCTGTTTTAGAAATTACACGCATGGTTCATCAGGCCATATGCTTTAACACTGTTTTCCTTGTTTATATATTATGAAAGAGCAGAATATTCATGCATTTATGGAAAATATGCCTCTCCCAGGTATGCCAGTCCATTTGCTGGTACCTGTTTATACTCCTGGAAAGTACCAGGGGCGTGCCCAAGGGCACAGTTTAATATTTATTAATATTATTTTTCATAACTTTTTCATAACTTTATTTACTGCTTAGAATTATACATACTATAATTGCTTTTCGTCTGTTTTGTGTAATGGCATGCCAGATACAAGCTATGCTTTTAAGGTTTTGCCACCTCTAGTGGCCTTTATATTTTGTTTCAATACTTCTATTATTTTTTTCATTTCTGTCATGAAGAGGCAATAACAGTTTATGGCCAGCAATTGGATTTGAACCCTGACCCTCTAATAATGAGTAGCAAACACTAACCACTTGGCCCCACTCCCAATTTTTTTTTTTTTAATCAGAGAAATTGGTTGAATTGATCATAAATGAAATTAATTAACATAAAAATACTTTCTTCCGCAGTGAGTGGGATAAACAGATCGACAAAAGCAAGAAAACTGGTAAACCACCGTCGTTACGTCGGGCCCTGCTGCGAACGTTTGGATGGGGCTACATGCTTTTGGGTATCCCTGCTTTCTTAGAGGTATTTATTTTTTTGAACCGGAGCTTTAAAAATGACATCCATACGCATAGAGAACAATTCATCAAAACATCTGAATTATTTGCCCTTACTTAAAGCCATAGTCCATCATTTGCAGATATCCAAAAAAGGAACTGGCATAATTATTGTTGAAAAACATACTGGTTGAAAGATAGTAAGGGGACTAAACTCCCTGTGAAATTATCCTTTCTGGCAAGCTCTCATTTTGAAGAAATCAACGAAAGAAGGCATTTCCAACGGTGCTTCTTAAGAAGCACCGTAGGAAAATTTAAATTAGTTGTTCGTTTTGTTATTTGGCGCAGCGCGCACAAGCATTGGAACGACGTACAGGCGCACGCGGTTGCTATAATTTGTCGGATCAGTGCGCGACATCGCGTAAAGCTGCAATTCAAAACACTTCGAAACATGATTTAGCAACTTTTGATTTTAAATTGAGATCCTAGAATGTTGTTTTTCTTGGAATATGAAGCTGAAGCTGAGCTTAAACTTCATCAAGTAAGTTGTTCAGTATCCTTCATTAGATTTTGAACACTTTTGTTGCTTCAAATGAACAAAATGCACTAATTACAAATGATGGACTATAGCTTTAAAGGTACAGGCCATCATTTGCAGCGATCCAAAAAGTAACTGACGTAATTATTGTACAAAAGCTTACTTGATTTAAAGATAGTAAAAAATGGCACTAAACTCCCTGTGAAATTATTCTTTCTGGCAGTAGTTCATTTTTAATTCGGCTAAGTGCGCGCAAGCGTTGACACGACGCACACGTGCGTGCGGTTGCTATAATTCGCCCATAACCATATCGGGTTGTGCCCGACCACTCAAAAAGAATGACCACACTCATTGGAGGGGTCAAATTACCATTTTGGGACACCTGTTTTCTTGCAGGGAAGTGCAAACATTGAAGTTCGTTTCCAATGGTTTATAATGTTTCCACATTATGTACAGTCATGAGTCATGACTCATGACAGTACTCCAAGTTGCATCCGTGTTCGCTTTATATGTGTTGCGCAATGCACAGCGTGTTTCAAAACAAGGAACTGGGAAAAATATCATAAAACCATATGGTCATCATGGAAGGTGATAAAAAATACCGTCAGACAGATTGGTCTTGTAAACTTGAAGGCATGCATGTAAATGATAAATATAAATATCATTGCGTGATGCTGGGAGGGTAGGACACTATGTATAGTCTGATATGGGACATAAATCAACCATATGCCATGTTTGTCTTATCAAAATTTTACTGCAAGTGCATTTAAAGGTAATATATATACAAGATTTGCAAAAATAAAAAAAACAAAGCTACATGTACTGAATTATTATGAAACGTATTAACTTGAGTGTACGTAAATGTGAAATTTGTGAAAATGTGTGAAATCATGGCACCTGGGGGGCTGTCAGTTTCAAGAAGATTGGAATTTTGGTATCAATTGCCAACAATGGTCGGCCAACCATCGTTGGGAAAAAAGTGACTTTTATTTTTAAACACTGCCCCCAATTCACCAATGGTAGTTAGTCCACATTTTGAAAACTGAAAACTATTGTTTGGCTAGAAACAGCAATTTGAAAAAACAATTATTATTTTCCTGGAACAAAAAAAATGAAAAATAGTACACCTTCAACCTGTTCACTGCCGCATTCATTACCAAATTTGTGTTTAGTAGCATACATGTCATCAGTTAATCATTTAGTATTTTAACATTTCATGTAGTAGTTCGTGGGTGACATATTGCCATTATGAGGATTTTTTTCTCCGTTATCGAAGGTTTTGTTAAACTGTTGATTACAATGTAGGTCCAAAGCAAATGACGGTTGTAAAAAATTTGCTTTGCCTTTGCTGTGTTGCCATGGTTACAGGAGTCCGTCTTCAAAGTGGTTCAGCCTCTGATGCTGAGCCAGCTGGTCCTGTACTTCTCCACGGACCTGGTGTCGATCCGCGATGCCTACCTCTACGCGGCGGGGATCACGGTCTGCTCCTTGATGACCGTCATGTGCCACCATGTCACCTTCTTTGGCGTGGCGCGCTACGGCATGAGAGTCAGGGTGGCCTGCTCGGGCCTCATCTACAGAAAGGTAAAAAGAAGAAGAAAAAAAAACGTAGGATGCCTGTTGCTAGCTTTAGGAATAGCATAACATTGTGTTAACTGTAAGTGCTTTTTCTCAATACCTGGATGCTAACCATTGTGCACACATAGAGATTTCAAGTGTTTATTCATCAATAAGTCTCACAAATTTGGCCTATTTAGGTCAGGGGGGTGGTGGAGGGAGGGAGGGGGGCACATGCCGCTCACAAACTCCCACTGCTGTCCTAGGTGTCCTCCCCACAACAAAAACACTTCACCTCCACTTGCCTCTCTACGCCCAGGAGTATAATTGGGTACCAGCATTAGTTTGGGAGTAACCTACGATGGACTGGCGTTCAATCCAGGGGGGAATAGAGATATTCTAAGTTGTGTCATGCCAAGAAAACTGGAGATAAAAGTGGAAAACTGGGCCGTTGTAGCATGAATTTAGGTTTTATGAAATACTGACTCATTGGTGGTATTGAGCATGCTCATGCATAGATAATTAGGAGAGGGAGTGGTCACGTGAGAGGGTTTAACCAATAAAAGGGAAAAAGAGTCTGATTTTCATACAAGTTTTCATATGACACCGTATTGGCTCGTGACACACTTGACTTTACTGTGTTAGCAACCGAATCCAGTTACGGGACCCAAAAACTTTGCACATGTTTTATTTGTCCCGTTTTCTCATAATGTATTTTAGCATTTGATCTAACGCTACCGGTACACCGGGTTAGTTTTCCTACACCAGTAATTCACAAGGTGCTTTGAGGCTCTAACACTTTCAGCAGTTTTGTTGCTTCAAACACAAAAAGGGCAGACACTCTTGTTTTACTATACTTTCGAGGACAATGCTTTGTGTTTCCCTTTGTCCCTGTAATATAGCATTCTCCTATAGAAAAAGCACACAAACCTACTACAGAGGACCGTTTCCAACAAAAGACCCAACTCCCGAGGACTGAAATGATCTGTTGTTCTCCCTTTGTGTGTTGGTCCTCGGGGGGTTATGTAGAACACATACAAAAAGAGCAAACGAATGTACCTCTAAGCATATGTACATAACTTTCAGGCATTGAGGCTCAGCAACCTCGCCCTTGGAGAAACGACAGTCGGACAGCTGGTTAACATTCTATCCAACGACGTCAACAGATTTGACTTGGTAAGTATATGTACCTTCCGAAATCCTCTTTGCAAAATGTAGGATTTTTTTGCAGGATTGAGGCTACATGGCAAAAATGTAGTGAGTGGCAAAAATGACTAGAGCGAGATAGCGACTTACATAAAAGCCGACTTAATGGAAATGCATTAAAGACAATCGGGACTTTAGTCTGACAGCCGACTTGAGCGATTTGGCGATTTGTATGATGTCGACTTGGCCGGAGTTATATCAGAAGTTGCCTGGAAAATTGTGCCTTTTTGAGAAATTCTAAGTTTTCGGCAAAAATTATCCCGGCGCGAAGTGGTTAAAATGCGTTCAGCCTTTACAAATTCGCAGCACAAAAATTTGCTGTCATGCCACTAATTTGCATTTGCATTCGTGTTCACATTCGCGTAGATTATGAACGAGCCTTTTACCAAGTCTGATCTTTCTTTTTCTCTCTCCCGTAGGCGTTCATGTTCTTGCATTATCTCTGGATAGCCCCTATCCAGCTAATCTTAGTGACGGCTCTGATCTGGCGTGAGATCGGCGTATCCTGCTTAGCAGGCATGCCCATCTTGATCCTGCTGGCTCCACTGCAGGGCTACATGGGTAAACTCTTCTCCAGATTCAGGTAATAATCATAATAACCTAGTCCCTGGAGAAACATCTGGATGAGATCGGCACGACCGTGAAGGTGGAATTGCCGCAGAAGGCGGCTTTTCTTGGAACTGCAAGAATCCTACGAAAGATGCTCGAGCTCTGAGGCTGCGAGACGCAGCTTGAGTCGAGTTGTTCCAACGCGGAGAAGCACAAGATCAGTAATAATTCTGATGTTCACGTGGTCACTTTTTGTGGTGATTTGTCTTTCCAGATCCAAAACGGCCTTGCTGTCGGACGCCCGGATCCGCATCATGAATGAAGTTATATCCGGAATGCGCGTCATCAAGATCTACGCCTGGGAAAAGTCCTTTGCCAAGTTAGTCTCGGAAGCCAGAAGGTCAGTCAATAACCTGAAGCTTACTGAGTTTGTCAGTTATTTTTTTCAAACTCTGAAATCTAAGTGACATTTTTGTGGAAATATTTGAGAAATTCCTTAAGGGCCCATGTGATAGAATCTTAACCCTAACTCCCTAGGCATTAAGGATGTAACCTCAATCCTGCAAAATCCTCCAACTGCCTCCATGTAAAAATTGCACACAGCCGCAATCCACCACAATCATCCGTTACTTCTGGAGTGTGGTCCTTGGAGGGGTGACCGCTGCCTCAATCCTGCAAAATCCTCCAGCAATCACTGTCAATATGTTGAGGCAGAGCCAGTGACATCCTGGAGCAGTGTGGAGGATTTCAAGTATAATCTAGGCCTTTACGCATGCACTGCTGAGCACCAACAACACAAGGTCCGGCCCAAGACCTTGGCACAGTGCATCCTCCGAAATCAGCAACACACTTTGCCCATGTAGCCTCAATCCCATCCATTTTTGCAAAGAGGATTTTGGAGGATTTGGGAAGGTTAGCGTTGAAGCAATCCATGAGATGCACGTATATGCAACATTGAACTTTATTTTCATCTTGAACTTGCAATTTCAAGGGAGTTTTGGTGGGTTTTTTTTGTGGTAATGTGAATTTCTATATTCATGTCCAAAACTGTGATGTCATTTAAGGTATATATTTAATTTTTGTGTAATTTCAATGTATTGTATCTATACACCGGGAAATCAATTTTCATGTAAATTTTAAGCAAGACAATAAATAATTCTTGAATCTCGAATCTTCTGTTCAGGCATGGAGTCCATAGTGCTCATATTGAACTGTAGGCCTCATTTTGATGGAGTCCTTATGTTCATTTCTTCTTCTTCTTTTTTTTACAGAAAGGAAATCCGCAAGATCATGCATGCTGCCTACCTGCGTTCCTTCACCCTCGCCTTTTTCTTCGTGGCGCCTCTTCTCATCACCTTTTGTACCTTCGTGGTCTACGCCGCTCTGGGTAACCCCGTGATCCCGTCCAAGGTGTACGCCGTCATTCCGCTGTTCTACACGGCCAGGCTCTGCTCTGCGCTCTTTGTGCCGTACGCCATCATGAACGGCACCGAAGGCCTGGTGTCCATCCGCAGAATCAAGGTAACAGGAAAATATCTCAGATTCAGGATAGCAATTGTATCTGCCTGCACATGTACTTCGACGTTTTGCATTTTCATATGGTGAATGATGTACATGTACATGGATGTTCAGTTATGTTGTGCATTGGGTCGGGTTGACCAGGCCAAGCTGACCCAAAGCATTGAAGATATGAACCAAATCCAAATTGAAACCGATTGTAACTCTCATAATTTGACCAGACCCAACAAAAATTCAAGCAAAAACCAAACGGAAACTGAACCGACCCAAAGTAACCCAAATTCATGGCTTGGGCAACTGTGTGGCTTTTTGTGCCTGAACTTAGGTGCCCCTTGTGAAAAACGTTGTCTCTCTGTAAAGAAACCCACAACCTGCAGAAGTACCGCAGACCAGGAATTCAATGATCCAGACCACAAGGCCACGGCATTCCACGGCTTATAATGTTCTCTTTTACACTCTGCCATTTTCAGAATTTCCTTCTGATGGACGAGCTAAACGTTGAAGCCTCCCAGCCCAGCGATGCCGCTGCCCCCAGCGTGGCATACAGAGGCACCAATGCAGTCTACCTCAACGAGGTCCAAGTCACGACAGCAGATGAAACCTCTTCGCCGAGCAGCGATGCTGATCAGCAACAGGACAGCGAAGCATCGCATCAACAGGACAGCGACGACCATCAGCAACAGAACAGCGACGACCATCAGCAGCAGAACAGCGACGACCATCGAAAACAGAACAGCATCGTCAGTGACGCGGTGGAATCACCCACACACAGCGTGGCTCTACTGAACCACACTGACGAGACTAGAACCCTCTCCAGTGCAGCTGAGAAAACCCACCGGCCGGGGATTAGGGTGGATAAGTTAACCGGCTCATGGACAAAGGTATCATGAACCCTCTTTAAGGGAATATAAAACATTTGCAAACATAAAAAAACAAAACTACCAAATTGCTATGAAATACATCACGAGTGTGCTGTCATTTTCAAGAGAAGTGGTATTTCTGTATCAATTTGGAAACAAACTGGGTTTTTTCAAATACTGCCCCACATTTACCATATTTAGTGAGTCTGTACTTTGTTTGCAATCGATCACACCTACATGTATGAACGGGTACAAGCCAGCTAGACTGGTTCCCTGACCTCTAATTCCCCGACGTCCATAAATTGCTCTGTTTCATCTTAAGTGGGGTCAGGGAACCAGACTACAGGAACATGATTGTGTTTCTTGGTTTTTGCAGCATCTACCAACATAAAACTTCAAACAAGTCAGTGTAACAATATTTGCTGTAAAATACTGCCCCCCCCCCCCAATCCATCCATTTCTGAAAATTACAGCAAAAATAAATTGTTGTACATTCCCTTGTGAAAACGTGAGTCTGTGTGCTAACTCTACAGACAAAGCAAGAGTGTTAACGAAAAACGTGTAGGCTTTTGAACACTTGTAGTGTAAAAAAAAAAATGCAGAAACACAAGTTAATAATAACATAACGTTCCGTGTGTTTAACTACTTGTATGCCCTGCTGAAAACAAGTTCAGAAATCTCAGTGAAAATTTGTTACAGCAGATTTTGTCTAACAGTTAGTCAAAGCAGATTGTGGTAAACTTGGTCAGAGCAGGAGTTTGGTATAAAGACTTCAATGCGCTTTTTTTTAACATTGAAAAGTCAACAACTGAATCCACCATTTTCACTTGCGATAAACAGAATAGTGACTATAAATATGTGCATTCACTTGTTCATGTTGTGGTGGTTTCAAGGTAAATAGTAACACTTTAAAATTAAAATGCCAAACAAATTGAGTTTTATACATCATGTCTCAACCCTATTTTTTCCCACATTCAACCTAAGGATCTAAGTAATGCTGTTCTAGATGGCATCAGTATCCACGTAGAACCGGGAGAGTTACTGGCCGTCATAGGACCAGTTGGGTGCGGCAAGGTAATAATTCGTTGTAATTGACTTGTGATTGACTTGTAATGGACGTGTTATAGACTTGTGATTGACTTGTGATTGACTTGTGATTGACTTGTGACTGGCCTGTGATTGGCTTGTGACTGGCCTGTGATTGACTTGTGATTGGCCTATGATTGACTTGTGATTGGGCTGTGATTGACTTGTGATTGGCCTGTGATTGACTTGTGATTGGCCTGTGATTGACTTGTGATTGACTTGTGATTGACTTTTGATTGGCCTGTGATTGACTGGTGATTGGTCTGTGATTGACTTGTGATTGGCCTGTGATTGACTTGTGATTGGCCTGTGATTGACTTGTGATTGGTCTGTGATTGACTTGTGATTGGCCTGTGATTGACTTGTGATTGACTTGTGATTGACCTGTGATTGACTTGTGATTGACCTGTGATCGGCGTATGATTGGCCTGTGATTGACTTGTGATGGCCAGTGGTTGACTTGTTATTGACTTGTGATGGACTCGGTTATTACTCCAATTGTATTCATTTTGTGATTTTTTAATCTCCCAGTCTTCCCTTCTGATGGCCCTGCTGGGCGAGCTGCCCACTGTATCAGGAGTCAACGTCGTGAGCGGCCGGGTTGGCTACACTGCCCAGCAGCCCTGGATCCTGTCCGGCACGCTGAAGGACAACATCCTGTTTGGGCTGCCTCACGAGCCGGCAAAGTACCAGCGAGTCATCCGACAGTGTGCGCTCAGCAGAGTACGTTCCAACCAAGGACTGAATTTCGAAGAAACAAAAACTTGCTAAGAACAAAAACCCTGGCTTTCGATTGAAAAACAGGTTTACCGGCCAAATTGTCACATTGTTTTGTTGATTTTGTTGGACATCTATCATGGGGCTGCTTAAGCAGAAAAAAGATTGCTTATCAAATGTACATGTATGTGCTTAACAAAAGCTGGCTGAGGGACCAGTCAAAAGCCATATGTTTGCACACGACATATAGTGCCTGGTAAACTGTTTTTTTTAAGCAACTTTATTTTTGTGCTAAGCCAATTTTTGTGCTGAACAAATCTATAAACTTAGCCTTAGTTTTCAGTAGATTATTTTGTTGTTCAGCTCAAAATGTTGCTGCACAATTTTTTTTATATATTGTGTGGCTGCATGAAATTAGGCCTCAAATTGATATATGTGGTCACTATTTTAATGAGAACCACTTTTTTTTTTACAAAGTTTTTCTTGGTGTCTGTTGTTTTTTTCAAGTTTTATATTTATTTCCAAACTTGTCTACAGGGTGCCCCCCCCAAAAAAAAACCCCGAAAAGGCATACTTCCACAATCTTGAGACTCAAACCACCTGTATCAATGGATGGAGAATCTTTTTAGAAGAAATATGATACCAAGATCTCCCGATTTGGTCCAGTAGTTTTTGCTGCAGAGCCTATTTTGTGAAGCACACATCTTTCATGTTGGTTAATGAATCCCTCTATCCAATTAAGGCACAGTTGAGTAATTCATTGGGACAAAATGACTCCTGAATTTGTTTCACAAAGTAGGCTCTAGAACAAAAAATACTGGACAGAATTGGGGTGCTGTGGTCCAATGGTTATGGTGTTCGACTCGTGTGCCGTGGTACATGGGTTCAAATCCTGACCGTGGGAACATGGTGCTTGCGCTCCTGAGCAAGGCGCTTTACCATTATTGCTTCGTCCTTCGGATGGGACGTGAAGCCGTAGGTCCCGTGTGTTGTGTAATGTACGTTAAAGAACCCAGTAACACTTATCGCTAAGAGAAGGGGTTTGCCCCGGTGTTTCTGGCAGTGGCTGCTTAATGCGCCGTAGCACCTTGTAAACCATTATAAAGGTGCTACATAATGGTTCTCATATTTCTCATGTACTTCATTTACCTGTCTCTAATAATAGACATAGTTTCCAGCGCCTTGAGTACCTAATTGTTGGTAGATACGTGCGCTATATAAGACTTCAGTATTATTATTATTATAATTGGACGATCTTGGTACCATTTTTCTTTGAACAGAATTCCCCATGCATTGGTATAGGTGGTTTAAGTCCCAGGGTAGCGGAAGTACGCCGTTCCTTTTTTTGGGCCACCTGTATATTTGTCTGTTTATTTGTCTCTTTCCTTTTCTGTAAACCCCATAGGATATTGCACTGCTACCAGACGGCGACCTGACGCTGGTCGGCGAGCGCGGCGTGACCCTTAGCGGAGGTCAGAGGGCAAGGGTCAGCCTGGCCAGGGCCGTGTACAGCGACGCTGACGTGTATCTACTGGATGACCCTCTGAGCGCGGTAGACCCGGCAGTCGGGAGACACCTATTCGACAGGTGAATTTTGAATTACGAATTTATTTTGTCAGTGAACTGACAGGATTCTCCTCTTGAAACTTCAATCCTAGTAATATATACATGAACTTGTTTATTTTGAGTCTGCAATTTCGAAAGAAACATGTTTTCTCAAAACTTGTTGAAAATTGACAAAGAGTTTATTAAAATAATGTTAAGAAGAGGTAGCAGAAGGGCTGATGTCTGACCGATTTTAAAGAAGTTTGAGTTAATTTTTCTCATGGAAGCTATGAAATTATGCGCAAAAGTGGCTTTCTACAAAACCATGCAGCCTCAACGATTACAAGAACGTTGTGGACTTTTTTTGAGCATCTCCTCCAGACTGCACACATATTTCAAATTAAAAAAATGACATTCAGGTATTCAGATTATGTTTAAATATTTGAATTTATTCGGTATATTTGGCAAAGCCCTGTTTTCTTTCAAAATGTGCTTTCCAACACATTTCATAATCATTATTATTTTTCTGAAAATTAATTCATTCTTACACTCTCTAAAGGTGTATCCTGAGCTATCTGAGTGAGAAGCCCAGGATCCTCGTCACCCATCAGCTGCAGTTCCTGGACAAAGCAGACAAGATTCTCGTCCTCAAACAGGTACACTCCGTCTGATTGTCATATGTCTTATTACATGCTTATTTTTGATCTTGCAGAATACACTCGACCTATTTCATTACTTTGTAGCGCCTGTGATTAGTTCATTTCATAGCCCTAACGGTCTTGAATCCTCCAATTTTTATATGATTTTGCGCACCCCCTAGGGAGTTGTTTAAAACTTATTTTCACCCTGTTTTGTTAAGAGACTGGTCTGTAATTGCCATTTTCTCAAAAATTACTCCAGTTTAGTTGGCAGTCCATATTTCTGTTACTGAACTCAGTACTCCTAAATGTTTTATTCCATTAAAAAGCTCTTGTTCTGAGAATGCCAAGTCCCAATGCGCTGAACAATACAAAACAAACCTATATTCAGCCTTGTTGTTTGTGAAATGATCATGCTGTTATTTTTTGAAAAACAAAAAACGTACGATCAACTGGTTTTTTTTTGCTTGGCCTAATGGGTTAAACAAGCCACACAATACATAAACCAGTCAAAGAAACATTGTATTTCTACCTTCTCAGGGTAAAGTTGCCGACTACGGCACGTACCACCAGCTGCAGAAACACGGCGTGGATTTCGCGGCCTTGCTGAAGAAGAAATCGAAGAAAGGCGATTACGATGGGGAGGGCGGTGAACCACCCACCCTGGAGCGGCAACTCTCCATGATGTCCAGAACCTCCGTGTGCTCCTCTGCAGTGTCCGTTCCTGAATTTGAGGTCAGTGTCTGCATGCCATGCCTAGGACTTCTTAGTTATTTGTCTAAGTTTTTTTCCCCCCATTTATTTTATATTTCCATGATTCTCTTGAATCTTTGCAGTTCGAGGCGCCAGTGAACATTGTTCCGGAGGAGACCGCCGTCGGAACCGTGGGTATCGGCGTCTACCTGAGATACTTCCGGGCTGGCGCCAGTCTGCTGCTGCTCCTCTTCTGGTTACTTATGGTATTTGGAGCACAGGTACTAGACGTGCAAGCTATTTGAAAAAACTATAAAATCCCAGTCTAAACTTCAGGCGAATGTGAATGCGAAGCAAATTTTACATTAAAGGCAATATTCACTGCGAAATTTGCTGGGGTTGAAATGTGTTCCAAGATGGTGTTACAAATTTGCGTTTGCATCCACTTTTGTGATGGACTTGTGTTTGGCTTGTGATTGACTTGTGTTTGACTTGTGATTGACTTGTGATTGACTTGTGTTTGACTTGTGATTGACTTGTGTTTGGCTTGTGTTTGGCTTGTGTTTGACTTGTGATTGACTTGTGATTGACTTGTGTGTGACTTGTAATTGACTTGTGTTTGATGTGTGAATGACATGTGATTGACTTGTGATTGACTTGTGATTAACTTGTGATTGACTTGTGATTGACCTGTGATTAACTTGGGATTGAGTTGTGTTGGACTTGTGTTTGTCTTGTGATTGACATACAAGTGGTGACTTGTGACTCATTGTGACTGTTTGTGATTTGCTTGTGGCTGACTCTTGCAGTACATCCTCTAAAAGTGTCTGTTCATTTTCTCTGTCAGGCTGTCTTCTCCCTGAGTGACTGGTGGCTATCACAGTGGGCCTATTCCGAAGAGCAGGACCTAGCAGCGCAGAATCTAACCAGTCAGGTAAGGTTGAATAACCTAGTCACTAATCTAACCAGGTAAGGTTGAATAACCTAGTCACTAATCTAACCAGGTAAGGTTGAATAACCTAGTCACTAATCTAACCAGGTAAGGTTGAATAACCTAGTCACTAATCTAACCAGGTAAGGTTGAATAACCTAGTCACTAATCTAACCAGGTACGGTTGAATAACCTAGTCACTAATCTAACCAGGTAAGGTTTAATAACTAACTAGCACACCGGGAATTACTAGGTTACTAAATCTACCCAGTTGAAAAGGAGAACTAAATGTAACTCACTGTTAAGTATTTACATGTGAGTACAGATTTTGAGCCTGATTTTGGCACATCAGCGAAGGCCAGTCAGCAAAAAGGACTTGGGAATTTGAGTCAACACTCGAGTTTCCTTGGACACTTGCTCGATACATATGAAGAGTTTATTTCCAAAGCGCCTTATACAACAAAAAAAATTAAAAATGTTAACGCTTTTGAAAATTTACAAAATTTAAAGCAATATATTAGCTGGTTTTTAAACTTCATTTTTTGCCTTACTGTATTCTTAAATTGTGTTTAACTGTATAACTACCGTCAAAACTGACTTTGGACATCCAGGTGAGGGCAAGATTTTAAAAGGTAGCAAAATGGCGTTTATCGCGTTTTGGAAACAAAGTCTTCATACATAACTCATGTTTCAGCAGTTCATTTAACATTTTGGATTGACATTTGTATTCTGTTATATATTTGAATTTATCTGCCACACTCCCCCCCCCCCCCCCAAAAAATAGTAAGATAAAAATACGGGAAGTAGAGAGATAGAAAATAATTAGAATTGTCGTTATCTACAAGTATTTCGTCTTTCATGCATCCATCATTCCTAATTTTGTTAAAAACACTATCCCACTGCAGGATGGTGAGTATATCGTCCAGTACGATAAACGCACCTACTTCATCCAGCCCTACGCCATCATGTGCTGCGTGACCATCGTGGCCTGCTTCGTCCGGAGCTTTCTCTTCTTCCACATCTTTGTCACGGCCGCCAGAAACCTCCACAACCAGATGTTCAGTGCCATCATCCGAGCCCCCATGAAGTTCTTTGACGACAATCCTGTCGGTAGGTGTCAAACCCCCCTCCTCCGAAACAATTGTTCATTCCATAACCCTCCATTATTGAACATGGTTCATGTTGGACCTTGTGCACTGTTATCCGTTGAAGAGGATCATTTGCATTTATCCCGAAAGTAACCAAGCAAATTATTGTCACAAATTTTATTTGGATATAACCCTCCTGCTGTTTGAACAGTCACAGACAGTCAAAAAAATCAATCGTCTTCCCCTGCCATGTCTTTTACACAGGCTAGTCACCAACAGTCAGATTATATTTCAAGCAAGCACTGTGACTAGTCAAATTCAGTCAACAAAAGCAGGCAAGTGGTAGGCACAGCTGGCTTATCTATCACCTACAGCCAAAGCATAGCTGTATGAAGTTACATAAACAGTCCCAGCCAGTCAATCCTGCTTTATGTAGGCTGGGAGCTCGTAACTGTTAAAAATAGTAACTTGATTGATTTTGACTGAAAGGATAACTTTGCACAGAATGTATGTTCGCATAATGGGTTATTATAATTAGCGTCTTTTTTCTTGTAGGTCGTGTGCTGAATCGTTTTGCCAAAGATATCGGTTTCATGGACGAACTCTTGCCATCCACATTTACCGACTTCCTGCAGGTATGAAACAAACTTTGTCAGGTTTTTTTACCCGATTCCTGTTTTGAATAAAATAAAGACTATAAAAGTTACTGCACCCTAGCTGTAAAAGAAAACAATTGGCCCGAATAATGTCCTCGATATAAAGTGAGTGTTTGTGAATTTAGAAGTAATTTAGTAGTTATTTAGAAGTTGTGTCAAGTTTTACAAATAGCATCTGTAAATATTTTGAAATACAGTTGACAGAAGTTTGCAGTCGACAGAGGTGTGCACTTTTAAAAAAGCCCACCCAGATGAAACAAAGCTACCCTTAAATAGCCTGCCTAAAAAAAAGAGGCAAACTCATTCTGCACTCATAAATACCTGGAGACAGAATACCCAGTCCTATTAGTCGAGAGCCCTTCACGTGGGTGGTTTTAAACCTCCGCTAAAACACTGCTGCGTTCTGTATTATTCTGCTGCTTTGTATTATTAGAGTGGCATGGGTGGCGCAGTGCGTGAAACACTCCGCTCGGGTCACATGTGAGTAGAGTTGGGCGTTGGTTCTCTCCTCTGCCACGAGGGTTTTTCTCAGGGTTCTCCGGTTTTCCTTCCTCCGCAAAAAGCAACACTGTCAATCTGCCTTAAGGCACCGTTACATGCCTTCGGCTTGACCATGTTGTAGCTACACGTCCTTCGCAGTTCAGCTTTTGCTGCGAGTAAGGACGATTAGCCAACCCTCCCTCCCCCAATGTATTTATTATTGTTTTCTTTTGCGCCCAGATAATGGTCCTGACCCTTGCCACGGTGATTGTGATCACGGTCTTCAATCCTCTCTGTCTCACGTTCACTCTGCCCATTGTGATTGTCTTCATTTTCACCCGGCGCTACTTCCTGGCGTCGTCGCGAGACGTCAAAAGGCTGGAGGCAAATGGTAGGTCTGGATTATATTGACAGAGTGATGAACTGTTTGACATGACTTCACACATTTGAAGGGAATTTATGCATATTTGAAATGGGTACATGACCCAAAAATCGATCTTGGGTGAGTTCGTTCGCAATTTTTAGTTTGTTTTTGCAAATATGTAACCCTCTGTCCGCATAAAATATGTTGTTAACATTGTATACCTCAATTTTGCCTCCAAACATGATTTTTTGTGGGAGGATTAAGGAGAAAAGAAAAGATATGAAAAGCATAACCCAAAACTTAAAGGTATTAAAAGTAGATCATTTGCAGTCATCCAAAAAGTAACCAACCAAATTATTGGTAAAAAACTTGCTTGGGTTAAAGATAATAATGGCACTAGACTCCCTGTGAAATGATTCTTTCTGGCATGCTGTCATTTTGAAGGGGGGGGGGGAGGTCATTCTTAAAGACGCGTCAAGTGACACATTTTTTTGAAATTTCTGTTGACAGTTGGTTTGTAATTGGGTGAATGGGTGCAAGGGTCGTTGAAACAACGCACACGCGCACGCGGTTGTTGTTATTAGCAAGAATCGTCGATTCAGTGTGTGACATCACGTAGCAACAAGCGGCTGAATGAGAATCATGTCCCAAATGCTGATTTCGGGATGGTGTCATGACTCGGCAACATTTTGAATTATAATCAAGATACGGAACATTGTGTTTTCTTGGAAAATACAGCATTCACAGTATTGCTTCATCAGGTTTAGTTGTTTAACATCCGTCTTTAGATTCTGAGCACTTTTGTTGCTTCAAACGAAGAAAAAAAATGCGCCTATGACAAATGAGTAGAAACAGGCAATTTGTCAGTTTCCGCATGGCCAGTTTTTCACTGTTTGTCAATTTTTACTTTCAACGTCAGTACTTCCACACGCCTATTTTAAGTGATTTGCATACGGAGCAAAAGAGAACAGTTTGATGAAAGTTGGTGTCACGTGTGACCATCACCTCCAAGTTTGTAAACAAACGTGACATGTTCTACATTTATGCAGATATTTTTTTCTTCTTCTTGTGTCTACTCCAGCCCGGAGTCCCGTCTTCTCCCACCTGTCAGCCACACTGACGGGTCTGAGTACGGTCCGGGCGTTCAAGGCCCAGCAGCGATTCATCGAAGAGTTTGACGAGTTTCAAGACAAGCACACCAGGGCGTGGTTTCTGTTCCTGGCCACGACGCGCTGGTTCGGGGTGCAGCTGGACTCGTTCAGCGTGCTGTTTGTCGGCGGGGTCAGCTTCACGAGTGTCTTGGCAGTAAATTGTGAGTCTGATTTAGTTCGATTAATTCATTGAATTGTCCCTTGCTCTACCTGATCCTCCAATTCACTTCAGTATTTGAAAAAAAATTGACTCGCTCATGTTTCTTGCTCAGCCCTCCAATATCTGCCATTGTTATACCTCTGTCTCGAATACTGTATTTTCATTGGCCTAGAATGATCACGTGTTAAGTTTATATAAAAACTCATGGCATACTCCCTGTGGGATATCATGTACCTGACTTAAACAGTCCCAGCCAGACAATCCTTGCTTTTTGTAGGCTGGGAATTCTTAACTGTTGAATACAGTCACTTGTTTGATTTTGACTGAAAGGACTACTTGGCACAGAATGTATGTTTGCATAGGAGGGTTAATAATCAAAATTAACATTCACTGAAAATTTTTGCTTGCAGTTCTTGAGCTCAACTCGGGCATCGTGGGTCTTTCACTGACCTATGCCATCAACCTGATGGGGGCGTTCCAGTGGGGAGTCAGGCAGAGTGCGGAAGTCGAAAACCAGGTCAGTTAGGGCCCTGTCATCTCAATTTATTCATACCTTGTGTACTTTATTAAATCTTGTAAATTTTTCTTTCGTGAAGAGTGTATTTTGCCAAAGCTAATCCAAATTTAAATTGAGATGTGATTATTCTACTTGCAAAACTGCTGCGTGCTCTCTATATGAGCTTTTACGCAGGGTTCGACTTAAGCGGTACCCCGCTAGCCAAATGCTAGTCAAAACAGCGGAGGACTAGTCAAACTATTCCTTAAGTAGCCCGGCTGGCGAGTCAAAAATGATTGGGCTACGGCAAAGATGAAAGGACAGGAAGAAATAAATCATTAAATTCAAAAAGCAAACCTGTATCAATTTGAGTCTAACTTTATTAACTGTTTAGGATTTAATTACTAGATCTGTTAATTAAAAACACTGACAAGATTGCCTCAGGATACACATTTTAGATGTCTGTACATTGATGTTAATGAGACACTCTATAAAAGGAAAACATGCGGGCTAGTGAAAATGCCCGCGTGCTAGTTAAGAGTCTGTTTCAGCAGCCCGGCTGGCTAGTGAAAAAAGTTAAGGTCGAACCCTGTTTTACGTTCATCAAGTGTGCAGTGAAAAACGTACATATGGATTTTCATAGTACGCATCATGGATACGCAACTGATAAATGCACAACACAATACCCACGTCGAAAACGAACACATGGATTTTCGGCCTTAGGAAATCAGAATAACTATTATAAAAGCTGACTTCTTTTCCCTTCTTTGGTGCGTCACCACAGATGACGTCAGTGGAGCGGGTCGGCCAGTACGTGGACATCAAATCAGAAGCGGCCTTGGAAACGGACTACAAGCCGCCCCCCGACTGGCCCAAGTATGGCCTCATCACCTTCGAGGGCATGTCTCTCAGTTACACCGACGACGGACCGCTTGTCCTCAAGAAGATCAACTGCTGCTTCCGGCCAAAAGAAAAGGTACTGCTCTTTCAGATGACCAGTTCTAAACTACAAGAAGCCAATGGGATCATTTGCAGCTAAAAGAAAACTTTTAAATGTTTAATAAACCACTTTAGTAGACAGTATTCATACTTTAATAAAGGCACATAGGACCCAAATAAGTGATCAGTCAATTGACTTGGAAACATTACTTGATGTTTTCTACATGACAGCTAGTCTACAGATCAGACATTCACGTGTGCAGAGCCACGGTCAAATGTCTGATATATCCTAACATGCACATTTTATGCAACCCGGCGCCAGCCAATCGGAGTCGACTTTACAAACTGTGACGTTGTTCGATCAGCAATGTGGACTAAGCTGTTGATTGGTCAATTTAGATGCCATGTTTTTGTAATACAACTACTGGTTACCGAAGACCCGATATAGAAGGTGCCCACTGAATGGTCAGAGTCTCGAGGTCAAGATGCAGTCTTGTTTTGCATTATTAATCACCGAATCTGCTCGCATATCATTGATCTTTGCCGTGCACGGGGATATTCCATAGAATGACACCAAGCCTGACGGAAACATTTCGAGGGTTGTTCAAAACCAAACCAATCATTGATCACAGTAAGCTTTTTGATAATTATTTGCCAGGTTACTTTAGGGATAAATGTAAACGATCTGATATGCCTATCATTGAAGCACTATTATTCTTTGCGTTTCAGGTGGGCATCGTGGGCAGGACGGGGGCCGGCAAGAGCTCACTGATGACAGTCTTGATGAGACTGGCCGAACCCACAGGTACCATCATGATAGACGGTATCGACACAGCCCTAATAGGACTGCACGACCTCCGCAAGAAAGTCTCATTCATCCCACAGGTAATAAATACGCAGCTACAGCGTCTTAAATGGAACCTAGTCTGGTTCCCTCACCTGAAAATCTCTTGTCAGTCTGGTTCTCTGTCCTTACAATCACCTGATGCCTCGATCTTAATAGATCATAGGTGAGGTAACCATCTAATTTCAAAAGAAGAACATGACGCGGCAAAGCCCTGCCAAGGCACAGAGCCCAAATTGGTAATGGGCATTATGCAAGCCTCGATTCGATGAACTCAAAATTATCAGGAATGATAAAAAGTTTGACAGGTACTTAGTTGGCTCAACCCTAACGATCCCCAACCAGCCAAACTTCAACATCCAGGGTTTGTTAGGATCTGTTAGGATGAGTACTGCACTAGTGACCTGACTGTGTTTTAGTGGGATTAGGCATACCACAAATAAGCAGAGTCCAACTGTTTATGTGTACAGTTTACCGTATGGTGTTGGGATTTGCAAGGATGAGGAAGGCTCCTAGTAAATCACCCTAGGGAGTTGGGGTTAATGAAACCATTTTACACCCAGAAAAACCCAGGGTGTAAAATCGCTGTCTGTGATCGCGTGTGTTATTAAAACGAACATGAAATTTGTCGTTACGGAATGCACGCGAACCGTTGCCGAGAAAGTAAGCTTGACCTGGTGAGGAGGTGATGTCACACTTGCTCAGCATTTTGTCGGAATCTTTTGGTATCAGAACCAGAGTAAAATGGGATGTGTACAAATTTAATGAAATTGAGTTCTGGTTTTGATTTTTCGTTTATGATCATATCAGGACCCAGTTTTGTTCAGCGGGACGCTACGCAGGAACCTGGATCCTTTTGAAAACCACGAAGACCCCGACATATGGAGGGCTCTAGAAGAGGTAAACATGTACAATAAAAGTCCTCACATCTCTGAATGAATCAAAAGATTGAAAATTGTGGGAGTCTTTCTTGAACATCATACTTGTTGGCGAAAGCATTAGATGGAGCGTAGAGCTACAAACCCATGGATGGAGTATTGCTTCAGGGAGATTTAAAGAGCCATGTAATGTTCATTTTGTATGGTCCTAGGTTCGAGCTCTACTTGAGTAAAGTTACGAATTGTTCTTGTAAGCCCTTGGATAGTACAGCGTACACAATGCTTATTGAAATTACGTCAATAAGGAGCAAATGCCAATGTTAAGTTATAAATGTATTACAATAATTTGGGTTTTTTTTTGGTCTTCACTTATTTTAAGGTGGAGTTGAAGCCAGTGGTCGAGGAGTTACCGGATAAGTTGGAGGCCATCTTGACAGAGGGAGGAACCAATTTCAGTGTGGGTCAGAGGCAGCTACTGTGCCTGGCTAGGGCTATCCTACGCAAGAACAAGATCCTCATAGTGGACGAAGCCACAGCAAACGTGGACATCAGGTGAGCATGTAGTTGATTCTAGAAAGTTTAGTTTTCATTCCTTTATGCAGCTGTCCGCGTGTTGGACGACACTGGTGTCCTTGATTTCTTTCTTGCTGATTTTGTTCTCTGTTGATTTCTAGAACTGACCGTTTGATCCAGGCGACCATCAGACAGCGGTTCAAGCACTGCACGGTCCTGACCATAGCTCATCGCCTCAACACAATCATGGACTCCGACCGAGTCTTGGTAAGATCTAATATTGCATACTATTAGGTGCTGATAGGTTGAGTTACTTTTGTGGTGCCCAGTCACTAATAAGTAGTAGCTTATATGTCAAAGTGCGGTGTTTTAATTGTGTCTTGTAATTGATTCTGTACTCAAAAAAGTAAATCATGCCATTGATCAAGCCGAAATGTTGTTCTAGGAAAGTAATTGAGGGGCACTATATGGTCTGATAGCAACATATATGTTGGTTTGAACCCAGATGATGAACATGGTGCTTGTGTTCTCTGGCAAGACACTTTACCACAATTGCCTCTCTCAACCCTGGAGTATGAATGGGTATCTGTGAGGGTAGAGACTATATTTCACTGATTTTGCAGGAAACTGGTCTCATGGCCTCATAAGAGTGATAGTTTTTGAGACTTTTGTATAAAGCGCCGTTATTAGCTACACTTTTATTTATAAGTTTTAGTAAAGGTACAGTCCATCATTTGTAATTTGTGCATTTGGTGCGTTTGAAGCAACAAAAGTGCTCAAAATCTAAAGAAGGGTGCTGAACAACTAATCTGATGAAGTTTCAGCTCAGCTTCAGCTGTATATTTCAAGAAAAACAACATTCTTGGATCTCGATTTCAAATCAAAAGTTGCTGAATAATTATAGCAACCACGCGCGTGTGTGCATCGTGTCAACGCTTGCACGCGCTTCGCCGAATAAAAAAAACAAACTACTAACGGAAATTTCCAACGATGCTTCGTTAGATGCATCGTTGGAAAGGCCTTCTTTCGTTGATTTCTTCAAAATGACAGCATGCCAGAAAGAATAATTTCACAGGGAGTTTAGTTCCCTTACTACCTTTCCACCAAGTATGTTTTTCAACAATAATTACGCCAGTTACTTTTTGGATAGCTGCAAATGATGGACTGTAGCTTTAATGTTAAATATTGTCTCTTTCAGGTGCTTGACGCTGGTCGTTTGATCGAGTTTGACGAGCCGTACATTCTGCTCCAGAAGGAAGACGGCATCTTTATGAACATGGTGCAAGAGACCGGCAAGGCGGAGACGGCTAAGCTCCTGGAGGTCGCCAGGGACAAATACCTGGAGAACAACCCCACCGACCCGTACGGCTTCCTGGGCCCGAAGAAGAACCACTCGGACCTAACTTGCATCTCGCCCAGGAGCAGAAAGGCTATCAGTATAGAAACCTCCCTGTGAAATTAAGATAGCAATATATTTGCAGCATGGTGTTTCAAAGTGTAATGTACCAATGAAGAATTTAGAGGCATTTTCGAAACCGCGGCTTTGTACCAGTTGCGTGGTTGTAGGTGCTTCATATGGTAGACTGAGTCTCAGTATTGAAACTGTGTTGTGCTACTGCGTTTGAATGCCCGTTCCAATGGTCTCCCCCTGAATTGGATAGCAAATTGTAATGTGTGGACCTCTTCTGACACTAGAGGGCGCTACTTTTCTTACCAAAGCCATAGGTTTAGGGGAATTAAGGGGAATAGAATGGAGGATAAAAAATAGTTATCTACATTCCTCTTCTGTTTAAGACGCCATAAAATACTGATTCGCAAGAGTCATTTCAGCGGTGTTTGTACGATATTTCTTTTCAAAACCTTGTATGTTTCAATACTCCGGGGTGTGCACTGGAGCGTAAATTGTACAACAATAGGCCGTACACGACGTTTAATTCAAGAGCAACACATGGTCCGCCTCCACGGACTTTCTGTGTGTGTACAAAAGACACGAGGGATTAGCTGTAAAACAAACTGAAATTTCTGTTCGGTCAAAAGACGCTGTAATAAACCTGTGCAGCTGGCAAAATCAGTATTGTTTTTGTATCAAGTGTGCTCTTGTGCCTACATGTATGTATCTTTTGAAAAATCTCTTTATGTATTTTTCTGAAATGAGTTACGGAATTATGCAAAGATGATTAGGTATTGTAAGCAAAGCAGGACATAAATCAAAGAATTTTGTCATTAAAACAAATTAATGTTAGTTTTCCTTGGAGAAATTCGATAACCGATTTTGGGTGTATGAAAAAAAAAAAAAATTAACATGATTTTTGTGCCTTAACATATGATTGAAATCTCAATACACAAACAAATGAAAGAAATTGTTGATGTACATACACAACTCTTGAAATGTATTTTAAAAAGCCGTTATATATGTCATTAGGTATGACTTTCAGTAACCCAGCGTATAAAAGGTTTGCAATAATATTTATTGGTTTTTGTTTTCAATACTCATTGAAAGGCTGTCTAATTTTGCCAGTTGAAAGTATTTACTTGCACTTCAGATAGAGAGCTACATTATAGTCAGGCATGAAACTGGGAAGTCACAAAAAAAGAGGAAATTCAAATATTTCCAAGACTTTGTACAGTGTTTTTCTATTTTCAGTGACACCCATTGGAGGTCAAAAAGAGGAAATCAGCTGATCCGAGGAAAAGTTGCATGTCTGTATAGTATATTTAGTTCACTTCACGTCATGCATGTACTTGAACTCAGTATTACATTTAAACTCGTTGACAAAATTGTAATTTTAAACCAGGACCATCTCTACAGTATATTGAAATAATAGTTGCTTTTGTTTCTTTTTTGATAACTTGGTTCGAATTTAAATTAATAGATGGATGGGGACGTTAGTTTATTTGCATGAGAAGAAAACTGGTTTCATTGATCAGGCTTGCCATTTTATGTTTTTCGTTTATCCCGAGAGATACTTTCCTCGGTTCATTATGGATACGTGTAGTTTCATTGCAGTACCCGCTGCTACATCAGAATCGAAACCAGCCAACCGATCCCGGTAAACTAGGTGGTCGAGTGGTAAAATGTCTGCACTTGAAAGCAGCAGGTCAGGGGTTCAAGTCCCACCCGAGTAATTTGTTTTCACTTGGGGGGGGGGGGGGGTGGGGGAGGGGGTTTAACACACTGAGTATACATTGTTTTTATGCGGTGAGGGGCAAAACCTAATATTGAATTCACATCACCCGATGCAAATTCCATCTTATGAATAGAACAAATCAGTTGAGTGTATCTTAAACTTTTTAGTCTCGAACAAGTGAAGGCGATAATCAGGATTTCTTGAAGAAAGTACATAACTTGAATAAAACAATAACGCAATAACACAGTACTAATTTGGAAAAATCATGTATGACTTCAGTGAACTCGAACTACCGAACGTTGGCAAAAATACAACACCCACTTTGACATTGTTCCTTGTCGCTGCTATTTCACATGGGACTACATGGTACCAGTTTTTTTGTGGATACCAGTCATTTCAGTACCCCCTGCTATACAGTGTGTATTTTTTTTTTTAATGCAAATAAAATATAAAGGGATGTCGTAGAATGTGTCACAAGAAAGATAATATAGGTATGGTTTGAAAGATACGCCTTTCCACTTTAAAATGAGACATCAATGTCAAAATCTGACAATTTTTGACAGAGTTACGAGTAATTTTCCAAGAGGGGTCAAATTGATCATGGGACCAAGTTTTCAATTTTAGACATTGGGACAAAGGTAGCATAATTGCCTCTGTGTGGATATTTGCCTCAGACTAGCATATAAAAATGTGTTTAACAAATAAACTCAACACTAAGCACTTTCTTGCTATCACCTCATCCTAAAAATGTTCAGTATACATGTTTTCAAACTGATACCAAGAAAGTGTCCAGATAATCCGTCAAGGGGCAGTTGCTTTGTACAAAAGGTGGTACAATGCTTTCGCCATTAGAGGGGGCCTACACGAGTGCTAAGCAAACAGCTGAATACTAATCATGGCTGGTAACCTGCTTTTATAAGCCAGACTTTTTTTGTGCTAAGCAAATTTGTGTGCTTAGCAGTGCCGTGAAATTGGCCCCCGATAGGGCGTCCAGACTTAGTGCATGATACCATGCTTACAAAGTTGTTTAAATAGGGCCAAAAAAGTATGGAAATGTCCCAATTTGATTTTTTTTTTTTTTACAAAAACATGCCATGGTTTTGTGATTGTGTAACATGTACATGTAAATATATGCCAGTCAATATTAACTTGACAAACATTCCACTATGGTGCAGCTTATAGTATAAATCTGTTGTTTTCTTTATAAAAAAAGGTATGAAATGTTTAATGTTTGTTTGTTCAGTGCATCTATCATACTAGTAAAAAAATAAATGGGAAAAAAAGATAGATAAGTAAATTCTACTTTTGCGTGATATTTTGTCATTTCTAATCCTAAACATTCTTCCAGGTGTTGTTATTTTTCAGCTACCAGACACGGGTAGTAAAATAAAACCGGGGGAAAATGCACTTCTTCCATAACTTACATTACCTGTAACTATGGTAAAATGGAGGCAGTATTCGAAGAAAAAAGTCACCTTTTCCAAAGATGGTCGGATGACCATCGTTGGAAATTGATACAAAAAAATTCCACTTTTCCCAAAAATGACAGCACTCCACGAACCATGAATTCGCAGTATGCCCGACACTTTTATTCACTTACAGTCAAGTTGGTTATTTCGTGACAGTTTCATAGATTTGTTTCTTGATGTTTGCAAATGTTGTTTAAAATACTTAAATCTTCCAAACATACAAATAGAAAACATGCACTACAAGGAAATGAACTGGCCCATGAAACAACTGGTTCATCTTTTTATTTATTAGTACTGCACAAGGGAAGTGTGTGGTAAATGAAATTGACTAAGGCGAGTCCAATTTATAGCTCATTTGATATATATGAACTTGACGTCTGTCTCTGGCGCAAAGATGAAACAGCTTCATTTTAAAATTTTAATCGAGAATAGAGACCCAAAACTTGGCAGGTAAGTACCTGTAGAACCCAATTTCTGCCCATTGGGAGTTTTGGAAAGTTTTGTCCGATAAAGGCTGAGAAAAGTTAATGTTTTCTTAAACTTGGGGCGGCAGTCTGATGGTGAACAATGTGTCTTTCATGTGTTCTCTCTATTCTGGATGACCAATGCCCTCTCGTTTGTATGCATGTCCAAAACCCAAAATATTTGAGTAATGCAATTCAGTCAACTTTCCACTGATAAACTGATATAATTTCTGATACGTCTGCCACGAACACCATATTAACACCACTTGCTGAACAATATGGTGCGATCCAGTTGATCTTGTCTTTGTGCTTTACACACAGTCTCGGTTTCGTCTTGCTATCATCAGACGAGCATGCCCCTTTGTCGCCTCTATCTGACACTTTTTCAGCCCTTTCCTGTTCTGGTGGTTTGTCGCTTTCAGATTTAAGGTTTTCAATTTCTGAGTTCTCTGTTGTATGGTCTTCCGGTTTCAAACCATCCTTGGGGATGGTATGCCTGTTAGTATCCCAAAGCATAATTCTACAGTCGTTCCCGGCGGACAGCAGCAAGTCCTGCATCTGGCCCGGGTATTCGGGTATGAAGGAAACCTGGGTCACGCCGCTCGTGTGAGCCTCCAGGCTCTGGCCCACTTCCAAATCTCGCCTCCCTCTCCTGTCCAGCAGCTGGACGCGGGCGTTCTCCAGTCCGCACGCTAGGAGCTCCCCGCTTCGGGTGAAGTCCACCGAGTGCACGAACGGCGGGTTGATCAAGTACGGACTTGGGGTGTGCTCGTCCTCACCGGCGATTACAACCTCTTTCATGTTCACCGACGCGCGGGGGCTCCCTCGCGTCGTCTCCCAGGTGTGTACGAGGCAGTCCAGGCCGCCTGAGGCGATTTCCCGCGGCACGGTCGGGTGGAACCTCACGCTGGAGCATATGGCGCTGTGGCCCTTCAGCGTCCTGAAGAGCTTGCGGTTGCGCAGGTCCACCACCTTTATTATCCCGTCGTCGTCGCAGGCTGCCAGGAACCCGTCTTTGGGATCGATTGCAAGTTGATTAATATCCTCGCGGTTGAAGGCAAACCTCTCCAGACTGGATTCCGGACATCGAACGTCCAACAGCTCTATGACCTCCCCAGCTGAAACGTAAATGACCGAGGGCTGCTGAGGAGAGAAACACACACTGTTGACGTCAGCCTTTGAAGGGAACGTTCTCTTTGAAGTGATTTTGCCATCTGGGCTCCAAAAACACACCTCACCGCCTTCACTTCCCGATGCGACTCGCCCCTCAGCATCTACACCCAGGCAGAGCACCATCTGACTGTGGCCGCCAGTCCACACTGTACTCAGTTCCATGGCTGGTGTTTGATGCGATGCTTTGTTCAAAGATGAAAGAGGAGTTGGATGCTCACATTCTGTCTGTCAAAAGAATCAAAATCCAAATGACAATCATTCAACTATCAACTAGGCTGTCCCTCCATTCCATGTGATGTAAACAAATACTAATAGTACAGGCATTTTTTCCAACGAGTCTGAATCAACCGAAGTCTTCGTGAACTATAAACTGTGTCATAAACCCCATTGCTGCAAATGCAATTGCCCAGCCATGGTAAAGGAGTAGTGGCAGCCGGCAGATGACACAAATGATGAACTCATCATGCTCATGCTCATTAACTACTCAATTTGTTTCTGTTGTTATAATGTTAGGGGGGGGGGGCATAACGTTACAGTTTATCCCCAACAGTCCTGAATCCTCCATTTTTAATATGATTTTACACACCCCCTAGGTAGTTGGGGTTATTTACGTGACTGTTTTAATGTTGATTTTTTTTTTTTTTTTTTTTTTTTTGCAAAGGAAAGGCACTGAAAGTGAAACACACGCAACATGATATCGTTTAAAACGAGTTGCGCCTGGCCTTTAATATTTACTGTTATGTAACACTCGCTGAGCACTGCGCAGGCCGACCCCACGCGGCGCGCGGCGTTCGCCGCCGGGTCGTGCAACTTTAACCGGAAACCGTCCAAACTGTCAAAGAATTAAATGAGACAAAACGAGACAAAACGGAGGCCCGACAATTTAATTTTAACTCTAGATATACCTCTTAACGGTAAAGTAGACGTATTCAGTCGGAAACAGCTTCTGTTCGTGGCCACGTTTACGTCAATCCGCCGGTATTAAAAAGATTAAATCGTTGTGTTTATCATTGTTATTTATTAATGTAATATCATAGCTCCGTGATTCTTGGGAATAACATTATTTTTGTGTGTGAAATAACATTGCAGTCGGGGGACTAGACTGAGGTTGGCGAGTCATCAGACTAACATGTACCTAGACTTGTCTCAAGTCGCTGGCGATTCTCAGTCTCCATGATGAGCCTGCGCTCCCTTCGAACAATTTGTCCCTTTGAAGTTTGAAGAAACTCGAGTATCATACTATCAGGGGCGGATCTAATTTTCATGAAACGGGGGGGGGGGGGGGAACCCCACGCCTTCATTTTTGGCACCCACTTTTTGGGGACCAAAAAAAATGTTTTGGCCCCCCAAAATTGTGTTCTGGATCTGCCCATGTGGAGGGGTGGGTGTGAGTGAAGGCGTGCCGAAGGTATGGCTTGTTAGGGGGTCCTGTTAAAATCTCTATACTTTTTCTCTATAATCTCCTCAGCAGGGATGTAATATGCAGGCGCCAGGTGACTGAGCAGATAAGTGAAGTGGGCCCCCTGATGATGTCATCTATGTTTAGAGACAGAAGGTTTGACTTGAAGATTCCAATGCTTGGTGCTTGATGTGTTTCCGGTGGTAATTTATTCCATTCTGCAAAAGTTCTTGGGAATAATGAGAACTTGTAGCAATCTTTATGTGCGAATGGTTTGATAAATGAGATTGCATGTTGTATTGTCTTGTAGAATGATTAATTGTGGTCTGGTATGAGTCGGTATTGATGGCAAAGATTTTGTTGAGGGGAGGGGTGCCCCTTGGATCCGCCTCTTCACTTGGGGTACAAACTCTGTCCCGATCGATCTCAAACGAACGCGGGCCCTTTTTTACAAATTGTAGATTTCTTATGATGCCTTGCTGTACCGTAGACCAAAAACAAAAACCAAAAAACCAATAAAACCACAAATTTCACAGATAATTGTGAAATTTCATCAAGCTATTAAACATTCCCTGTCATAAACGTTGAGTTTACGTATCCAGTTACCCGTTACAGTGTTAACAAAGAAATTTTGTATAAGAGTGATTTTTCCCCGATCATTTCTTCTTTGAAGTGCACAATGAACCCTTTTATATAATGCGCCCCCAAATATTAAAATATTTTGTTGTGTACGAAATGGAGATGATGATGATTAATCAGAATTCGTCAACTTTAAAGAAATCCTGAAATGTTGTTCAAGTACGCCATGTTGGATAACGCTCGGCCGATTCTGGGGCCGATTTCCGGGCGCTATACCGTTTTTGCTCTGCGGCCTTGGCCGCTCACACCGTACACGCCCAGCTTTTGTGTGATCTCGATATCTTCGAAGAAGGGAGATATTGATGAAAAGCTTGCAATTGCATGCGTCCTAGAGCGTGAGGACGTTTTGTTGTTCAGGTTCAGTCATTATTGCCAACTGCAGTGAAGCGAGTCATTTTCATTTCCGGGGCCGATTTCCGGGCACTATACCGTTTTGTTTTCCGGCCTTAGCCGCTCACACTGTACACGCCCAGCTTTTGTGTGATCTCGATATCTTCGAAGAAGGGAGATATTGATGAAAAGCTTGCAATTGCATGCGTCCTAGAGCGTGAGGACGTTTTGTTGTTCAGGTTCAGTCATTATTGCCAACTGCAGTGAAGCGAGTCATTTTCATTTCCGGGGCCGATTTCCGGGCACTATACCGTTTTGTTTTCCGGCCTTAGCCGCTCACACTGTACACGCCCAGCTTTTGTGTGATCTCGATATCTTCGAAGAAGGGAGATATTGATGAAAAGCTTGCAATTGCATGCGTCCTAGAGCGTGAGGACGTTTTGTTGTTCAGGTTCAGTCATTATTGCCAACTGCAGTGAAGCGAGTCATTTTCATTTCCGGGGCCGATTTCCGGGCACTATACCGTTTTGCTTTGCGGCCTAATTGGCCGCTCACACTGTACACGCCCAGCTTTTGTGTGATCTCGGTATCTTCGAAGAAGGGAGATATTGATGAAAAACTTGCATGCGTCCTAGAGCGTGAGGACGTTTTGTTGTTCAGGTTCAGTCATTATTGCCAACTACAGTGAAGCGAGTCATTTTCATTGCAAATAATAATTATAATAATAATAATAATAATAATAATTTAATTATATACAGCCGCTCAAGGAACTATAGTTGCGTCATGGGAATTTCTCGAGATGATCATAGACGCGAACTGTGCATGTGGTCTCTGCATCTGGTTCGTTAACGACAACCGACCCCTCCCCTCCCCCTTCAACCAGGCTGGAAACGGCCCTGGTATACATGTATTATGTTTAGAAAACAATCGATTTGGTCGTGCGGATAATTAACACTTATTGACCCATTTGTGTTCTTTGCACGTTTCATTATGGAGCCATTTTTTGGCTTCTCATGTCATTGAAAAAAAAAAATCAGAATCGCTTCATTATTGCGTATGTTTAAAAAAATTATGATATCGGTATTATTTGGGGGAAAAAAGTGTTACAATGTATATAGTGCTTGGCGATTAGGGCCTTGCGTGGCCTACCCCCCCCCTCGAGGCCGCCCCTCCCCCATTTTGTGCCCCTCTCAGAAATTGGGAAAGGTCAAAGAAAGCAATGTCTGTTGGAAACTATATGACTAAGCGATTGTGCGTCCCCTCCGGAAAATCATTGCCTCAGTCCCCCTCCTCTCATAGTTAAGAGTTTTGATAATGCAAAAAGCCTTCATCAGGGACTTAATTAAGGTAATTTTATTTTCAGACATCATAGGCTACTACGCACACGTCTTTTACTGGCATGCAAAATAAATATTGTGGGTCATTGTTCCCCCTTTTCATTGTGCCAGAAGTATACGCTTCTGTAAGTAATTAATTCAACCAACTCTCACAAAAAAAACATTTGGCAAGACATTTGAATGAGACTTATATTTATTCAGCATCGGTATCACTGTCGAACTATTGTCCACGTATCGATTGTATGGTTGCCGCACGAAACAGTGGCAAAATTGCTCAGAAACGACATGGCCATTGTCAACACGGGCCTTATTTAAAATTCGGTTAAGTATTCTGATATTTTTGCTTTTCAGACCGAAATGTCATTAGGCCCTTTAAATTTTTGTTATGTGTGGTATTTTGTTACATCTCCACGCTTTCAAGATGTACCGTACCCCTTGCAAAACTTTGAGTTGAGCCCCGAAAAGCAGACTTCTTCCTTCAACTTACTAAAGTTATTAATTGATCGAGACATCGAGCAAAAAAAAATTGCTTTACAAATTTCGAGTTACTATAGAGGCCGACTGTAAAACGTTTTCGCAGGGAGGCTGTTCCTTGCTCTATAGTCCAACGGAGCTTCGTATTCATTGTCTGATATAATTGTCTGAGCATGCGCGCGACCCTGCGAGCTAGCCAATCGGAGTCGCCTTTAGATACACGTCATTTCGATCTGAAATGGACTAATCTGTTGATTGGTCAATTTGGATGCCATATTGTTTTTGTAACACAACAACGGGTTACCGAAGACCCGATATAGAAGGCATCCGCTGAAGGTTCAGAATCTCGAGGTCAAGACACTGTCTTATTTTGCTTAATTATTAATCGCCAAATCTGCTCGCATGTTACAGACTCTTACTGTGTGCAAGGGCATACCGGTATTCTATGTAGCTGGTTCCCGCCCCATGATCAGTACTTGTAGGGACCGCGAACCAGTTTTCTCGCGAGCCAGATTTGTTTGCGCGCAAAAGCACCCAAGATTAAAACCCTTGTAGACGTCTCAAAACATTAAAAGAAAATTCCTTGAGCATAGAAAAGCCATACGCATTGAACATTTATTACGAGAAAAGAATTCGAATTAATTAAAGACGCGCACTAAATCCTGAAGAGATTTCATGAAGGAAAGGTTTTTTTTGTATTTTTTAGATCAATGTCATTCTTGACATATTATTGGAGCGAGCGAGATAGGCGGTAATTGTCAAGCGAAAGCTTATACGTTTTGTGATTACGCACATAAAAATACTAGTTATCGCCATGCCAACCCTGGGCACGCGCAGAAGGGATGGATGCTTCAGCTATTTCGGTTTAATATGTTTTCACTTGCATGCGCGAGGCCAAGACGCGATCAGATTTATCGGCATGGTTGGGTGCCCTGGTTGGGCATAAGGTGCACAAGGTATTTTACACTCAAAATAAACTTAGATTACCGCGGAACATTGTGAAAAACACAAAGAAATGATGGTAGCATTACCATCAGCTTCTGGAGGTTCTAAGGTCTTCAAATGTGACACCAACTTATTGGTGTCGATTGTGGCGTGCGTAGCAGGAGTCGTCGCCTGTGCCTCCGCCTGGCAATGGCAAGAGGCCACGTACGCGGCCCAAGAGCACCGCGCATTGGTCGGCCACTCGATCGGGAACCACTCGGGGGTGACACAGGCCCTGTGCGCGGTACTGTGTCTGAGGGAAGGCGACGCCCAGTGCCGGTCCTTCAACTACCACGACACCGGAAGGACCTGCCAGCTCAACGGCGCTAGAATGGAGGAATTTCCCGAGAGCCTGGTGGAGGATTTTGACTTCTCGTACTACGGCGCGCAACTTGAGGAGGTGAGTTGTGTTTTATTTACTTTTACCCTAGTTTCAATTTCTGCTGATTGAAATGGGACAAATTACACCTATTCAGAAAAAAAATGGATACAGCAAAATATAATTTACATTCTTCATTCAAATGCTATGATACATCCCTCTGTCGATACTATACAGGGTGAGTAAAAAAAAACCCCGAAACTCCAAAATCGGGACTATTTTTGTAGTGAAGTTCTGCATGTAGCACTTTTAAAATCTAGGATATGAAAGCCTAATTCATAGGCTTTCTCTTTGTACAAGAATCATTCAAATCACTCATGTACTTTTCAAGTTACGGAATTTTAAACTCAGTCATTGTTTTCAAGTTCTGTGGCACGGAGCACAAAAAGGTAAGTGTTTTTTTTTTCAGCAAAACGAACACAATTTACATTATAAATACATCCCTATAGCTATGTGAATTATTTTTGTTTTGCTGAAACGAAAACGGTGGTTGTGTTTAAAATCCCATAACTTGAAAAGTGCATGAGTGATTTGAATGATTCTTGTACTAAAAGAATTATGAATTGGGCTTTCATATCCTTGATTTTGAAAGTGCTACATGCAGAACGTCACTACAAAAATGGTCCCGACATTTGGGTTTCGTGTTTTTTTACTCACCCTAGTGGGTTTTTTTTCTTCATACATAACAAATCGTTAATTTTCAATGATTGATTTGGGGTTGTGATCTTGTTTACGTTTATGAACTAAACTATGAGGAAGCGGGATTACTTCAAATTCTTAAGTTAATTAAGGAGTGAGTGCTGGAAGATCCGTGTTTGTGTTTTTTTTTAATCTTCCTTGCATACCAACGTTTAGCACCCCTCTTTAAGTCAGCAATGTGCTTCAGATTTAAATATGAGGTCCCGTGCTATTTAAAAGAATTCTCTTCTCCTAACGAATTTACAATTGTTTTTTTTTTAATGAAGCAAGTATGCTTTCCTGATCTTGGGCCTCTCACTCTGCGGTCTTCTAAAAAATGGCTTTCAGCCCCCGGAAGACCGATTTGAATAAAATGTCAGGGCGCAAAAAAAGTTCGAATTTTGTAAAGAAATTATTCACTAACGAAACGTGGTGGATTTTTTTTCGTGCGACGTCTCATTGTAAAGTCCGTCACGAGCCGATGTGGCCCACATCGGGCTGGCGTTTATCTCCGGTTTTCAGTATAGCATGAAACGACTGAGATTATTTCTGTCCCCCCCCCCCCCCCCCGGACGGGATGCTATGGCAGGCTACTCCCCAGCTAATGCCGGTACCCATTTATAATCCTGGGTGGAGAGAGGCGAGCAGGGGTGAAGTGGCTTGCCCAAGGACACAACATAATTATGACCAGCAGCTGGATTCAAACCCCTGACCCTCTAATCGCGAGTCACAAACCCTAACCACTTGGCAACACTCCCCATAATGCCTCATTCCAAAGTGAACCGTTGCTTGAAAAAAACGAAATCTATTTTTCGGGGTGAAGCTCGAAATAGTACGTGTGGAATGCATCTTTAATTGTCCTCCGTATAAAATGTGCCTTGGGTCAAACAAAATGTAAAATCGCCCATTTTAACCAATTTGGTGTAAGTGGTGGTGGGGTACGGGAGTGGGGAGGATATATCCACCCCACAAATTTTGGACCGGGAATGGGCCATCGGCCATCGGATCGTACGGGCAATTTTAGGATTTTGCTGTAAAGTCATCCGCTAACTCGCTGAGCATTGTTGTCCATTTATCCCTTTTCTAAAAATTTTTCGAGTAGTATAACATGGGTGAAGTGGTGCAATAAGTGGCGCCACCAACGTCAAAATAGTCCGCCCCCTAAAAAAATTTTTTTTGTGAAAAAAAAACTTGTGAGCCCCCCCCCCCCAAATCCTGGGTGCGCTACTGCTTGTGGGGTACAGTACCGTTCCCTTTGTACGAGTACCCCTGGTGTGTACGGATTTACGCCGCTGTCTGATGGATGATGCGTCAACTCTTATAAACTCATTCAACATATCAAGCTGAGAGCATAGCGGATCAATGTTGTGTCAATCATCTTTCCCCAGTGCGGAAATCAACCGTCAATTATGGACAAGAAAGTCTGACTGCATGCCAAAGTTTGTCTAAATGCAAATTTGGCAACGGGAATTGCTCGCAAACTTGAATGGGGCTTGTGAGGTTTGCCGAAGGACTTTATTTATCAATTTAAAAAAAAGAGACCACGACACCTGTTGATATATATAATTATCTAATCCTCATCAATTGAAAATTGAAGGTAACGTGAATTAAACAGTCAAAATCGGTGCTTTGATTGTTTTCTTATTCACTCATTTCAAATAAATAGCTGGGGCATAGGAAATTCAAATTATAATGTAATTAGTTACGGCGAAAATGTTGGACAATCCTATAATTATTGTGTTGGCCTACATGTGTCACGACAGCTAATTTGGTTTGCCTGTACGACCTGCGGCGTTTAATCAATCCATCGAATAATTATTGTGAGCCAATTTCATTGTCAGTGCCGAGTATGACTGTTTCCATGGATATCGCACAGACACAAGCCCAAGGTCGCTCAAAGGCGTGGGCAACAATGTAGAAAGATCAGAGAAAGAATAATGAGAGTACGTGTTTTTGAAGAAATTACCTTCTCAAGTTGAAAGGAACGTGCGACTTGAATCAAAACTAGAGCATCAACGACTTTATCTGAATGAAATAAAGAGACAACAGGCAGGAGCTTCTACATGTCACTTGGTGGTCAGTCGGTCGGTCCGTCTGTCTGTCCACGGAAAATTGACCAAAAGTATGGTGCTCCGTATGTGCCATCGGCGTCGCATTTATAAACTCTGGCAGGGATCATTTCGATCGATTTCATGCAAGACTGTCATGCGAGACTGCTTGCAACACGGCCAGAGCTAGAGCTCTTTGTGCACTCGCACTTTTTTCTATCTTCTTAGAAAGTACCAATTGCCTCTACCTATTTTCTACCAGCTTATGGGGTTCCTGATAACTATTTTCTATCTTCCTAAGGGGTTTCATGATGCCTATTTTTCAGTCTCCTAGGGGGTTCTTTTTAACAGGAGAGTTCAGGGGTTTCTCTAGCTCTATATATCCACTTTCTATTTTAAGCTCTGGCAGGATAGCTTCTACTTGTCACTTGGTGGTCAGTCTGTCTGTCCCCGGAAAATTTACCAAAAGTAAGGTGTTCCATATGTGCCATCGGCGTCGCATTTTTCGGCGTCGCATTTTCAGCTCTGGCTGAATTTTGATCGAAATCATGCAAGACTTTCATGCAAGACTTCCCTACAACACCGCCATGTTGTGCAATGTGCACACTCGCACTTGTCTACATTACCAGTCACCAATGCATTTATTTAAACATCTTTAGATCAAGTATAGTGTATGTTTCACTTAAAATCGTCCGTTTCCGAATTGGTCATAGAATGAAATTTCCCTATTTTGGAGATATTAGAGTAAATCCCTTTTTTGTAATTTCTTTCCAGCCATATATCGATTTGCCGGAATTTCACACAACACCATCGGGTAAGTGTTCATGCGTTGTCAACATTATTTTGTCTGTCCTCTTTTGAATATGACATGAACTTGTTTGAACTTAATACTTAGCAACCGCGTGCAAAAACAGCCATTACCCGTCATACACATTATAGGGCCCTATAAAAAAGTTTTGAAGTAAGGTATTTTAAATCGTATTTGGAGAAAATTAGAGATCGTTTGACACCTTTTTCTCTCTGGATGTAATTTGTCATTTGAAGCAATAATGCAGGCGTCAGGGAGGGGGGGGGGGGGTTCCCCATCCCCTATTTTGTGTTGTCATTGTGTCCCCAGAATCTCAGAATATTTTTTGAGATATCAGAGGGGATGTGTTAGGCAACAATAACCTCTGTGCTGATGACGTCACACTTTGTTACATGTGTTCTTTCTTATGGGCGCCTAATGGTGAGGACAGTTTCGTAGCCCAATAGAAAAGCGCACAAGTATAGACCTTTCTGCGCTTGGTTGGCAAACTGCATTTTTGCCAACCACGGCCTGCAAAACTATGGAAAGACCAACACTGCAAAAATGAAGAAGAGTTATTACAGATCACCAAAATATTATGTGATACTTGAAAATACAACACTTTCAACAAAGCTACAAAATAATTCCTACATATATGCCTTTTTATTATGTGTTGATGGCGTTATGAGGACTTTTTTGGAAAAATATAGTGCCAACCACGGCTTCAATTTATGAGCTTACGGCAGCCCATACAAAATGGCGCCAATGTTTACGAACAAAAGAAAGGCCTATAACGAAGTGTGACGTCATCAGTGCATAGCGTATAGTCTAGAGTGTGTATTGGGTACAGGGACACTGGGTGTACCCATCTGTCACAAATCGTGCAGGGTATCATATTGGTACAATGGCAGGGAAGAATGTAAATGCCTGAGGTAGATAAGCCAATACTAAAACAAATTTCCGGTTGTCCACTCCCATATCCAACAATGTACTTGTTATTTCGTTTGTGCCGCAGCTTCGGAATGGCAGCTCGTGTTTAAAGGTGTGGCGGGCAACGGAGTGAAGATGTACGACATGTGGACTGCAGCAACCTGGGACGAGACTACGATGGGTGTCGGTGGGAGCTGGCGGGATGACTCGCTGTACGGGGCCTGGAACAGCGGTGATCTGAACATAGCGCGAGTAAGTACTAAATACATCATTCACGCTTCAGGACTTGGTCTGGATGTAAAGGGGTACATCTGCAAATTATCCTCGGCTATTATAACCGTATATGAAGTTAATCATTGCGTATCCGTTATCGTTCTTGACCTTGTCTTATCGGATCACGTTCCATGTGCTTGCAAAGAGCTGAAAGTCATATAGTAATTGAGAATTTGCATCCACGTTATCGCGTGAACGGTGCATGATCCGACGATCGATCGTACAGTAATGTACATTGCATTATGCGTAACGCGCACGTTCTGCGCGGTGTTTGTCTCGGTCAATATCCATTTTTTTCTTCTTCCAAAAGTCATTATACCCCCCCCCCCGAAAGAAAATAACGGAAAATGAAAGATTGTAAACTTGATATGTGTCTCAAACACCTTGGAGATTTGTGAGTATTTTCCCTGAATTTCGGAAGTGGACGTATTGACCTGTCGACCTTTGACCTGTGACGTCATGTGAGATTCCTCAATACATGCTAACATAATTTCTCTCACCCAAAATAACAACATACGCTATTCTGACAAAGTGCAAAAAGGGCTGGTGACTTTGTCACTTGGCGTGTACACTCTCCGCCCAATTCCCTGGCTTTGCTGCACTTAGTTTTGGTAATTCACTGCGCTACTATATATTTTGCTCACATTATACTTTTTTAAAAACTTTTCCATGCGTTACACATGCACGTTAAAGGTAAAAGAAAACATCTTTTGCTGTAATTTTTAGAAATGAGCGGATTTGGGGATAAGTATTTTATAGCAAATATTGTTACACTGACCTGTTTTAAGTTTTGTGTTCATGGATGCTAGAAAAAACCAAGACAAAAGTGCTGTTCCTTTGGTCTGGCTTCCCGACGCTACTTCAGACAAAACGGAGCAATTTGTAGACTTCGGGGAATTGTCAGGTCAGGGAACCAGACTAGCTGGCTTGCTCCCGTTCACGGATGGATATAAACCGATTGATAAAAAAATACACTTTTCTCGAAAATGACAGCACGCCAGGTACCATAACTTCACAGGATGCTTGAGACTATTATTCACCTACAGTCAAGTAAGGTATTTCATCATAATTTGGTATAGTTTCGGTTTTTGAAGTTTGTAAATGTTGTATAATTACCTTTAAGGTCAAACTGTCCCTCTGCGATGCCAATATTGGCAGTGGAGCCGAATTAATCTTCGACGGAACTGGCTCAGATGTCAGCAGTTGGTTCAGCAAGGATCGCCTCATCTCAAACCCCTGGCAGGACCTCATCTCGACCGCGACAAACTACTTCAGCATCTATGGGCATCCTCTAGAGTATGTACACACTGCAAAAACTGTTTAGCAATTAAACACTCTTCTAAACACTTTCTTGCTATCACTTTGTGAATTTACATGTATACTACAACATATTATGTTTAGAGTATTGATGGATCATTTTGCAATTGAACATTGATGTTTAGGAATTGCACACGTAATGTTTAGCAGACTTTAGCTTCTAAACATACAAAGTGATAGCAAGATAGTGTTTAATTGCTCAACACAGTTTGTTGGGTGCAGTTTCTGTTCTCACGAGGATAGAAAAAAAGGCAACTGATCATTAGTATATGGTTCCCTGACCTTACGATCCCCGACGTCTTTTGTTATATCGTAGGTCAGGTTATAAATGTCACATTCCACAGACTTGTATGCGAATCACCGTACATCGAGTCCGAGTCCGAGTCACCTCTCCCGAGTCTGAGTCCTAGTCCCGGTCATGCAGGTCGAGTCCAAGTCCTGAGTCATGCAGGTCGAGTCCGAGTCCTGAGTCATGCAGGTCGAGTCCAAGTCCGAGTCACGATCGAGTCACCAAATATATAACTGGAAATACATTTCGAGGTACTGTTAAACCTCACATTGTAAATGTTTCCATTTTTTTCCACAGCTTTTTTCTAATTTAATGAATTTGAAATACATGTATAACATGTCAAAAAATTAATATATATGGCAAGACACCGGTGTCTGGAGAGGATAATCTGGCACCAGACACCATCAAGCTTGCTTGTGTGGACGCTGGGGTACATGTTTCGGTAAATTGATTTCTCAAATTAAGATATCGGAAACAAGTCAGCCGCACGCGCATTATAAGGTACGCAGATGCGTTTCTTCTGCACCGCAAAGGCGTATCGTTTGCTTAGGAGAGGATCGTCTTCAAAATAAATTATAATGGGGGGGGGATGAGTGTTTTGTGGTAATTGGTCGAATCCCAAGGCATGCAGGTCGAATCCGAGTCCAAGTCTGAGTCCGCAGGGTTGAGTGCGAGTCCGAGTCCGAGTCATTTGTCATCGTGACTGAGTCCGAGTCCATGTCACGGAAAATGGGACTCGAGTCGGACTCATCAGTCCGAGTTCGAGTCACGAGTCATGCAAGTCTGACAGTCACAAAACATGAACATGAAGCAAATTAAGGCTCTGCACTCGGCCGATCAGCCGGTCGAGTGCATCCTTCCGAGGTTTTTACTTCTATCATTATCTCCCATCTTTTCCCCATCTTCCACACGTTAAGAGATCGCCGGTTCTTCATCAATCGTCGGTACGGGAACTGCGTTGGAGATTACGGCTGGCTGGTCGTGACGGAGTCCAATTCGCATTTTGACTGCGAGTGGGATCGTTCGTCCGCAAAGTACCCCTACCCGATCATACTATACAGCAGGACGGCGGGCAATGTTCAGTGGCACAAAGTAATAACTGAAGGTACGTATAAGGGTTATGTTCGGTAGACTAATTCGTCCACCAGCTACTGCGATAGGATTACCGATGTTTATACATGTATATACTGATACGCTCGCGCACAGGTTGAGTTTCCCTTGGCGACGCTGAGGCCAAGTCAAAGACCGGTTGAGGTCCAAGACAGTTTGAGACCCAAGGTCCAAGACGGTCTTTATAGACCGGTTATTAAGCTGCCGTGATGGTACGGGCGCTATGAACAAGATAAGTCATATCCGAGCATACCTCACGCGCGCATTAGGTTCAATAAATCTCCCGGTGTATGCTCATAATTTCTCGGCCACATTTGATCGTCTTTGATCGTACATCGCCTGAATGCCGCTTTCCCCACGCTTGCCAGGGAAGAGGAACCGCTTGAATTAGGGGAACGAAATTCAAAGTCTAGTCTTGAGCCAAGGCTAACACGCCACTGGCAATAGGCCTAACCTTCACCAATGTTTGTTTTCGCATGCATGCAACCAAGCAGGCATGTGTCACTGTTGCCAACGTATTGGTGCTTTACTTCCCATTAAAATATCCTCGAGATTCACAGCTTTAACGGAGTCGTTTTCGATGCTTTTCTTTTTCGACCTTCAACACCTTAGCGCGAAATGCTCCCTCAAATTATCTCTGGAATTAACTTGAATCATGGAGGTAACCTCTAATTGCAAGCTCCTTGGATGCAAGCCTGGGTCAGCACTTCCGCCTGCGCAGCACCCGTGCGCAAGAAACCCGCGTACATTACTTATGGCAAGTGACTTATACCCACAATGCTTTTCGACGCCGACATTTGCTGCACAAAAGGTCTCCAGTCCCGTTAAATTGGGTGGCGGTGTTTTTCCCCATTGTGGAAAGTGTTCTCCCTGTGTTATGATTTCGTTGTTTTTTTGTTTTGTTACAATTATTTTGACAGGTACTGATACAGTCGGACGTGCGGACTACCTAACCATCCATATCGATGTCGAGTAACAATTCCAGAGATTGACCAGAACAAAACTTATTATGATTATTAAAAAAAAAAAATTGACATTACTATTGATTAAACTTTATGCAACGCCTAAATACATCCCCGTCATCTGATGGGTCGTTGATCGCGTGTCATTGAATTATTCATCCCTGGGACCAACCCACGGCCTAGTCTGAGTATCACCCTTTGTCCAACGGAGCCCTGTCGATATCCAACGCCTGTGGTTTTTATGTGAGCACTGCAAAATGTATGCGACCCTACGCCAGCCAATCTGAGTTGACTTTAGAAATTGTGACGTCATTTCGATCAGAAATGTGGACTAAGCTTTTGATTGGTCAACTTGGCTGACATGTTTTTGTAATACAACAACGGGTTACAGAAGACCAGATACAAGGCACCGCTGAATGGTCAGAATCTGGAGGCCAAGACGCGGTTTAGTTTTGCATAATTAAATTGCCGAATCTGTTCGCATATCATAGACTCCTGCTGTGGATTATTCCGGCCTCAGCGCAAAAATAGAAGTTCGATTTTACGGTTAATAGAAGGGATTGGTGGCGCTATAACACGGCTCTGATGGCTCTGGTGCTGTATATCCATTCACTCAAAAATAGAACATTAACGTAAGCACCAATTTGCAAGTTACCAATCAGATGACGAGGATTTATTCAGGTGTTGTATAAAACAATACTCGGTTTTGCCTCGTGGAATGGAACATTCCATCTGTCACTTCATGAAATTATTCCTTACAATTGCAGGAGAATAGGGCCTAATGTAGTTGCCTCTGTTGTATATAATATAATGCACACAAAAGCATAGCGAAAAAGAATTATGTAAAAATTCGCTTTAGCTTGGAAGTTAAAAAGTGATATGATCATCAGAACAGTATAGCATTACATGATACTACATGCATATGTTGTTTAATCCACATATTCATGCTCTTAACAGCTATGCGCAATGCTATGGGACAAATAATGAATAAAACGGACTTTTATATCTAACTCATAAATACTTAATTCATACAATAATTACCCATTCTTATTGGTTGAGAGCCACTTTTCTTGTGTCGCATGCAATTTGGACTCCTATGTAGTCTGGTCCATTTTACCCTTTTATTGGTTGAACGGTCACAATCCTCACTTTTTAGGCATTATGTACAATACTACCAATGAGTCAAATTCATACTACACCGTCACCGCCGCAAGTTCTGCGCCACATCACGCAATAGGCGCTACGCACGCGCCAATCTTCTTATACGGAGTTGTCTACTACTACTCGCGAGAGGCACCTACCATAACATAGCTAGAGGGGTGTTTCGAAAAACATGAAGTAAAATATTATTGTTGAACAAAATCTTTCGAAATTTATTCTTTTGACATTCGGACTTCAAAAGGTATATTTTAGTTATTATCAAGTTGGGTAATTATCAGCATCAAGCCTCCAAGCCGGTCTTAAACGTATTGTTTAAAACCAGCCAAGCATTTTATCCCTTATTATTCATGCCAGCAGACACACACTAACATAGCTGTGTGGACGAAATAAAAGACTATGTATATTGTTTAGAAACCACGATCGAACAGAAAGTCAACACAAAGGTTAAACTGGAGTACATTGTCTAATTGGTTCATCCCTTTAGTATTGTAAAATATTAATGCATGTATTTCATTATGGTGTAATATAATAATTATATTAAAATATTTGATGTACTAGCAAGAATAAGTAATGTTATTAGCACTTCTGTATATAATTAACACACACGAACTAAAATGCGCAAACCAGACTGCAGCTGAGTAAGTTATGAAAAGAATTGAGAATACAGTATTTAAAAATTCACTTATTTAATGAAAAATTGGAAGTACATGCACCTGTTTTTTTGTTGAATAGTATTATTAGAAATGGCATTCGGGTTTTTTTTATACTTCATGTAAAATAACATTCCCAAGTAGATTAACAATTGATAGTAGTTGGTCAATGTACCAAATAAAAAAAGATGAAATACAAATCCGAATCACCTTATAATTCATACTTTCTGATTGAAGGCATGCACGGGGGTAACAAGTGAAGTGCCCGGAGTCTGTGTGTGTGAGTATGTAAACACCGGCAATCGTGGACCTAGGACAAAAGGGTTAGGGCACAAACAATACCTCCACGATTGACTGATAGTCCATGATTGAAATTCGTGTACAAAACCAATGAGAGATGTTGCTAAAAAGTTACAAAGGAATGAGGATTAGGGACGATAGGGGGTCCACGATTTCCGTTGTTTACACAGATGTACGGGGGGGGGGGGTACCACACGTATTGCAGTAAAAAAAAAAAAAAAAACCGGAACAGCGACCCAAGTGCCAGATCCGGGGGATGCTGAGAGAAATGAAACCCCTCCCCCAACGCAACTGTCCCCCTTAGCCCCCCCCTTCACCTATTTAATTAGCCACCACGCCCCTTCTGCGCCAGGACGAACAGCGCCACCTTGTGACACATGGTGTCCAGTCTTGTCCGTTCACTCGTCCACCGTGACGGCGCCCTCTCCCCAGGGCGCTGATGGGGGTTCGCTCATACCCCCCCCCCCCCCCCCCCCCCCCCCGCCCTGCAAACAGGACGCTGGGATACTCTGATGAGCTTCACCGAATCTTGTGAAGGAAATTAAGCATCTGGCTGCAGCTGTTCAAGACCGCAGTTAGACAATGTTCCAAACGCTATCCGAAAACTTCCCATAGAAATGCACACGTTCCATACCAGATGTGATTTCTGTTTCATTGCGGACCATGTGGACAACATTTTGAGCGTCGCATAATGCAATTCGACCGTTCGTGATTCGAAACGGAGCCTGAGCAAGTGACGGGAATTGTAAAGTTACAACACAGATAAGTTTTACAGAATTTCCTACATTATTACGCTTTTCAATGAAAACAAAATCTCTAAACTTGAATAAAAGAGTAATGAATCAGTCTAGCTTAACGGCCGTTTCAAACCTTGCAGAGTCATGACCGTGATGACGCGCAGGTCACAGGTCGCGCAGAATCCAACCAATCAGAGCGTGAATTCATCAGAGTATCCCAGCGTCCTGTTTGCAGGGCGGGGTAGGGGGGGGTACGAGCGAATGGTGGGGGCTAATCGCTTTGAGCTGTCATTTGACAATTTCATTAATCCGAGGACCCGTGGTCACAGTGGCGCACCCAGGATTTGGCTGGGGGGGGGGGCTAACAATTTTTTGTTTTTCAAATTTTTTAGAAGTAAAAATTATTGGCCGCAGAAAAAAATTGGGTTGTGTACAAATGGATTGAAATTCAACAATGTATCTGACCCAAATTGTCTTGGCCTTGGAACAACATTGTCAGAAACGGTTGTAGCGGTTGAATGTGGATGGGACTCGACACCATAATGCCACTAGGTGGCGCTGTTCAAGGATGCAGAGGGTGGAGAGAGTTAAATGGACAAAGAGGGAGGCGTAACGTGGGGGGGGGGTACGTTGCTGTCCACGGTTTTTACTTCAATGGGCGTTCCCTTCCCCCCCCCCCGCTCTTTGCTTGCTAACCTCGTGCATGTTTTCCTTCAGACAAGTATGAGTTGTTAGGAGAGATCGATTTCTCATAAATTTTCTTTTTAATTTGTCACATTCTCTAACTAATATAAGTTGCTAAGCTGTTTCTTTTACATAAAGTGTCATTAAAAAAAATACAATCGAATGCCATTTTCAATAATACAAATGCAGGTAAAAGTTCCAACCCTCGAATTTATTAATTAAATATGAGTGGCTTTTTTAATAGACAACAAGAATATAATAACATTTTCACTTTTTTTCATAACTTACTCTGGTCTGTGCATTTAATTCGTGTCTTAAATTATGTACAGAAGCGAACAATTACTATTATAATTTATTTGTACATTCTTCGTCTGTTGCACCACGAAGTGATAGCCTATGCGCTTGCGCAGTTGACGCCACATTTCCCAATATAAATAATTATGTGACGCATATAGCCTATACGACTTGCACGGTTGACGCCACATTTCCCGACATAAATAATTATGTTATAACCTATTTGAAATATTAGTGTTACAATTAAACCGATGGACCAATAACACTGCACATCAATTTGTTTGCGAAGTAAGCGGCCGTGGAAAATTTGTCGATGACTAAAAATCGACCAACTCCAGTTGCGTGTTGACTTTCTGTTCGATCGTCGTTTCCAAACATGTGTGTATAGAAATAAACTATACGTTTAGAGAACAAAAAAACAATATTAAAATTACTTACTTCTATTTTGTTGAATAATAATACGCTTAAAGAATGATTATTTTTCAACACAATGCTGTTTTTCCTATCTCATTTGGACACCTACATCCAGAGATACTGACGGTTAATTGAAAGGGATATGTCAATGTGGTGCAATTTGCTGCAAAGTGGGTGAAAGGAGATTAACATGCCAGCGATCTCTCTGTTGGCCAACTTACCTATTGTTCTTTGCCAATCAATGTTCAGTTGGAACAACCTAAACTTATGCTCCAATGATTATGCAAACTAGTTACATAATCAATTAATCGTAGATTCCAACTAAACGTTTTTGTTCTAAATATATCATTTTTTTTTTACATACTGTACAGTACATTAAGGCTCTACACGGTCTTTTATTTCGTCCATGCAGCTATGTTTGGCGGTGCCGCTCATGATAGTGCTTTCTATTAATGGTGCATCGAATGCATTTTTTTCACAGTCAATATAATTTGTGTGTGCATTCTATCCTACAACAAAGTTAAGCACAATGTTTCCGCTTTCATAGTCTGAGTATCGCATAACTTGAATAATAATAAACTCAGCTGATTTTCTTTTTCATATTAAATTACATATGCGGTCTACTCGATATTGATGTGGATGGTTAGGTAGGCGGCACGTCCAACTGTATCAGCACCTGCAATGTCAAAATTGAAGAAAAGAAAAACAATGAACTCAGAACATGGGAAAATAATCCAATAGTAGTTTACTTTTCCGCTCATGTTTTTTTTTGGGGGGGAGGCTGGCGTCGCAAAGCATTATGGGTAGGTCACTCGCCAGCCAAAATAGGTACGTTCGAGTAGCTCACCCGGGTCGACTCGGTAAAGTCAGGCGGGTTAGCCACGACAGCCGGGCTAATCAAACGCTTAAACGCGGGCCATCCCATGATCCCCACGTGACGTCCGTATAGCCGCGGCCGTAGTCACTGACAAAACGCCCTTTTCGGAAAGCACAACGTTGGGCTGGAATTATAGCCTCTAAAATCGCAATGAGATAAATAACTAGGCCTTAGTCCTATTATGTTGAGTCTTCAAATAAATTTGAAATTTTGTGTTCACTTGATCTGTTCCGCTGCCCGGCCGCCATACTTGTCCGAGTTCAAATCTCCGTAAATACCCTAAATATGGCTTTTATATATTTTGTCTTGTTTATTTTCAAATGTAACTTCTTCTTCTTCTTTTTTACTGAACTTGAAGTATATTTAACTTTTTTTCGGAGGACTTTTTATGGGAAATAAACAGCGATCGAGTAATATTACATTGACAGATTTGGCATACGATTTTCATTCGAACAAGAGATATGAATAATGGGATATTGGTGTTTCAAAGGCAAAATCACAAAAGAAAAGAAAATGGAGTGGAACAGTTATAATATTTGGGGAGTTAATCATCCTTACTCGCAGCTGAGACGCTGCATTGCGAAGGACGCGTGAACAACGTGGCCAAGCCGAGGCATGTGAATGCGAATTAATATGCAGCCGACATAATGACCCATGTCTGATCGACCACGGAGCACAGCCAGAGATCGACTTGATGATTTCTTTGCGGAGGGAGGAAAACCGGAGAGCCTCGTGGCACAGGAGAGAACCAACGCACATTAAATTTTACTCTACTCACATGATGGTCCGAGCCGGGAAACGGACCCGGGCCGTAGTGGTGACAGCTAGAGGCGAGCGCTTAATGTACAAGCCACCCGCGTTGCCTACTAATGCCAAGTGTTGTTCCAAGGCTAGATTTGAATTTCAGTGTTCCCCTATTGAAGCCGCTATCGGCGGCAGAGAGCGCTATCAACAAGATTAATCGAACCCTTGTCTACTTTGGCACTATACTCAAGTATTTCCGTTCATACCTCAGGCTCGCGCTAATGTGCACACAACGTACAAGGTACCAAGACTAGCGAATGCCCCGCTTAAGGACCGTTGCCCACGCCTAGCCTCCGCTTATTATACCAAACGTACCTGTAGTTAGCACATCCTGCCACACTACTTTGCCCGCCGTGTTGCTGTAGAGTATGATCGGGTAGGGGTACTCTGCAGATGGACGCTCATATTGGCAGTCCGTTAGCATTTGGGAATCTGTCACTACCAGCCAGCCTTTATCTCCAGGGCAGCCGCCATAGTTGTGATTAATGTAGAACCGGCGTTCTCTGAGCGAGTAATAGAGAAAAAAATACAACAACAGACTCTTGTGCTTCTTCATTATGGAGGCCTATAGCTAATTGCTACGTTACAACATAAGATTAAGAATGCAACTTCACTATCAGTCCAACCGTTCAAAGGGCCTCGGTTGTTAATCATCGTCATTATCATCTAGCGGGCGGTAGCAACCAAGTTCTAGTTCACAACGCCACGCCAGATGTCTTTATCCCTAATTATGCATGACGGTCTTCAATTTCACATTGGGTGACTCTGCCAATTATATCAATGTAGTTGAAAGGTCTTTGTCCTCTATTAGGACATAGAAGTCTCCAACATATAATACATCAGATATGACCTGGTCTGCAGCACGGTAGCAGTGGCCAGCAAAGCGAACTCGTCAGAGACAGGTGGAGTGTCTCCGTAGATCTGTTCTGTCAATATACAGGTATCTTTAGTTTAAACATGTTTTGAGGACATTTAGTGGGGGCAGTCATCGAAAGGACTGATGACATTAACAAGACTGACATGTATTAGTTTGTTGGCAAATAAAACAATTTAAAAAGTCGGGGAAAAACCCGAGCGTAACGACATGTCCGACTTTCAACGAAAAACGTATTCGGAAAACTGCGGACATCTCCGGAAAGGGGCAGGATCCTGCTTGCTTTGGTAACCTGCATGACGGTTAATAATACGCCTGTCAGAATTGTCAGGATATATTGGTCAGGGAACCAGACTGAAAACAAATGTATACATACTCGTTGACATCACCTTCAATACTGAAGTAGTTCGTCGCGGTCGAGATGAGGTCCTGCCAGGGGCTTGAGATGAGGCGATTCTTGCTGAACCAACTGCTGACATCTGAGCCGGTTCCGTTGAAGATCAACTCTACCCTGCTGACGTTACTGGAATCATACAGGGACAGTTTGACCTGAGCACGAAGAAAGACATAAACAAGTAGGCTTATAGAAAACAAAATGAGGAAGTGTGGCCAAACAGTTCATTGAGAACCAAAACTTGTCTTGTGGGGAGTCATGACGCGAATTGGGCGCAGACTACCCATACGACGTACCGCAGTGACACGAGGCCTTTTGCACTTTTACGTAAGAGACGCTCAGCATCAATACATTGTTCACAATGGGTGAGAATGGCACTAAGTCACCAGACCATTCCAGAGCTGGGGGTTGCTGACACAGGCCTAAGGCTTGCCCGAATCACGTGATAAGGCAACAGTCTCTTTGGTCTGGAGAATTCAAAGTTAAAATGTGCCAAGCATTGGAGCAAGTCAGGGTACCAGATGTTACTCGAATTTAATTGGCAAATGGCTTATTGCCTTTTAAGCTGTGAAAGCACTTACTCGCCCTATGTCCAGATCACCGCTGTTCCAGGATCCGTACAGCGAGTCATCCCGCCAGCTCCCACCGACACCCAGCGTTGCCTCGTTCCAGGTCGCTGCAGTCCACATGTCGTACATCTTCACTCCGTTGCCTGCCACACCTTTAAACACGAGCTGCCATTCCGGGGCTACGGCACAAAACAAAAGACGGTAAGCCTATTTTAATTTAAAAAAGGGGAGGTCGAGATGTAACTATAACAGCTGTACTGATCACCCGACCTGGACCAAGTGGTTTTTCAATAAATTCGATCTGTTATGATTCCCTGCCTTGATGTTTTCCGATAAGGTCATGTAGGCCTATACTTCTACCGCACCGCTCATGTGTGCTTATGGGGTACAGGGTGAGTCAAAAACACGAAACCCATATGTCGGGACCATTGAATTAGTGAAGTTCTGCATGTAGCACTTTCAAAATCTACAATATAAAAGCCCAATTCATAAGCTTCCTTTTAGTACAAGAATCATTCAAATCACTCATGTACTTTTCAATTTTTTTTTTATAATAAACAAGTTCATTTTCATCTTCGAGAGGTGGTAAGGCAAAATACAGAAAAAAAAATGTTTGGCGTCCTGCCTTTTGAAGAAAAAGGAAGGAAGAGGCCCTTTCCCACCCCCACAAAATGGCCGCCCTACCGGGCTATTTTCCAAGATGGCCGCCAGCCCTTTTTTTAATGGCCGCCACTTGGACTCGGGAATGACATACAAGCTTTATAACTATGGGATAGATGCAACAGACAAAGAGGCCAGAATGATATAACTGTTTAAAATTTATCATTTTTATCGTGTTTTTAAAAAAGAAAAGGAGGGGTTTTCCAAAAAGGAAGCGGACGGGGACGTTAAACATGTTTTTTTTTTATTTGGCCTAATATAAACTATGCTGACAGCGCCTGAAAAAAAAATGTGTTTCTTACCTGGTGTTGTCTGAAGCTCCTGAAAATCAGTATTTGCCTGAAAAGACAGGTTTATACAATGTTTACAGTCTTTCATTTTCACTCTAAAACCTAATGAAAGTAGGTACCAGACAATTCGGTGTGAAAAATAAACAGTCGGATTGACACAGCTTGATTATTCTCTCTCTCTCCCCCCCCCTCTCTCTCTCTCTCTCTTGGGGGAGACAGATTGGCGAAGCGGTACTTTCCTCGCCTAGCTGCTGTGACCCGGGTTTAAATCCCTTCTTGCGTTTTCCTGCCCGATTCCATGGGCTTTTACCACTGATCTCTATATAAAGAATGGATAGCTAATAAAGAGCCGCACAATGAATGAATTTGACGCCATATTGGTGAGACCGGCATGTGATCCGCAAAGGACAAGTTGCCGTTTTTATAGACAGCATGATTTCTTTTGTAACGTCGCGGTTCACTTGACTTATATTTTGACCACCACCACTGACCAAGGTTAACTACAATTTTTTAACGTCGTGGTTACTAAAATGCCGCAAATATTACTTTTTCGGCGTTTTGAAATAATAATTACTACGGAAATGTGTCCCTTTTAGAACATCATAATATGTGTGCGTGACCAAAATGCGCGTCAACTGTTGATACAACGCGCGCGTATTTACGCGTAGAACGTTCGTATTATACGCGGCCATCTTCGCGAGACCGGGGGCGAATTGGTCAATATGCAAAGTCTACTGTGTGAATGTTGTATGCATATCCGCTATCCAGTCTTTATATAGAGATCAGTGGCTTTTACCTATAAAATATCATTCTTGTGTTTTTCTCCCGCCACTAAAACTGTAATTTCCTTCCACATCTTCTACCAAGAGACCCCACTCGAAAAAAGTCTTATCCATCCTTTTCTTGCGCTGTAGGATGTGGTTGAAATAAATAACAAAAATAAAATCAAGTAAAAAAAATCACTCCGAACCCCCTCCCCCGCACTTTTTCGCCAAAGAGTGGAAGTTTCAATTTCTAAGAGTGGTTTCTTCACCCAGTACATTAAAAAACCTGATTGGAATGGGAGCTCAGTCCATTCGATAAATTATATTTCACCCCAAACACCTCGGCTCTAGATTTATTCAGATAAAATGAATCGATCAGTGCTGTGGGAATTAACGTAAGAGCTACATATTAGGCCAAAAAAATTAATAAGTCGGTCTCTGGTCAGCGCGCGCGTCGATTTTAATCATGCGCGTCAATCTTTTTTTTCCCCCAAAATGTTCCGCGGTAGCTCCAACAGTGCCCTCTATTGCCGCACCTCCTCAACTTTTTTTTACCAAAGAGCACCAAGGAATGGGAAATTGCACCAAGGCAAATGATCGAGAGCACCAAGGCAAATTATGGAGGACACCAATGTACGTGAAGACACCCAATAGCAAAATAGTACCCCACCTTGTCTGTACAAACCAAGCTTGAAGAAAGAAAAAAAAGCCAAAAAAAAAAAAAGAAGCCGCGTGACCGCGTCAATTCCGGAACTTTGGTCTGACCAGAGACCGACTTTTTTTTTTTTGGCCTAACACCGTTTTTTTTTTTTAATTAAAAAAAGGCTTCACCGGTCCATGCCTTCTCGGCTTGTATGATTTCACAGTTGACGACTAAGGTCCGTGAAAATACGATTGTCATTTAATCGATTTCTAGTGCTCTCAGTTATAGGCCTAATTCAATTTTTATTAGATACGGTCATTCAGCGTATAAATATCACACAGAAAACGTCAGGTTTAAGCCCTCAAACGGCCGATTGTGTATTTTGTTTAAACCCAATGAATAAAATTTGATATGTACGGAATACGCCCAACTGGGCTTCAAAACGCGTTTTAGGCCTAAACGGATTGTTATTAAACGGAGAAAACATTAAAAGTACACTCAACCAAAAAAGAAAGTCCACCCTTAATAATTGTTTGTCTAACTCAAAAATTATGGTGCACGTCTTGCTCAAATGACGACTGACCAGTACAGAAATTCCTTAGCAATCCAGCCATACTCTTTGTTTGGCCGAAAACAATGCAATTTATAACAACAGTAGGCACCGACAAAAAGTTGCCCTTTTGTATAGGCCTACGTGCAAGGTGAGTGTGAACCATAACATAAATTTATACAAATGTGCAGCTGTTTTCGGTATCATTTGTCGTAAATTACATGCATTCGTACACATTATCCCCGTTTTCGGCCAAATAAAGAGTATGGCTGGATTGCTAAGGAATTTCTGTACTGATTAGTCGTTATTTGAGCGAGAGGTGCTCAATAGTTTTTGAGTTAGACAAAAAAGTATTGGAAGGGTACTTTCTTTTTTGGTTGAGTGTAGAATATAAACTTGATATGATACTTGTACAATGGGCCGACAATAATAAAGTTTGACCTAGAATTCCTAAATGTATTCTCAAATTACCTTAGAACGAAGGAGGGACATGCCCGACCCCTTTTTAGCGGGGGGGGGGGGGGGGGGGGGGGACACCCTTACCTTAAATATCACCCCACCCGTAAGATATATGATCCGACCATTATTGGACCCCCTTTCTCCTTCATAAAATTCTCATCAGAAATGAGAAAAGAGGTCCTCGCTATTGATGTTTCAGTTTAATTTCAATGTGAATATTAGACAAAGACATCGACGGAGGGATGTATTTTAACCCACAATTTGAGTGAAAAATGTACAAAAATGTATACACTGACTCATTTGTTATTTGCAAATACATGTAGTTTTCTTCCTTCCTTCCTTGAAAGTGCAGCCTCATACGGTAGCAATGCAATGCCAGAACACCGGAGCGAACCCCTTCTCTTAGCGATTCAATTCAATTCAATTCAAGAAGACATTTATTCCACACTCCTCTAGAGAATACATCCATAAATAAAGACTGGTAAATAGCAAAATAACAATTCCATAAATTTGTATCAAAAATAATAAAAGTAAAATGCGCTATGAAGCAATTACAATAACAATTCATAGCGATAAGTGTTACTGAATTGTTTAACGTGCATTACACAACACACGGGACCTTCGGCTTTACATCCCATCCGAAAGACGAAGCAATAATGGTTAAGTGCCTTGCTCAATATACTTAAACAAGCAAAATTGGGGTATGTTGGATAAGGCCAACTCACCTCCTCGAGCTGCGCGCCGTAGTAAGAGAAGTCAACATCCTCCACCAGGCTCTCGGGAAATTCCTCCACCCTGGCGCCGTTGAGCTGACAGGTCCTGCCGGTTTTGTCGTAGTTGAAGGACCGGCACTGGATGTCGCCTTCCCTCAGACACAGTACCGCGCAATTGGACCTTGTCACGCCCGTGTGGCTCCCGATCGAGTGGCCGACCAACGCGCGGTGCTCTTGGGCCGCGTACGTCGCCTCCCGCCATTGCCAGGACGAGGCACAGGCGACGGTTGCTGCTACGCACGCCACAATCGATACCAATAAGTTGGTGGCACATTTGAAGACCGAAGAACCTCCAAAAGCCGAGAGCAATGTTGCCATTTTCCTTTCTTAGGACCAGGTTTTGCCGATGAGTGTAGAATTATCTAAGGTAAAATAGTTAAGCATTACTTTATATAATCCATGAAGGCAAACGAAATTTAGAAAGCATGCACGGATACACACCTACATCTCAGCTGAACGTGCAAGTGAAAATAACCAAATGCTCCATCATCCCTCCCTTATGCGCATGCGTGTCGGTGCGGCGATATCATAAACTGCATGATTGTATCCCTGATCCGTCTACAAAATATCAGTGTAGGTGGGCACGGACATCCGGGAGCTTCTTTCATTGCCTAGTCTAGTTCCCAGACCTACGTGTACTTGAAACTCCATGGTTCTGCATGAGTCTGAAGAGTGTTGAATGGTAACTCATAGCAACCGGTGAAAATTGGTGTCCAAACAAATACAGTGTTTTCATGGTCAGACGTCAGCCCACCAGCACCTAAATTGAGATCAGTGGTTATTTATGTGCGCAATTACAACACGCCTTTGCATATAGCAATTGGTCTTGAAACAGTTGCGCCTGTTATGTCAACTCGTCTGAATACTTTTCGTTTATATCCATTCAGATTCGTTGACAAGACTTCTTTTCCGCTTTTAGAGGGCGATTTCAAACATTCACCATCATCTATTTCACTTTTAGTTTAACGCCTTTGGCACCAGTTACAACTAGGTTTTCTTTAATCAAATTAGCTGTACCTGAAATCAATTTAGACAAGGTATGCTTGTGTATTGGCCGTCTGTTTCTCAAAATCGAGTGCACGGACGATTGAACAGAGGTGCTAGGTCCAATGGTTACAGTGTGCGATACGTGTGCCGTGGTACATGGGTTCGAATCCTGACCGTGGGAACATGTTGCTTGTGCTCTTGAGCAAGGCACTTTACCATTATTGCTTCGTTCTTCGGATGGAACGTAAAGCCGTAGGTCCCGTGTGTTGGGTAATGCACGTTAACAGTAACAGTCTTATCGCTACAAAAGAAGGGGTTTGCCCGGTGTTTCTGGCAGTGGCTGCTATATGCAACGCATGGCAGCACCTTGTAAACCATTATAAGGTGCTATAATGGGTCTCATATTTCTCATTAACTGTATTTACCTTTCTTTAATAATAGACATAATTTCCAGCGCCTTGAATACCTAATTGCTGGTAGATACGTGCGCTATATAAGACTCCGGTATTATTATTATTATTATTATTAACTGACGTTGAATTGAAATGGCATTAAAGACGTGCATTCAAATTCAGACTTAACTGAATTATCGATTTTTAGAAATTGGCAGGGAAAACTATCAACTGGTCTCCCTTCAAATTAGGTACATGTAGTTGACATATCGTTTCCGAGCCAACAGTTCTCTGCGCGGCAACCGTACTTCGATCGATACGTGAACAACGGTTCGACCGATGCTGAATAAATACACACCTCGCTCGTTTCTGCTTAATCGTCTGAAAATATCTTGGACAGCTTTTAATGAAACGTCGATCAAACTGCAGATGCGTATACGTTTGGTACGATATCAACAAAAATCGAGCAGCCATATTTATTTTACACGTTCGAACCAGAGATCAGTGGTTCGAACACGAGGTGGACGCATAATGATGCCTCGAAATAAAATTACTCGAAATTTTAACCGCACTTTCTTCTATACGTTTGTATCGCGTTTTGTATGATACTTTTTCCCCCTGATTTGTGGGGGCACACAATGGTTTTGGACATACTTCTAAACAAAATATCTATTTTTGCCTTCTCCAAACTTCAAATCGCACACCATGGTGTGCGATTTGCATTCCAAGTATGTAAACGTACATAACCAATAGCTTAGTTTTTTTGTAATAATAATGTACAGGGTGAGTCAAAGAGAAATTGGCCCGGATTGAAGATTTTATTAATTAAATTAAATTTGACACCCAAACGAAGCATATATAAATCGATTACGTTCGTCCTTTCGTTAAAACAAAAATTACCAGAATTGATGCATGCTATGCGAAATTATGCATATTTTAAAAGAGTCAATTTTATAACAGGTGTCCGGGAAATGTCATTTGAAGCTATTGAGCTCAGTGAGAACCATAGATTACACACAGACATTAAGACACGATTTTTATATTATTTCTCAAGACTAAAAAATTAATTTAAATGTCAGATTTTGTGTTTTAAATACGAGGATTTTTTTTCAAAACGCACTTATTTCAATGCAGTAGACCGATAAATGAAAGCTGAATTTTGTTACAAGTCAGTAGGCTTCAGGTCAAAATACAAATGGTTTCCTAACCAGGAATGATAAATAATCGATAAATAAATCGCTTAGCGGTCGGGAGCACTCAACTCTCCAACTACATCGTCCATAAAATGATATAGAGAGCTTATAGGATTACATTCCATTTTGGCTGTTAATTGACTCATTACAACTGATCGTCTTTTGTTGTCATGGATAGATTATCTCTGCCTGCGCCTGCCTTATGGGGCTGTGCACTGGGCTGGCCAATTAACACAACACTGCTGCCTCACAATAGCCTATCATAATGAGCTAAGAGTCATGGCTTTCATATCGGGAAACGAAATGAAAGGAGATTAAGGGCATTCATTCCTGCTTGACGAACCATTTGCATTTTGACCTGGGGCCTTCTTCCTATGTTTTGTTTTTATTAAATGGTGCAAACTACATATTGGTTACTTTTTGGACCCCACCCTGTATACATGGCCGCGTTAATTGCTAAACATCGGGAAGTGGTTTGTACTTATTTTGTTTTACGAGGAAGAACTGAATATTGAATTTCCCCTTCAATGTCCTTACTTTAGATGTACATGTGTTCGTATTGTTTAATTTCTTGATATTTTAAAAGAATTTTGAACACATCCCTCATAGCTACCTGGACCGCAGCGTGGAATGGAAATTGTCTCCCACGCACAAAGCCCGGTCACTCTTTTCAATACAGGTGACGTGCGAAACACATAAAAGACTCCAAAAACAAACGTGTAGAGAACACACGTACGTCTATTTACGAAGACTCTTTTGTATCACTTAATTATCCACACGAGCAACTCCAATGCCACACTATACAGTGTGTATCAAAAAAAAAATGCAAACAACATTTAACGGAATGCCAGACTTAGAATGTGTAACCAACATAGATAATATAGGTATGGTTTTAAAGATACGCCTTTCAACTTTAAAATGAGACATCAAACGTCCAAATCTGATAATTTGTGACAGAATTTTGAGTAATTTTCCTAGAGAGGTCAAATTGACCATAGGACCAAGTTTTCAATTTTAGGCTTGGAACAAAGGTAACCTTATTGCCTCTGTGTGGATTATTGCCTGGCCGACAAAAATGTGTTTAGCGAATGATCACAACTCTAAATACTTTTTTGCTATCAGTTTGCAAACATGTTTACATGCTAAATATTTTTTTGTAGGCTGGGCAAATATCCACACGGAGGCAATAAGGCTATTCCCAATGCCTAAAATTGATAACTTGGTCCCATGGTCAATTTGACCTCCCTTGAAAAATTACTCATAACTCTGTCAAAAAATATCAGATTTTGACGTTTGGTTTCTCAGTTGAAAGTGGAAAGGCGTATCTTTCAAACCATACCTATTTATTATTTATGTTTGTCACATGTTGTACGTCTGACATTCGGTTGTATTTTGTTGCATTTTTGTATACACACTGTAGGGTTTTTTGAGCGGTGATGAAGCTGTATGAGTTATTAATCCCCCTCCCCATAAACAAATGTCAATGTCAAAGTTACCTCCGTTGGCAATTATACCACTGGCCGAGCTACAGTGACAAACGTTTCACACTTCAGAGCGTGCGCTACTTCATTACAATTTCTCCCTTGCGTTATAAAAGCCTTGACAATAATTAGTACGGTAATCACCCGAAACGCCATAATGAGCAGCCTTGCTCAAGGTGAACACAAGCGTACTTCTAAATACCCTGTGATATTGTTCCGCTTGAAATGTTATCGTTCAGGGGAAAACAATAATTAAAGGTGGTACTAAACCGGTGTGCCTTCATGTAATTTATTTTTAATTTGAAGAAACTCGTAAACTACTGCGAGGAATACTCAATGACTGGAACCCTGACGTCGGACACACACACATGGCTAAAATGATAATCATGTTCTGAATGCTTATTAAGGGAATGTACAAATATGATTACAAATATGAAACTTTTCAGCTGGACATGCTACGGAGTCCACTTATGAGACAAAACTTGTGTGCATAGATTTTCTTTGTTTTCTCAAAATTTAATAGCTAAAACCTAAACCGGTTTAATATACAGAAAAAGTGACATGGATCAAGATTTGTTTCTTCCTAAAAAAAAATCAAATTTGATACACAAATGAAGTACTTCTTAAAAGAACATATTCTTCCACTCATCATCTGAACAAAAGAATTAATGAAATTGATATATGCAATCAGGAGTTATGCATGTTTTACTAAAAGAACCTATTTTCAATGCTGTCCATGGAATGTCCTTGGAAGTTACTGAGCCGAGTGAGAATTACAATTTCACGCAGCCATTCGTACACAAATGAAATTTTAATCAATAATTTGGAGTCAAGACAGAATCATTATTGTTTACTATCAGATCTTGTGTTTTAAATATGAGGAACAAGTCAACTCTATTTTTCCCCTGAAATATTGATGACGATATCTGTCGCTTTGCAATTATTAATTGGTATACTCATCAGTTCGTAGAACGGTAAATGATCAGTGGTGGCGAGATGAATTTTGTAATCTCGTTATCAATGTACAAATATAGTCATCACTCATTACTGCAAATTACATGAAAATTTCACAGTTACTAGACAGTCAATAACATGTAATTTATCCATATGTTATTTTTATGAAAAGAGGCGAGCCACATATTTAAAATCATATATATAAAACGGTCACTTTCGTTTTTGCTAACCCTGTAGTTGTTCTGCAGCCCACTTGGCATTTTAAGTAATTTTGATGCTTCGAAAGAAAGAAATTGCAAGACGAGTAAATGACCCCACATGCCTTGACTGCTTAGAACGCGGGAAGACAATTTTCAGGACAACAAATAGAACTCGTTCTTGTTTTTATTTTAGGCTCATTCCGCCATGATTGTGGTGACGCTATCTGAACCCATCGGTTCACCGTTAGTGTTATCTTTGTAATATGCTAAATTTGGGCCCGTAAACGTGCTCGTGAGTAATTTTCTCGCCTTTCATTTTTTTAATTAATTCCTTTCAACGCGTCAAAGATCACGCATCCCTATACACAAAGAAGGTCGATTTATATTCGGTCAATAATTTAACACTGATGGCATGCTATATAGAAATTTTGTAGCAGTGGGGTCAGGTAGCATAATAATAAAAACATGAAATATTCATAGGTTTTTTTTTATGGGGGGGGGGTAATCATAAGCAAAGAAGTCAGTAATTGTTTTTTTCTCACTCTTTATGATTGGACAGATGCAGTTTTCTCTGTGACCATTTCATTTATACAATCTCAAAGCAAGTAAATACCCAATTTTAACCAGGTTTCAAAGTCTTTGTCAAGTGATTATTATCGTACACCTACCATGTAAAACTATTTTCAGGAACACGGGCCCTGTTTCGTATATACGCGTAATAAGATGGCCATTCAACGTTCGACTAAACTGAAAGTGAAACTGGAGTCGCTACATACACTCAACTGAAAAAGAAAGTCCCCCGTCCAATGCCTATTGTCCTACTCAAAAACTTCTGAGCACATCTCGCTCAAATAACCACTGATCAGTACAGAAATTCCTTAGCAATCCAGCCTTACACTTCGTTTGGCCCAAAACAGTGATAATGTGCACAAAATTATGCAATTT